ATCAAAGATGAAATCTTTGCACTGCCAGCACTTTCCATCACGGCTTTGGCTTCATTGATAAGATGCGTATTCATCTCGTTTCTCTTTCAGCGCTCCTACGCGATTCATCTTGCTTCAACAATGCGTGACCATGCTCACCTCAATCGACTGTTGCTGTCACGGCAAAAAGCAGCAGCATATGTCCCTTCAGTGTTTCTTTTCTGGCTTTCTTCTAAGGTTGCCACTGTCCTCACCATGTGCTGTCTGTCTTCCATTCGAAAGTTCCCAATAAGCACTGGTAGCATGTATTGTCCCGGTAAGTACTCCGAATGGGTTTCGGCACCACTTTGTGAAATAACTGGTCACGGCATTTGAAGAAAGAAGACTATATTTACATTATTTACACATAGCAGTTAGAACAGTCGAATGGCGGATGCTTTCTTCTTTCTCTTCTTTCTTCAGAGTTCACGCGTGTTTGTTTGTAGCCTAGAATCCATGGCTCGTACCCACTCTGGGGGATTGGCCAAGAAAACATATAGTCTCATATGGACGATAACTGCACTATTGCTTACAACAAAGAAAAAAAGTTGTAAACTGAAAACAGTATATTAAAAAAAAAGATTCAGAGAATGAGAAAAATATCAACAAGAAAATACACTAATAGCTATCTATACCTTCATTTTGGCAAAACCAGTTGTCTGGTCGGCTCTTAAACACCACGCCTTTTCGATGGTTTCTACTTTTTCACCATCTTCTCAAGGAAAGACAAATATTCAATACTGCCCATCATTGCCATAATGCTGGGAAGCACTAAGCAGATGATGGGTGGTGCTTATTATGGCGGGCCACATGGTGTACCAAGCTGAGAAGCTCTGCCCACTATCGCATTAATGCTGGGAAGCAGTAAGCAGATGATGAGTGGGCTTATAAAGGCGGGCAATATATATAGTGTACCAAGTTGGGATCTGTACACATGTTCTACCGCTACTATTTTCACCAAAGTTTAGACCTATGACCGAGCGCAAAGAATTGTGTTATCCGCACTTCTGGGTTTCAGAATACACGATTTCTACGAGTAAAAGTGACAATACAGCACAGCAGTGGCATCAATTAACCTAAACGAAGCATTTTTATTTGCGTAAGAAGCGACAAACATTGATGCGGGGCGATTTCAGCACTTCTAGAGAACGCAAGTCTTCTCTCACCGACGGCCGCCGGTCGCACTCGCCGGCACTTCTCTGGTTCTTATGCGAGAACACAGACTTCGCAATTCGCGTGTTTGCTGAACCAATGTGATAGCATAATGTTTCTGGTGCACTGCATTCGTTTTGGCCAAGCTGTTATGTAGTTGTTGCTAACGATAAAGCTGCAGCAGTGCATTGGCACGACTGCACTATACGTTGCGCGAAGAACATTACAATACAAAATAAATTATGTGGGCGTATATATGGCACGAGCCTAGAGGCGTCATAAAGCCTGAGCAGATGTCGCCCTTTGGAATGAGCAAGAAACGAATATTGAACTTGACAGTAACCGCTGGTAAACTGTACCTGCTTCCCACTCCACTTAATTTTTTCTTGCGATAGTGGATTGTAACAAAAACATAGCGCTGGTCCCATTATCCTAGTGGCAATGGTTACAGGCAGCAGTTGCTTGTGTATAATAAATGTGAAAACTTTAGTATGAGATACAGATCTTGTCTATGTCAAGTACGCGACCAACAAAACTGAAGTCGAACAGTCAGTTCGTAGATTTACTAGCTATTTAACAAGTAACGACGCCTCCTTTATTTAGATGTCTGCCGCTGAGAACAAAAACAGCTGTCACACTTTCTCTTCTCACTTTCGATCACTGTTGGTCTTCAGCGTCGCCTGTGGCAGACGGTGCAACAACTCGACATTTTGCATAGCCTCCGAAACAGTAATGTATAGTTGCATATCTCGAATAACACTAGACTGACGCGTCCCTATAGGCCACCAGTTAAAAACGCTGTAATAATAGATAGGTGGATGGATGGATGGATGGATGTGGCTGTACCCTTTAGATCGGGTGGTGGCTAGCACCACCAAGCCATAATACTTAGTGGACCAAAAGCTAGATTAATTTTTTTCTCTTTAAATAGTGAGGTTGAGGACTCGTACTTTGCAGTGAAGGGTTTAATTTTCACTCGTGCTTTGACTTTAGCCACCAATCAGATAACCTCCTAGTTAATTCTACCCGCTTGAAGTCTATTTCGCCCTCCCTGTCCCTAAAACCCAGTGCTTTAAAAAACTGCGCCATCGTCCTGAACTATAGGATGAAGCCCTTTACAGAACATTATCAAGTGTTCTGCAGTTTCCTCCTCCTCTCCGCATGCACTGCATACCGTATCTACCCCTTTGTATTTGGCCCAATACGTCTTGGTTCGCAATACTCCCGTCCTGGCCTCAAACAGTAGAGAACTACCCCAGGTATCATCATAGATCCTTTCCTTGGCAATTTCCTGCTTAAAGGTTCGACAGATCTCTAGTGCGAACTTGTCTAGTGTGAACTCTGCGGACGGCAGAAGCGGTCAGTCGCCAGCGAACACTTTAGCTGTGTGGACAGTTCCTGTTTTTCTGTGTTTATAAATAAATTTGTTCAGTTTTAATCACCGGCGTCGTTTCTCTCCCTGGTGTTTCACGACTGGAGAAATCTAGTCGTAGAGACGCCACATGTTCTTTAGGGGTGAAGCTACTGAAGCAATGGGTCGTGCAATATGTAGTGGCTAGGTATATACCCACCTTTCGTTTAGTGCTTGGAATGTGCGCTAGATAGTGGTATTTGTACATGATAAATATATGACGAAAAGATGCGAGGTGGCAGTACTTGGACTGTTCACTAGACGGACAGATGGACGATTCACGGCTTGCCAATAAAACCCTCAGAAGCTTCGCCCCACTCATCCTTCACTCGGTGGGTATGCTGCGATTTTGTTTGTTTGTTTGATGTCATGTTTTTCTTTAATCTGGTGTATATTATCATACACCAGATACACGGGGTGCAAAATTACTGCAAGCAATGCATGCTATACTCTTAGATCAACAAACAGAGCGTCGACCCTCGATAATCTGATACGCGGCAAGGCGTTCAAGCACAATAGCTGGTGGCGGCGTTGGTTCACCATTCAACTGAGCTGCTCGCGTTCATGCGCTCAAGCTGGACAAATGATCCCGAGATAATCTGGAATGCTCGCATACATTCTGGCGCGATTTGTGCAAGGCACTATTTCTAGTATTGTGGTGATTCATGGGCACTCGGACACAGACAAGTTCTCGAAAAAGAGAACATTTATGCACAATCAGATCATGATCACAAATATGCACATTTTCAATAGATAGCAGTACAGCAACACAGTTCTGTTTTCTGTCCTTACGGTCCCATAGCCTACAAGTATCTCTACACGCCCTGACTCGTGCGGTGACTATCGTTCGGAGATGACACTCGCAGTGCCGATGACTGTCTAGTCGATGCACGCTTGAAGCAAGAGAGGTGCGCTGACTCGTCCGGCTCAGGAACGTTCTGAAGCACAGTGAATCCGTGTAGCGCCGAAACCATGCCGCAGTCAGCTGTGCCGGATCGTGGACCTACACGTGATGCCAAGGCCACGCCCTCAACATGCGGCTGTGCCAGACCCCAGTTAACTTGGCACCGTGGACTGACACTGTAGCTGGTTGGTCTCGCACATCATCTGGGCCAAAATTAAGCAGCTCGTCCTGGCCCGCTTGCACGTTCACCATAGAAATGACCGCAAAGCCCGGTCTGGAAGCCAACCGTTCATCACAGGAAACGCCGGGCACATGGTCCCGGTTGGTTCGATGGCCTCGACTTAGCAACGCACGCTCTGCCAGTCGATGTTCCAAGGCCCACGCGCGTGGCGCTCGCCTTCCGCATGCACACGTCTTCGTTTGCGTCAACACTTTCGGTTCCCACTGTCAGTATCAGTTTTGGTGTGCTCTTACCAGACTCCCCCCCAATTTTCAGTATGCTGTGGTGCGAAAATCTTTAGTGTGGATGTGACACAATGGAACACAATAACAGTCAATCACTGGCACATGCAGAAATGTCAGCATTGCAAGCATCTGTCGCAAAACACTGCAGACGCTTGCTCCACACACTCTATCTTGAGAGGTAGGCACACTCCTCGCACGTTTGAAAACGGTCGGCAGTGATGCGTACTGCCACACACCTGCATACAGTGTATGCACCATACTGTGTATGCACCCCAACGTGGCAATGCAGAGCGTGCATTGCCGACGTGATATAGTCGAACGTTCCAAAGCACATGTGCCTCACGCTTGCCTTTCAGTTCGTCGTTGTTTGCATCAAGACTTTCTGTTCGCTTTTTGTTTTGGTTTCGTTGCGATCTTACCACGACTATACTTGTGCAATAGGCCGGCAATGTAAATCTGAAAGCATTTTCGGCAATATCAATATGAAGCATGTGTAAAAACAAAATAAAATCACGTGATCGCGAGCAATTAACACAATAGATTGTTAGTTAGCGCTTCTTGCTTTTTCTCCATTCGTGTGGTCATTTCTGCTGATACGTCAATCATAGAAGGGGATTTATTTTCTTTTTGCAATAGTCTCAAGCATTGGCGCAACTTTGTAATGGAATGGATGCCTGCCGCTATATAAGGCTCGATTTCAGCTTGGACCTATCGCAATTTTTCGCTCGCAGCCAACGCAGCCCACACTGATATTTCTTCAGCTCGGGCTGTTTGACACTAGCAATAATGAACAGTGGTCTCGAACAAAGCAAGTTTTCATGTGTTTTCGATACCATAAATTGCAATGTCTAAGGGCAGGCTATCAAGAAAAAAAGACCGTGTGACCTATCACTGTGTATTTTGTCGCTTTTGTTCGCCTGATACAGTGGGGAATTGGTCAAGAAGTGAGTGGTTTTACAGAATATTATATACTTTAGAATGAGAGAGGTTATAGAATGGAAATGTTGCATATCGCAATGGTGACCAAATTTTTCTTTGGCTTCGTTTCAGCCGTCGGCTCGTCGCCCATGTTTCGGAGCTCGGTGCTCATCCTGAACCAACCCTTCGACGCCAACTTGGTGCGCCAGGAGAGCGAGGCCTTCAAGCAGCTGAGCGGAGAGTTCGAGCTGATGCTCTCCCAGTCCCTGGCTCGTCTCTTGCGACCTCCGCACAACGTGGCCTCCGTCCAGGTGCTCCGCTTTGCGCCGGCTGCCCAGCCCGGGGCGCTCACCGTCACCTGCGACATCAAGCTTCCGCGCGCCGACCCGAAGGAACTGCAGCGTGCCATCCGCTCTGTCCTGGATGGCGGCCGCCTCGGCAACTTTGAACTGTCTAGCCAACACTCGACCTTCACTCAGCTGGGCGGTGAGTTTTCTTAATCTCTACTTACGATGGCGTTCCAATAGCTCCTTCAAAGTAAGCCCACTCGGAGGTAATAAAAATTAATTTAATGTCGTGAGTATGCTACACAACTAAAAATATATGGTGTTAAGCATCAAACTGCATACATTTTCTGGTGAAGGTTGTACTAGCGGTTCCAACATTGTAAACCTCACGATTTTTTTTTTTGGCGTATCAATACCTTTAAGTAGCTTTTTCTACATGCTGTGGCACTTTAGGATTCCTCGCCTGGTAACATTCATGGCTTGCCACTAAAAGCCTTCATTGTTGCAATTGATGAAAATCTTTCTAATGTATAATCGACTTCCTTTTCAATATTGACTTGTTATGAGCGTTCTTGCTTTGCCCTTATTTTTTTTTGCATTTTTTCCTGCTTCTAGCATTTTCTAATATCCGATTTCGTTATAGCCCTGTATTGGGCTGTAGCACATATAAATAAATGAGTAAATTACATCGTCCCGGTTCGCTCGAAGTCTTAAATTTGTATATCATCATACACCGTGAACCCACACATTCGCCTCGTTTTGTCCACATTTTTGTCAGTTCACATGCAATACACATATTGAAACAACAAGATTGTTTTGACTCGGGAAGCAGTTATTTGTCATCCTGGGATCAAATGCGTGTACCAAAGTTTGAATTAATTTTGTAGTAGCATTTTAAATGAAATTTTGCAAGATTGTCACCAGTGATTCTGCCGATCTATATGTTTTCACTACATTCTAATCTTACATTAATTGATGAGCGGATGCACATATCCTTCGCATGTTCTTGTATGGACAGCCAGTCAACGTTCAAAACTTAATGTTCGGTGGGACATACAATTTGGGCGCCCAGAAAACACTCATACGGGACATGGATTTTCAAAGTACGTCCATTGGCTATCCACAATAGATATCCATATGGCCGGACAATTGTGTTCATAATAGACAGCCAGTGGATATCAGTTGTTACTTGTGTTGGGTAGATAAATATGGGCAAAATTGTAAACGCACACACGTACACTCTTCACATTGCTGGCTGTGCGTAATCGCACGAAACGCCTGGTGTTGCATTATAAAAGTATTATAATGGGAGCCTCGGTACAAATTTCTCAGCGATGTCCGAAAAATTTTCGGAGACGCGCTTTGTCTTTACCGTTTTGCTTGCATTGTACTCTGTGCGAAGCCTGTTCAGCTCACCTAAAAACGGGAAGTAGAATAAGGAGATGAAAAAATTGTTTTTCAGTACCGAAGCACGAGCACCGAGACATGTCATACTATTACTGGGAATATGATTTTAGGGTGCTTTCTTGATAAAAAAAAAAACAGATTATCAAGAGAATGAAGTTGACAAGCAGCGATTGAAACCAGTGGTAATATGAAATTTTCGCATTTAAGGGGTGATGTTCCCGTGACTTCTATGTTTCGGGTTTGAGAAGTTCAAGAGATAGCGTCATAGCATGATGCGGGGCAGAAACGACAAAAAAAGAAGCGCTGTCGGCAAGCAAGACCGTACATAAATTGCTGCACATGCGAAGGTCATGGAGGCACTTCGCAGACTCTTTAGCTGTCATATATGATGAACCTTTTGAAGCCGGTCGTTTCATTCTATTCTGGATGTGGAATGCATTGCTAATTTAGTTCTGGTACAGTTCGCATTGTGACCGTGTCGAGCAGGCGAACTAAGCGCGATAACTGCAAACCTGGAAGTATCTCTACTCGTACACAAAACAGGTGCTGCATACATTCTAGGGCCTTGCTCATTTGCCTGCTAAATTTAGCCGTCTTAGCCAACCATGGCTTTTTGTGGCACATATTTGAATGGGCTAATTACTTTTCCTCCTGGTGCATATAAGCTATGAGTATCAAGGCTCGCAGTGAATTGAGTCTTTTTCTTTCTACTTTCCCTTTAACTTGAGGAACTCGGAGGGTTACGGCGTAGAGCTTCTTACAATATGAAACTCTATGGTCTACAGTACAATATGAAGCTCTATGGGTGACAGTTATATCGAGGCGGTTCACAATGTTTGAAAATGACCACAAACGTGGGAAAACAAGCAGGAACATCTACTGCTTGAAGCAGGTACAAAACTTTAATCATCTCAACAGAGCTTCTAACCGCCACCACTCAGTGGCGCCATGGTACCCGCAAGTTGCGAATAGATTATAGCACCTCCCATAATCCCTAAATTATACTTGCATGCTTCAATCCCAGTCGCATCACCCGCTTCTCCATGGGAGTGCTTGGTGCACCTGCTTCTAGCCATGAAATTGGTTTAGTGGCGCAAGGGCTACTGCCCGTTATGAATGGAACGCTCGTGATATTCTTCCATTGCAATCCCCTAGTTTCAAAGGTGAAAGCGTGATAAAACTTTGCGTGAAAAGCATGAAAGCATTTTCGTAGACACCTTTACGTCTCCATTCTAGAAATAAAAGGTTTATTCATCATAACATGGCAGAAGTCTCAAACAAACGAACAATTAGCAAATCCTTTTGAGTATGAACTAATATACCCAATGCCACTGTCCATTTTTTAATAGGTGCTCGTATATTTACAGGCGTCAGCCCGATGCGGGTGAGGCATAATATAAGTGAACAGGCAGACTATGGGACATGTTATACTGCAATTGTTTTTATTGCACACGCCGACCGAGAGCAGTAGAAAATGCCTAAATAGTTTCTTTAATGTCTACACACTATGCATTTGTGTATCGACCCTATATAAATATCTATACATGACCCGATGCGATTCCCGCGTTTCACATAAGGCAAACTACTGGTAAATTTTGGAAAGACCAGGATAATTTGCCATCATTTGGCGAAGAACTTCTTCCGCAATGATGCAGTGTGTGAATGCCTTTTGCTGCAAAGGTCACCCTTTTTTTAAAATGGACTTCAAAAGGTCCAGCTTCATTTTATTGTAAAAGTTGGCATCAGTTACAGTTACACGAGAAAGACTCTCTCCATTTTGGCATTTGGGGTCAGGAGTATCAGAATCTTGATGTCTCCAGTGGTGGGCCCTGAGAAAGGGCATACACCAGCAGTGTCTATGAATGCTAGAGTTTCACACCAAAAGCTTGTGGTGTAACCGGATTCAATTGTCATGAATACGAAATGAAACAAACATCATTAGGCAATCCATGCATTTGACCTCTTGCACTGTACTTGCGATATTCAGTGTGAAACCATTTGCCCAAATCAAGCTATTGAAGCAAAAAAGGCGTCACAGAGGCTGTGTGCAAATTGGCTCCAGTTGAGTAGCATTCTAAAATTGTAACATTGTTTTCAGTGCCAACACCTCATCCTGGTGGCATTCATTGCGGAGCCGACATGTTTGCGTGCGATGACAACAGGCGGTGCGTCGAAATGTCACGTCGATGTGACGGGCATCGTGACTGCAATGATGGCTATGATGAAGAAAACTGTGTCCATCCAAGTTCTCAGGGTAATTCACTTTTTCTTTTGTCTTCTGCGTTGCATAACAGTGGCAGAAGGTGGGCATGAATTCTTGATTTTTTTACTTGCTGGGCAATTAACTTCATCAGATGCGTCACCATATAACAAAAAAATGCAACTTGTCTTGAGCTGTACGTCAATACAGAATTTTCTTTAAATAATGTAATCGGTGCAATCAGACCTCATGCAAAATAGAGCTGAAATATTTTCAATATTAGCATTAAAAAGTAAATTAGCTTGACTCTTGTTGTCCTGCTTTTATTTCTTTTAATAGCAACGGTGAATCTCCACAAGCCCAAACTATGATTACTTTGATCATAGAAATTACCTTGTTGCCTAGTTATAGCTTGAATAGTACGAGCACTGACGCATGAAAAACATGCTGCACAGGCGGTGCAACAGCGCAGGATGTCATGAGTGGTTGTTTCAGTTTCCATTTGTGTGATACAATCTCTCTCAATCTGCTTGTATGTACTAAGTGGGTGTGTGCAAAAGTGTGCTAAATTGAATAAGCTTTGAAAACGTTTTTAGGTTTGAAACATGAATTATATCAAAGCACTCTTGTTTTCAATGAGATAATGTGACATTGTTCAGATAGCACGATGTGTGCGGTAGGCCAGGCTAACCAGTCTACACTGGCTAGCATAAACCTAAATAAGTGCATCATCACCATCAATCTCTATTCTTTCGTAGTGTTTTAGGGGCCTGAGATGTCACATGCTGTCATTATATACTGCTGTGGCCTGGCGTAATGCCGATCTACAAAACCACCAGTAGCGTGTGTTGCATTTTGAGTGCACACTCTTGAGTGCAGGCCTGAGCTCTCATTGCTTGGTGTAACGCAGACAAAATCGCATACAAAAGGAAGTGACCGATAGAAAGGAAAATAGGAAGAAATGTAAAAGAAATGAAACAGAGGAAAAAATTTTTATAATTAGAGGAAAGAGTACGGAAAAAAAGGGAAGGCTGCCTGGCTTCTTAAGGCGGTACATCCCTTGTGTGAAGCTGGCAAATGTTTTTTTTTTGTGTGTGTGTGGTTAGGCATCGGTTGTAGCATGATCTTGAATCTTGGACAACCTAGGACGATAGGCGCAAGTACGTGTGATCGTCAAACCTTGTTGCAATCATTCATGCTGTAGCAGCTGCTTGATCTAATTGGAGAGGGCACAGTTTACAGCTTACGTTTCAGGCACTGAATTACATGGGTACGTGTTGTAAGCACCGTGTTACGAGAGAAATGCTAAGACTGATGCTGTCATTTTGCTACACCCAAAAGTATGCACACTGCTCTCCATGAGAGAGCGCTGCTGGCCACACAAGCGATGTGCAAGCTGTGCCTAAGGCTTCATGGGCGAACAATTTTATTATCAATTTGTGAGAAGTTTAGTTGTTGCGTATGCTACAGGGGCAATCAACCTGCTAGAATCCTTCAGCTGCTTCTGTCTGCAGCAGGCAGCAACATAAGCTTATGCTAATGTTCTTGACAGCAATTAATAGTTCTTGAAAGAATGGGGGCAATTTTACACCTTAATGCAGAATATATTTTGCCCAAGTAGCCATGAAAATTTCATCTCAAATTTGTACAGGAAAAGGAAAGTCTATAAAAAAATGTGCTCGTTGACGACTGTTCTCGGTGTCATTGTGTAAGGAAACAATGTTACCTGAATATTCTCGCGGCCAAAAATAAGCATCACAATTTTATTTAAAGTATGCCTCCTTTCCTAGTGTTTCAACTTTATTGTATCTACTTAATCAAAAAAGAAAGGGTGAGTCAGCATGAGGCAGTTTTGCTACATGGTGTATTGCATCTGAGTTCTTTCTTCTCACGAACAAGTGGTGCTACACATTATCCTAGTTTGCACTACTGGGGCAGCCAGGGAATGCTGAGGCACTTGACAAATTATGACATCCCAATGTTGGCATTAATACCGCTCCCTTGGCTCACCTTGACACCTTTGCTGGAACAATGCACATAGTATTCATAGTATTCAGCATTGATTCGAACCAAAATAGTACAAGCCTAATGAGTTGCTCCCGAAATCGCTGTGCACTATGACAGCTCCACAGCAATGAGCTTTAGGCTAAATCTGTACTCTTGGAAAGGAGGCGTGTCATGGTGAAGAATTGCATTTTGTGATCAAAACCATAAATATTTCTTTCCCACAAGTTTCTAGCTACATGAATGAAGCATTAAACACAATTTAATTGAAATATACAAATGCACAAACATGTGTGCATCTCTTCGCTTGTTAGGTGTTGCATATGAGTGCCGAAAAGGCTTCCAAAGAAAGAGCTAGGTGGTAGACCCCATTATATTCTAATTTTTGTTAGACCCACTAGATTACTTTTTTTTTCAGTCATGTCAATGAAAGCAAATTGCACCGCAAGTGCTTCCACTTCTGTGGTAGTTCGGCCAAAATTCTCTGTAGGTAACGTGTGTGCGTGTGTGTTTGTGTGTGTACATGTACGTTTGCATGCATCAAAGTTAGTATTTAGCCCAGACATGCATTTAAGACAGTGTTGAAAGTCTTTGTCATAATTTTTTATCAAATTAAGCTCTTATGAAGGCTGTTTACATGTTAATTTCAGCTGTTTAGCCTTAGGATCTGAGCTCTCCCAGATCTAATGTGCCAGGGTTTTTGTTCTGGGATTTGTCTGTGAATATTTTGTTGCATGTGTACATTACAATTAAGTGCACTTAGGCTTTCTTTTTCCTTTTCGAGAAGCATTGGAATAGACAATTGCCGACTGCAGCTTTTCTCTTTTATACGTTACTGTACACAGGCACACAGCATCATGGATTTCAATGCAAGCCTGATCAATTCCTTTGCGATGGTCGTCGTTGCATTGAGAAATCTCAGCTGTGTAATGGTCAGCGGGATTGTTCCGATGAAACTGATGAACAGGACTGCTCCTCTAGAGAAGGTGAAATAGTTGCTTTTTGCTGTTTTATGCAAAGTAGGGTTGCACTACTTAACATTCCTTCTGGCATAAACTGTCCACCTCCAATTGAAATGGCAATGCGTGCATGTGTGGAACATTCTGTGTAGCATTTTCTGCCTAGTTCGTAGTCGTATTGCTGCTTTCCCGTTGACTTTGCACATTTGTGTGCCCTAATGCTTTACTAATACGGTTGAACACCTTTATAAGAGGCAGGCAGCAATTCTTGTTTTTTATGAGATGTCTCTTATAAGCAGGGTATGCATTTTCTTATTCAACTGTAAGCACGCTGGTGTCTCCTGTAGTGCTCAAACCTCGTTATAACAATTTAAGGGGAGCCACAATTATTTCATTATATTCATTATTTCGTTATAATGACTATAACAGTTTGTGGCAATGTATGCTCAAATGGGCGCGCACCTATAAGCATGCAAAGAAGGAAACTGCCTCGCGGCCCGATGTACCCCTACGCGACCACGCATGCAACGGAAAATAAACAGTCGAATCTTATTCATTCGAACATGCTTAATTCAAACTTCCGGTTAATTCGAACTCTCGCTGAGGTCCCGTCAAAGCTATGTGTATTCCAATGGGCGAAAATGCCGTGTAATTCGAAAGTGGAAGCACTTGCGACGGTTAATTCGAACATACCTCGATTCGAAAATGCTCTCGGCACCATTCTCAATACCGCGGCGGCACGTCTCAATGCTGCACGCGAAAAAGGAAAAGAAGAAAGAGAGAAAACGAAATTGGCCCCGAATCTGCATGTTATACTGCATAGATTGTTGAAAAATGATAGTCTTGTGTCTGTAGAGAATGAACAAAACGCTTATTTGGTGTTCTGCGCAAGAAAATTGGTTTCTGTCGCGGAGAGTTCTTCTTTCTCAGTGCAGAGGGTAGCAGCGAAGACGCAGTCGTTGCCCGCGGTGTTAGAAGTGTCGTTGCTGTCGTCTTTAAGGCGCACAAGTGAGAAGGAAATCGCTTTGCACCGTGGCGCCGCTTCTCAGTCATGTGACCCACTGAGTGCTTCCTCAATCTTCTGCACTGGTTATGTGAGGAGGACGGCTCTCTCGGGCGTACATGGCGTGGCTGTAAGGTCGGTGCAAGAGTTCTGAAAGAGCCGCGCCAAGCGAGCATCAAGCTCCGCAGAAAACTATACTTAACACACTGTGGTCGGGTTTTTTTTTGATACTCTTTGATAGACTAATTTAGTTTGTTATATAAATTTACAGGTCAATTTTATTTTGTTACGAGGTTTAAAATGCTTGATTCTCAATAGAGCTTTTAAGGAGAATTTCATTTACTTCGTTATGTCCATTATTTCGCTATATCTTTTCACGTTATAACGAGGTTTGAGTGTATTGGCAGCTCTCATAAAGGGGTCCAACTGCACTTCTAACATTGCTGCACCTTGCTGGACAAAAGAAAATAGTGTGAAGACCTCCTTCCTGCATTGTCCAATGGCTTTTTATGTTTGGACTACTTGAAGGCACTTTTTATGGTTGTTACACATCTTGTGTGCTTCTTTACAACTTTTCAAGTATTCGCTCATGGTATTCCTCCTTCTAGTTTCCTAACAAAAAGCCGTAATTTTTTCTGCGTTGGCCCTTCAGTGCCGCTTTCATACTTGTGGTTCTATGCTGCTTTGAACTATTAGCCCCCTTTACACGCATCTGTTTGCACAAGCTTTTTCTAATTGCTACTAGCACTTTTTTATAAACTTGAATTTGCCTCTTTCTACCAGCATGCATGGCTCTCCTGTCGTGGAAGAGAAGAGCTTTGAATGGTCCTTGCAACGTATATTTCGACGGCTGAGGTTTCTTTGCCTTGCCTGCTTGTGTTAGCACAGGTGTGCATGTCTCTCTCATATATAGAGGAAGAAACCATTGAAAAGCTCTTGAACTTATTCCTTTTGAAAAATATGATTAATTCATTTGCTCAGTCACAACCATCTATTTTCTCAGTCTGTCTGTGTTGTGGTGGAAATGTTGTAGATTCTAGACGTGAAATTCAAATTCAAGTATAGGCACTCTCATGCAGATTGGAAGAGTATTCATATGTTAAAACTGGTAATAGCCAAATATGTCAGACATGCCGTTTACTTCGTCAGGGTCTGGTGTTTAACTCTGCGCAATTTCCACAGTACCTCTTCACCACACTGATGGATTCCAATGTAGTTCTGACCAATTTGCTTGTGATGGCCATCGATGTGTGCCCTCTGCAAGCAAGTGCAATGGCCGCCTTGAGTGTGCTGATGGCACTGATGAACAGGACTGCCAGTCAGAAGGTAACTACACTTGAGCAATCTTGTTTCGAACGGCAGTCAAAATAAATTTTTTTAACAGCCGATACAGTCCATCAGGTTAACCAAATCTAATTTAAACACCTTTATTGACTGATAACAATCTTTTTCACAGTTCCAACTCATGAAGTTCATTGTGGACCAAATCAGTTTCTTTGTGATGGCCGTCGTTGTGTTAATGCGTCTGGAAAGTGTGATGGTCGTCGGGATTGTGCTGATGGCACTGATGAACAGGACTGCCAGTCAGGAGAAGGTAACTACGCTTGAGCAATCTTGTTTCAAATGACAGTCAAGATAAATTTTAACAGCTGATACAGTCAGACAGGTTGGCTGAACCTGATTTAAATGCCTTTCTTTACTGATTGCAATCCTTTGCACAGTTCCAACACATGAAGGAGCTCATTGTGGACCAAATCAGTTTCTTTGTGATGGCCGTCGTTGTGTTAATGCGTCTGGAAAGTGTGATGGTCGTCGGGATTGTGCTGATGGCACTGATGAACAGGACTGCCAGTCAGGAGAAGGTAACTACACTTGAGCAACCTTGTTTCAAACGACAGTCAAGATAAATTTTAACAGCTGATACAGTCGGTCAGGTTGACTGAACCAGATTTAAATGCCTTTTTTTACTGATTGCAATCTTTTGCACAGTTCCAACACATGGAGGAGCTCATTGTGGACCAAATCAGTTTCTTTGTGATGGCCGTCGTTGTGTTGGTGCGTCCGGAAAGTGTGACGGTCGTCCAGATTGTGCTGATGGCACTGATGAGCATGATTGTCCAACTAGTGAAGGTAAAGACTTCTGTTAGTGTTCTTGACACAAAATGTGTCTTGAAAGCAGAGTTCTGTATTCTTCTTGGGCAGTTACGTTGCAGTTGTTTTTTGCTACAATGCATGTGTTTATGGTCTTTTCAGGCATAATTGTTAGTATTAATACCGCTCTGGTAGATTCATCATTCACTTAGGACATGTTCAATTCTACCCTGCAGTGAACAGGCTCAGAACTTGTTTATTTTGAAGCAAAAACCTTGTGCTGTTCGCTTTCCTAGCTATGTGTACATTTTTGGGCTTCTAAAAAATTGGGATATAAAAGAAGCTTCGTACAGCCTTGATGGCTGTATGATTATCCGAACTTGCCCCGCTGCTGTGGTCTAGTGGCTAACGTACTCGGCTGCTGACCCGCAGGTTGCGGGATCGAATCCCGGCTGCGGCGGCTGCATTTTTAATGGAGGCGAAAGTGCTGTAGGCCCGTGTGCTCAGATTTGGGTGCACGTTTAAGAACCCCAGGTGGTCGAAATTTCCAGAGCCCCCCACTACGGCGTCTCTCATAATCATAGGGTGATTTTGGGACGTTAAACCCCACATATCAATTATCATTGGCACTTGCTACTGGATCATTTCTGTTGTTGTAACATTCATTAGTTGCTTTGTCCTCCAGTTTTTGAATGTGTGGGTCTTGGACAGTTGCCTACGATTAATTCTGGCACTTTTCAGTTTCTCCTCCTCATGGTGAAGGTGTTCATTGTGAACGCAATGAGTTTATTTGTGATGGTCGGCGGTGTGTGGATGTATTAAAGAGGTGCGATGGTCGCCCTGATTGTGCCGATGAAGCTGATGAACGTGACTGCCCATCAACTGAAGGTAAAAAGTTTTTGTGGCAGATTGCTAATGAATAATTTCTTGACAATGCATTGGTAGTTGTGCACAGTTTGTAGAACATTATATTATTTCATCACAAATGGCTACTAATTTCTGGATTGGCTTCTGTATCTTTTTAATGCCCATTGTTGAATATTGTGATAGTAATCTACAAATACACATCTGCCTACAAATTTCTGGACCACAGTATGAAAAAATGTTCATTGCTGCCTTCACACTAGCCCATGCTTGGATTCGAGGGCTTAGTATGCAAAAGTAGCACTTCAGCAGTTACTCTTGAGCTTTACACTTCAGAAGTTAGGGCGTTTTTGTTGTGTTGTGTTTTGTTGCACTGTCTGTGTACGTGCATGTGTGTGTGTGTGTGTGTTTAATATGCAGACGTGCCTATCCCATCATTTTGCTTTATTAAGACACTGTGAAATACATTTTCTGCTTTTTGCTACCTTTTCTGCTTTTTGTAAAATTCTGGTTCAAAGTAAAACAACAGTGTAGAACATGCCTGTTGATGTTGCAACAGCACCTTCACACACTTGCTTGGGGCTTGGTTGATCTGAGCCCGTATCAAAGCAGTGCTTTGTGGCTGCCATTTCTATTACTGGTACGAGTGTCTTTTGGTGTTTCTGCCTTGCAACTTGTCCAATTGTAAGTCATCCAAACAGCTTCAGTGGTCTCTGTCCAGTGTTTTCCAAAAGCTTCTGCTTGGCACATGCTTTGCGGTCATTCAAGCTATGGTGGCTACTTGGCAGTTTGTGGGAACTTTCAGTTTTTTATGCACATTTCTGGCTTACACCTTGCTTTAGCTTGAAGATTACACACTGATGGAGTCAAGTGTGCTTGGCGAGGCTGTTCCATTTGAATATCCGTGCTGTTTTGTCGGGCTGGCCTTGTGGGTTCCATTTGGGCTTTTATCTATTGGCATGGAAGGCGGCACTGTACAGCTGCTTTGCAAGACAAGGAACCTTGGCTGCAAGTGATCATTCTGGAAGGTTCTCTGGCACAGCTGGCATGTCTGTCACCAGACATTACGAACTTTGTGCCCACTTCAGTCACTTTATATCCATGCACCTTTCATGCAGTGCATCCACTTCATGGAGATGATTTTCTATGTGGACCACATCGGTTTGTCTGCGATCACCGCCGGTGTGTTGATCTATCTAGAAAGTGTGATAGTCGTCCAGACTGCCTTGATGGAGCTGATGAACATGATTGCCCATCGATTGAAGGTTGTTACCTCAGCGTCACACTTGTTCCGTGTTGCACTGTTGTATGAACACTGCATATATGCCTAACAAGAGGGAAAGGTTTATGTAAATGCTTGTGTGTCCAAATGCTGACCACTTTGTAAATTAAAATTACTCATGTAAATCCTATTCTAATCTTAGGACTTCAAACCGAAATTGACTGTCACAAATGCAGCTCACTTAAGTGCCTCCAAACATTGAGCTTGTGTGCAACTCCTAATTGTCTCACACTTTAACTTCTTCAGGGCTTTTGATTGTTTGTATGATTGGAAAATATTTCGCATCATGAGAGTTCTGCAACATGGATGGTGATTAAGTCAGTCTTATAGTGTGTATTAATTTCTCTGGACTTTTGTTCATACTTCGTTTTCTTCTTCGGCGATGCTTCACCACAGCTTTTCCTCATCATTCTGAAGAGATTCTATGTGGACTCGATCAGTTCATTTGTGATCGTCACCGATGTATTGACACATCAAGAAGATGTGACGGTCACCGTGACTGTGGCGATGGAACTGATGAACATGGCTGCCCTCATAAAGGTCCTTTGTCTACTGTTGATTTTTAATATTTCATTTTGCACTTCATTTGGGTCCGAAGTATCAACACTCTCTTCAACACTTCCATAGTTAGTTTCGTGCTGACATAAGTTAGAGACTTCCTCATTATTGATGTTGCTTCTAAAATCATGAATGATACAGACAAATGTCAGGCTTTCCAGAGCTCTTCTGGACACTTCTTTTTCAAATAGATTTCGGAGTACGTATGTATTATTTGCTTTAAGTATGTAGTAGTACATTCAAACTTCTTAATAACAAAGTTGCATCTTGCACATAAATAAGTTTGTTATATCTGCGAACTCGTTATAAAGGTATATTCCTAACACTATTGATTGCAACAGTATTCCTAATTTACTTCGTTACCAGATATTTTGTTATATCTATGTTTGTTATGTTGAGGTTTGGCTGTCATTAGGTATTTTACTTGGATCTTGCAGCATGCAAGCTTTTAACTACTTATGGCTTTATGAAAATTTTATCAGCAGTTTTGCATTGAAAGTTGCAATTGCTCTCAAGAAGTGAACTACATCAGCTTTTCTTTTCACTAAAGCTTTATTATATATCCTTCTTTAGTTTGAGTGCCTACTTTTGAACTTTAGACAAGCACGCATCCACATTCAACAAAGAATTTCATAACAACTGTTCAGCACCATCAAGGCCACAGGGTGTAAGCAATAACATACACATTTGTGTATACACATCGTCATCGGCAGAATTTTTTCTTGGCGGGTGCAAATAAGCATTGCATCGTGACTTGAGGTGGCCCCTTGTGCACCCCCTCTGCTGGTGTGTATACACCTTTTCGCGAATGGGAGTGCAAAGACTCAAGTCCCAGCTTCCGCAGTGCAATTTTGGGGGATCTCGCCAATTCGGGCAGCCCAGAAAGAAGCAACCAGGGAGCCATTTTTGAAAAAGTCTATCGTTTCATATAGTGTTACATTTTTCAAGGTTGAGATACTTGCGCTTATTTGGCATCTGTTATGTCACATCAATGCGGGAAGTGTTTATTGTTCTTCACATTGATGTCACATTAGGGTCATTCCACATCAAACGTCCTAGCCATTTTGGCGACCATTTGCATTGTGTTAAAAAAAACGTGTGCTTATTTAGTGTAGATAAAAACACAGAATTGCCAAAATATTATATAGAGAGAAATTATTGGTCACGTGGGTGCCTTGAGCTTCCCAGAATGTCCTCAGGGTAATTTTAGTGAGAATTATTTTCAAAAGTACCAGTTCTTCCTTCTATACCAAATTTAGTCTACATATTAAATAAAGGTGCTTGTGTAAGGTGTTTCAAGCTCAGTAATATTAGTACAATTTTTTTGCCACATATGCCTCCAAGAATGTAGCCATAATATGTTATGCTTTCTGTTGCAATACTACGTTTTTATGAATATCTGAGCAATGAAAGATTTGCATGTTCTCCTTATGGACATGTTTACATAGTTTACTGCTGTGGCTGTGAAATGTAAACAATATATATGCATCAAATAAAAAAAGCAAGATCTGAACTGTGTATGAGCACTGTACGTGCAAAAGGCATTCTAGGACAATTTGAAAAAGGCAATTTTGTCCGTGCCAACATATCTTTTCTTGCAACATGGTTGACGTGTTCAGCAAGAAGTGCTAGCCAGGTTTTGTAGGCAGTGTGAATAGGGCCCGATTACGCTACCGCACTCGGCTGAAGGTGAACCTTGAGTGTTTTCCAAGTTTTTATTCACGTTATACCAGCATCAACTTGTTGACAAATAAAGCTGTTGGACAACTTTGCCCATCGCCGTAAAACTTGCAGCCTCTCACTTTTTCGCCAGCTTTATCACCATTCATTGCGATGCTTTTTTGTCCCCAACCGTGATCTTGCCTCATATTGACCATTTTACGAAGACAAATGTATCGGCAGCCACTATTTTCATTTTGCATATTCATTCTTGCCCTTTACAATAACATATTTCGAAACTTCACCCTCAGACACTGTCATAGAACCTGAAATATTGAACTTCAGTATATAATTCACTCACGACTAGCCACTTTTTAGGCATTTGTGTTTTTTACAGAGAACTATGCGTCTTCTTTGCTATTATGACCTTATGTGTACCCCTAATATATTCTCTTTTCTGTAATCTTTGTTTGAAAACTTATTTCATTAATTGTGTCACTCCATTACTCTGTCCTTTCTTCTGTTTAAGCATGTAATCAGTAACTATGCCTCTATGACCCATCAGTCATTTATTTTCATTATGGGATTCGTTTAGGGACGTCCTTTTGTGTTTTTCTGTCTTGAGAGCTATTTTACGCCTATATATAGGTTGGTCATTCCATGCAGTTGCTAACTGTTCAAAAACTTTAAGGGAACTTGTGGTGCACGTATGGCCATGCCAAGCATTAATGAAAACTGGATTTTTAATTCCTTAAATGCAGTGATTCTTCAGTGAAGGCGTCGGCTTCACTGCATGTAAAGTAGGATCACTGCGCTTCTGTATAGTGATCCTACTTTGTAACAACTGTAATTCTGCCTACCATGTTACATTAGTCTGTGCATCCTAATCTCAAGTGCTGCACTACATTCTGCATAATTGTTTTGCTGATAATAGGGCTTCTGCATTGTCAAGTTTTCGTGAATAACTTTTTTTTTACGTGAAGAGTGCCACTTCTATTGCACAGCTTATTATGCAAGTTCCCTGTCTGCATGCTGTCTTGTTTGTTTCCCTAGTACCTTTGTTGATGTACTTGTTTTCTGTTTTGTAATGTTATGCAGCTCCTACCCAAACCCCTGGATTTCAGTGTCGTCCCAATGAGTTCGTTTGTGATGGTCGTAGATGTGTGGACTCGTCTGGAAAATGTGATGGCAAACGTGATTGTGCAGATGAAACTGATGAACATGACTGCCCGCCAAAAGAAGGTTGAAATTATTTTAAGTACTCACTGTGCCTATACTGCTTATCCTTTCATCTGTTTTCTACTCTTCACATACTAAGTAGGACTGAACGCTGGGCTAGTTGTTGGCCAGTTGTTGAAAAAAAATTATGTTCGTTACTAAGTTAAGCATAACAAAAAAGGTCATCAGATAAACCTTGGATTTAGGTCGGTTTTCAGTGCTTCTAATTTAATGTCCCCCAGGTGGTCAAAATTTCATGAGCCCTCCACTATGGCGTCTCTCATAATCATATGGTGGTTTTGAGACATTAAACTCCACATATAATATCATAATTTAATCACCGAACCTCTTGCACAGGTTATCCTTTTATTGAGCCAGTTTAGCTGCGAGTAAACAAGATTTTTTTGCATAAATTTATATAGGTCTGATTTGCATTGTGCATGATTTTACATTTAATTTGCTGATCGAGATTGACAGAAATAGAGGTTTGCTGTCAAGAGAAATTAAGTAATTTAGCGTTTCATATAGTATTTATTTTTTGGGCATTATCACAGTACTTCTGCAAAGTAGAGGCAATGAGCTGGTTTGTAATAAAGTGATAATACACTCAGTAGGACCGATTTGCCAGGATTATGGTGCTTGACTGCTGACCCGCAGGTCGCGGTGTTGAATCCTGGCTGCCGTAGCTGTGTTTTCAATGGAGACAAAAATGTTTGAAGCCCTTGTTCTTAAATTTAAAGGCACATTAAGCGGACAGGGTAAGCAAAAAATTGAAAAAAAATATTTTTTTGCACGATTTGAAATCTGCAGCCAGAATCGGTCATTTGTTTGTTCTAGCGAGATTTTTGTCTAAAAATTGCATATTTCGAAACCTATGCAGTTGCCTACTTCACCCCCCTTAGGTTCACTTCATCTGAGTGCACACCTGGGCAGCTAAAAACGTGCCGAAATGAAGGGCACAAACTTTTTGACAAGTTTTGTGGGAATGATGTTTGGTCTAACAAGTGCTTCATCAGCAGAGCCAATGTTAAGCAGCAGGTAGAGTGACCTAGAATAGGGGGAGTGGTCAAAGTACGTGCTTCCACGTGGACCTTTTGCGGTGGAATGCCGCACCGTGCTGCTGCTGTGCCAGACCTGTGGGCTTTTTGTGCTTGGGAGGGCATGTAAAGCAAGGGGCGTTTGCTATGCACTGCAGTTTTTTTGCGCTGGGTTTTCACACAAAACGCTTGAAGTCTACTGTACTTTGATAATGGGGTGTTGGATGAACTTTACTAAACTTTAGGGCAAGAACTCGTGTCAAGTGGCGTCAGCATGGCCTACTCTAGTGATACAGCTTGAGAACATTGGTGCATGCGTAAACACGCGTAAAATGAACAGGCATAAGAATGAACGAAAACAAACTTCTTTGCTCGGCTAATCTAGAAATCCCAGTCAAAACTGTTCAAGTGGTCCAACTGGAAAATTGCCAATTGGCATCAATTGGTTTTCAATCGATTAGAACTTTGCCACCAGTTGGAAATGTACCAATTATATCCAATTGATAAACCAGTTCATATGCAATTCGTTATACCCATTTAGACAGAACTGGTGGCTTAATTGGTTGACCAGTTGATGTAGACTGGGATTCAATTGGTCATCTAATTGAAGCATAACTGGTGCACGAATGGCTAACCAGTTCAAGTGAACTGGTGTGCAACTGGTAATCTAGTTAATCATAAGTGGTCACCCAGTTAAAACTAGATGTTGTTCAATTGGTTAACTAATTTGAATAGGTGTAGTCATCCAATTGAAGCTAGCTGGTGTCGTAATGGTTTGCCAGTTGAAATGGACTGGTTCCCAACTCGTTAACTTGCAGAGTGCAAATGGTCATTCAATTAAAGCGAACTGGTGCTCAACATGAAAAGCCTTCATTAGACAATAGTTCAGCGAAAATGTCTCGTACAGAGCGAGCTTCGTAGTAAAACTCCCAATTTCTGCTTGTAAAGGTATTTGTACTCGCAGTGCTACCCGTTCTGCTGCAGCTTCTGGAAAGGTTGCTAATATATTCTTGTTGTATATAGTTTTTTCTTTGTTCCGTGTTGCATTAGCAATCGTGCAGGCAGGCTGCAAAAAAAAATATATATAAGACGGAATAACGGCTACATCCCACGAAACACAAGAAAATCTCAAAAACTGTTAGTAAATATCAAAAAAAGGATAGTCCAAAGGTATATAAGAAGTTCGTTATTTAAACCTAAGCAGCTTGAAAACCTCCTGTAACTGTGCTAATGCCACGTTATTATAAGACTAAAAATCTGCTAGCAATAATAAAAAAAAATGTCTTCCTAGAATTTTTAAAGAGCCTTTGTAAATGTTTACTATAAATATATTATTAGAATCCTAGTAAACTTCTTGCCAAAATTCTTAAGACTTTTGATAGATTTTAACACCTTTTTTAGACAATTATTTTTTATGCAAACCTGCTTGTTGAGCATTTCTTGTGATTAATTTGTTGCGTCATGTCGGCATTTTGCTATCGGTGCATTTAGCTGTTCAATGTTGAGGGACAAGTAGAGATAGCAGCATAATATGGCATCAAATTGATCGCTGGCACTTTTCTAACCAGCAAAATTGGTGCCCTATTTGTTGAAAGAATGAATTAGTGACTGCCATCTATCATTAAAATAATCTGTTTGTCTTGGAGACAAGACAGCCTTTAAATGTCGTCTCATTTTCATTTCTGGTGTCACCTGGAATGCATCATACTGCACATCGAAAAGTAAATGCAAAATTTCAACAAATGTTGTTGTATACTTGTAACCTTTATTATACATAACAATGACTACACACTTTGTCCCAAAACTTGAACGCTTTATAGTAACTATGATTATTGCGTACTCGCATGATACTTAGTCCAAGAACTTGCACACATACCAAAGGCACAAACTGTTTTCAACGGAAGACGTCTATCAGTGCAATGAAAATTCGCAGGCTAGCTTGGCAAACACATTATTGGCCCAGTAGCAAATATATGAAGGTATAAAATTTATTACAACCAAAAAGCAGCAATCCAACAATTGACTTTTTTTTAATCCATAATGCTTAAAAACGGGTAAGAACCATGAGTAGTCAAAATTAACTGGTTTGATCGAAAATCTGTGTAAACAATCAAATTGTGGTTTCGGGAACATGCAGAATTCTAATTCCATGCCAAAATGCTCTCACAGAAGACACAGTGAAGTAAAAAAAGTTACAGCATTCCAGAATGATTTCTGTCAGTTATCATTAACAATCTTAAACATGGTTAAATATCACTGTAACATATCACACATGGTTAGGTATTGGCAAAGTTGGGTATGATTAAGTATGATGGTAGAAAATCACTTCATTGCACTTATGGTATTAAATTCGAGAAGACGATGAACTAAGGTTACAAAAACATATTAAAACAAAATATTCAGTCAACATTACAGTGAAAATGAAATTATTGATCTGTGACCGATCAATATTTTGATCAAATTGCAGATCAAATTATTGATCTGCAACGTAAAAAGTTTAATTTTAATTGACACAAAAATTAAACATGACATACATCCTTAGGAAGCAGCATTGACACATTCAGAGGCGTGCTTTGTGCTTGCATTGAAATTCAGCCCTAAGAACAGAAAACTGCCTTTCCAGATAAGTAATGTGTCCAGGGGGACACAAAGTAAGACAATAATGCTGTCAGGTGCCCATCAACTAAGAATAATGAAATTTTGGTGCTTACAATAAGTGGGTATGTTTAGCATAGAAAAGTCTGTGGCCGTCGTGTGGCCGTCGCCTCAATTGGTGAAATTCTTCGAGCATGTCTATGCTCAGAGATATTCCACTCGGAAGTTTGATTGTGCTTTTCATGATTACGCATGCAAGACAGTGAGGATTGGTAAAATATTACTTCCTGGGGGGACGAGCAGTCAGTGCTTGCTATCACCAGCCGGTAGTAAAAAGGTAACCATTATGATGTTTGTCTATAGCTTCGACCTATGGTCAGATTATATGCTGCACCTCGGGGAGTACTAGCTGTGTGCTAGTGCTCACTGTCCTGCACGCTTATTAATGCAAGCCACAACTAAACTTTCCAGCAGAATATCTGAGCACAGGCATGCCGGAATTCTTTGGACACATGTAGTAATGCGACTGGCTCAAATTTTTAATATGTGCATGGCTGCCTGTGCAGTCACAAATAATTTCATTATTGAATCTTATTCAACAGCACGGCTGACAGTGATGGGTTGTAGTGCGATGTTTGCAAGGTGGCTACATACACCAAGGGAGAAAGGACAGAACCACACCCTAAGGAGCTTTGCCCCTAAAAGAGGAATAGCTTATGATCAGAATGATTGTAAAATAGTTGCTGTAACTTTCATGGAAAAAAAGGTACATAAAGTTGACCTAAAATACATGGTGGGTATAGTGTTTACTCTGTTCCCTTAAAGAACCTCAGGGATGCCTTCACTACGATGTCTTTCATAAACATATTGGTGTTTTGGGACAAGGAACCTCATCAATTATCATTGCACTCATCAGGATCAGTATTAAGTGATGGATAGAGATTTGTGCAAATGCAGCCATGCTACTCTTGTTTTATTGAAGTATTAGTGAGTATTGATAGATGGGACAAAAATAAGCCTTGTTGCAGATGCTCCTGGTTTATTTCTTCAGCATGCTTATCTGCTTACAAATTGTCCCCTCTAGCAAAAAAACATTGATATTTTTGTTGTGAGAATTTTCAGTTCTAATTAGTTCTAATTACTTCTATTCATATCGCAAATCATAGCAAAATCAGCTCTCAGCACTTCTTTCCGTTTCTTTATTTCTTTTTTCAACCTTTGTTGGTTATATCAATTGTTGCAATGACTTTTGCTTAGCTGTTGCATGTTGCAAACTGTGCCCCCCCCCCCTTTTACTTTTTTCTTTTTGTGCAGTTCCTTCCCTCTGTGCTCCGGGTCACTTTGTTTGTGATAGCAGGCGCTGTGTTCCTTTGTCTGGAAAGTGTAATGGCCATCGTGATTGTGCTGATGGCAGTGATGAACAAGACTGTGCAAAACAGGATGGTACGACATGTGCAACATTGCATTCCTTTGACTATGCATAGTCCTTCAGTGAGATGGGCAGCTCAGTTACACATGTGTTTGTCATTTTGCTTCAATGTGAAAAAAATTCAACTACTTTTCAACAGTTGCTCTATGTAGCTGTTATTTAACACAGCCTGTCTTTATCCTTTGCACCTCTGATTTGTCCCTGTGAAGCCAAGAGACAGTAAAAGCTAGAAAATTTTTTAAAGTGTGAGAACTCTAAAACTGATAGGAAATGAAAATGATTGAAGAAAACATGTAGAAGCTCAATACAGTTAAAGATTGTGCTATGCAGCAACATTTTTTCGTTGGCTTCCTTGGGCATCGACTGCTGCAATGAGCCGTGCTGGGAAGCCTGCACTGGCCAACCATGCAATAGAACTAATTTTCTGCACCATTTTTACAAACTTGCAGTATGCTGACTCTAACCAAATGTAGTCGCCTCCTGGTTACTTCTATCTGTTTCATTTAAATGAAACTGAGAAATCTTTGAGAAAGGTGATTGGGCCAAAATGGCCTTCTTGTTTTTGAGGGGCACTAGTGTTTTTTTGTCCTCTCCTCAGCCAGCCATTATAAGCATCATTTATTTTATTATTCATTTATTTGCATGCAGTACAGTCACTGTAGTAATTTTCATTTTTATGGTTGCATCGACATAAGTTAAAATTTTTAGGAATATTAAATAAATACTAGCAGCTTGCAAAGCCACATTGAATTTAAATCAAATGAAAAAATATTTTTCTGGTAGCTTGTGAATAATGCAGGCTCTTTCCAAATTTTGTTATCAAATGCATTCGACTTCGTTCACTACAACATAGTGTTGAAATATTCCCACCAAAAGCTGTATTGAAGGAAGCTTCATTAAAAGTAATAATTGAATTAGGAATGATTAAGCATCTTGTTGATTAATTCGCTTGTCTGCTGGCTCAAAGGTGGTGGGTCCAATATTGTGCAATATCTGTGCGCATTAAGGGAAACTTACTTGATAATTGAAATTTTTCCAGCCCTCTATTGCAGCATGTCTCATAATTGTATTTTGGCATGCAAAACCCATGAAATCTCTTTTGTTAACCAACAACAGCTGTGAAAGAACAAGGCTTCTTTTATAGGTCATGTAGTTATGGCAGACAATGCCACTTATGTATAAAGTATGGTGCACTGAAAATATTTTGTCGTTATTATGGTGAGAGAGAACTTGAGTATGGCATCTGTAGATATTACCAGAAGGACCCTGATATTACTAAATGATACCCACTACTGAATAGTTAGTCTATTATTTACTTTTATTATTTACTTTGTGAGCGATTGCATTTATCCAGAAAAGGACAGCTGTTTGAGCAGCACAGCAAGCTGCCCATTGATTTCACTGTGAATATATCAAACTTGCCACATCTTTTGCTTCTATTTCAATGTTTATTATGTAGTCAGTTAGGTAATCTACCAAAGTATTACTATAGTTTTAGTAGTTCATACAATTGCATTCACAGCACGACTTTTGGGTGTTATCTCACCTATTCATGTTGAATGCCATGAAATTATTTCATCATCCTATGGGGCCCTGTAAGGACAGATGAGTGGAAGGATGTCTAGCACATAGGCTTGCAAAACTAAAAAAATTATATTGACCAGACCAGGTCATTCAGTGCTTCCTGAATCTGTTAGAGGATGCTCCCTGCTGGTTTCAGACAGCAGGCATATATCTTATAGACCTCAGATGCTGCAACAAGCTGATGAACAGTGAATGGCAGTTTTATTGCCGGCACTCTATTTTGACATGGTATTCTTCATGGTTACTATGCATGCTTTTTTTCATGCTAGTTTTTTTACTCGAGATATGAGAAAACCAGCCAAAGTGATTGCTTGACTGTCTTATTATGTATTGCATTTCGCACATCTCATTGTACAGTTAGATACCTTTATAAGAGGCATGTCTGGGCAGCAACTCTTGTCTCTTATGAGATTTTTCCTATAAGCAGGGCACCACGTAAGCTTTTTTTCTTATCAACCCGTGTTTTACTATAGGCACATTGGTATCTCTTATACCCATTTGTCCCTTAGAAAAGGCTTTGACTGTAATTCAAGGTGAATACGGAAGCAGCATACCCTGAAGTTATCGGCAACACATTAGCCAGAGAGGCAAGCTCGTGCGGATGGCTCCAAGCTGGTGCTGCGCCAATCGGCTAAAAGTGCAGGATTAGGCAGTTAGTTTTTATTGTGATCTTGTTACTGTAGGCCCATAATTCGCTTTTGTATTCTAGACTGTTTTCACTTGTCTAAATAATTTGGAATATTTCACGCTGCAGTGTTCATTTATTTTATGCTGCACCAAGCAACATGTTGGTGATTCGCTTGATTGTAGTGACATTCCACAAATAACGAAAGTAGTTTTATTTGTAAAACTATAGAATTAGTTTGTTTGCCTCTAAGAAAATGTATGCCCTTCTTCCACGACTCACTTGGATCGGGCCTAGAGTCTGAGTGAGTCTGGTTGAGTAATATTTTGGCGAGTTTATGCAGAAAATTTTTTGCGAGTGCGAATTCGAGGGAGTATGGCCCAGAAAACTTTTAGTGAGACAGTTCAAGTGAGTCCAAAGTACAACATGTATATCTTCAAGAGTTTGACGAAAGTTTGTCTGGTCAGGTATCATGATGAGGATGTAGGTGCGGTCCAAGTTTTAACAAGGAACCTGTATGGGGCCTGAAACGTCTGGCTTTGTTCATCTTGGCTTGGTTAGTGACCGCATCTACATCCTTGTATATTTCTTGAGTATGAGAGAGTTGCTCTTGTCTTTTGCCGACCTATGCCCTCTCCAGACAATGTTTTGTGGAACACTGGGCTATATGGGAAATGGTTACCTACTTTCAGTGGTTGGTGCACATGGCATGGTCAATGATAACAACAAATTTAATAATGATTTAAATGGATTTCATAACTGCTCTTGTGCGAGCACTTCTTTCTCGCTCCGAATGCTAGATGTTATAATGATCTTTTTCCAGCCTCACAAGCCAGATGCTTTCATCTTTCTTAGATTCATCAACAGGTGTCACTAGCTTTTCAGCTAACACTTCGCAGATGTCCAGCTGCTTTCGACATAAAATTGTCTTCTCCGAGCTCAGTGCTTACAGCCAAAATAGTGTATGCCCTTTTTGGGACAGCGTTTTATCAAACCTTGAATGAATTTACCCTCTTCTGGTACATCTACATATGTGCACAGAACTCTTTTTTGCCGGTTATTTCAACTAGTGGCCAATGAAGAGTGAGAGGCATTGCACGTAGGATCTCGCCTGATTGCGCACAACTGCAGCCAAAGATTTTGGCAGTAACACCACTATATTAGAAAGACTGCTTCATGCGCCATAATTCAGAAACAATGTTAACTTTCACCCCTGAGCCACTCAAAACTGATTAAGAAAATAAATGAATGTCATGTAGAAGGAGTCTCTTTAATAAATGTAATCACACATTTTACTTCTCTCAATACAATCAAAAACCAACATGTACCATGTTCCTGAGATTTAATACTATGCAAAAATAGTACATGACTTGCTACAGAATAAATAAATGCTCAATTTCATGCTTAATTACCAAAACTTGCACAAAACCTGTTGCATTATTTTATTCTTTGAAGTAGAATGCCTTGAAATCAAGTTGTGTAAATATGGCACATTTGCAGATGGTGTGTAAAGGGGTTATTGCAGTATTCAGATTATGCATTGTTGTTTACCTCGACTGTTTGTGAACTTTTTCAGGAGGATCTCACTGTGGCCCTCACCAGTTTGTCTGTGATGGTCGTAGGTGTGTTGATAAGGACAGGAAGTGTGATGGCCGTCCTGACTGTTCTGATGAATCTGACGAAAGGGACTGCCCAGGTGCAGGTAATGGGAGACTTCCTGCCTTGTCATTCACATACGACAGTGCGTGTATCTGCCACCTAGCTTTGTGAGCTCAATATCAGTCATTTTAATTAAGCATGCATCGTATAAGAAATTCTCATGCAGTGCAGTGTCACAATTTTCTCACTTGATTACATTATTGATAGCCGCTTAAGTATCACCATTAGGTTTGCTTGCCTATGTTATGCACGTCAGGATTAGTGGTTCATCACAGCCAAGACAACCTTCTCATCTTTGAAGCTGAAATTTTGCATGTTTGTGCTGCTGTTTAAGGCTCTCTTTGTACCATTGACTGGATCACTGCCATTTACTACTTATTTAATGCATGAAGTCTGCTGGTTATGGAATTTGTTTTTTTACTTCCTTCATTACACTGCAGAGCGGTTGAGTGGGCACATTGAAGTTCGTGAACATGGCATGCTTTCTTTGTAGACAAAGTGCTGAGTGCCTCTGGGAGCCTGTGCAATTCAACAATGTTTCGTTGTGGTGATGGCACTTGCATCCCTCTATCGTACGCGTGTGATGAAGAGGTAGATTGTAACGACGGCTCCGATGAGCGTTGTGGTATGTTGCCATCAGTGCTCTGCTGTGTGCTTTGCTTTGGCTGCTGCGAGAGAAAAGCATGACACCGCACCAAAAGTTCTTCCCCTGCCGAAATATTCTGCAAAGCTGGTTCGGTCATGGCATGTTACTGATAACATCCCATAAACTGCTTGCACATCATGCCTATGTTTTATGTTTGGCTGCCATAACGAATTGGCCTGGATTTTGCAGTGTGTATGTATATTTAGCATAGATGTTCTGGTGATCTAAGAATATTAGGCTGGAGCGAATAGAGAATTTTAGGTTTAAGAGAATTCGAAGCATATAATGGTTTTAGTCGAATATTTTCAGATCAAATTTTAGTATTGTACACAAGGTGTTTTAAGAAATGTGTCCATTATTGAAAATTTACAGAAAGGAGGGATCTGCATGTTACCTGCAGCATTTTCTTAACTGTGACAGAAGGCAACCTCAGATGCATACAAATATTTATTGTAGCAGTAATTATAGAAATTAACACAATTAATTTTTCAACCAGTGAAAATAAGTGGTTGAGTAAAATGGGCGAATCGGCACTCTTTGGTGAGACTAGTCCCTAGCCACCTTGAAACTTCTGAATTGTGGCCACTGGTAATCACCATGGGGCGATGAAATCTGGCTAATTGAGCAGGTGAAACTAAAACCAACGCACCAAACAGCACGTCTATCATTCATTTCTAAAACCTCTTCAATAATTTCCCTCACATCAGGGGAGGAAGATAAGCAAACATCGATAAGCGGCTGTGTGACAGAAAAGCGCTGCCACAAAACTAAGTGTGTAGATTGGCCATTTTTAACGGCAACGTAAACAATGTCCTCATTGAGAGCATTTTCTAATTGAACAGTTGGTGCACTTTTTGGTGCATCTGATTCGGTTTTCTCTGCCAAAGTAGCCAGATTTCACTGCCTTGCGGTGATCACCATAGGTTGCCATTCAGAAATTTCAAAGTGGCTACCAACTGTCCTCACCAGTGACTTTAATTTGCCCATTTCACTCAACGGCTTATTTTCACTTGTCAAAAAGTTAATTGCGTTAACTTTTATTATTACTGCCGTAATAAATGTTTGTTGGCATCTGAAGATGCCTTCAGCCACACTAAACGGTATGCCACAGGTAGCATGTACATACCTCTTTTCTGTAATTTTTTAATAATGAATACATTTCTTGAAGCACCCTGTGTATTGCATATTGCAAAGAAAAATGGCCATATTTATTATAACCTCACTAACTTGCATGTTATTTTTAAAAATTGCAATGAGGCTTAAGCAAACGCCATTTTTTTGCATCAAAAGAAGTGGAAACAACTTTGAATTGTAGCATGATTCGACTTCTGGTAAAATGCAAGTGACAGCATGCAAAATATGTTCAGTTTTAAGTTTGCTATACTTAAAGCTTATAAGCCGGTATAACAAGATTTTAAACTTAAAAGGAATTGATGTGATAATACCTTCATTCAACAAAAAAGGGGGCTTTGCTGTTATGTGAATTTTTTTAATTGTGTTTTCATGACTTAGCCCTATTTTACTGCAGTGAAACCACTGCTACAAAAAGTAAGATGCAAATTAATGTACACCTAAGTGCTTTCACAGCTTACTATTCATACCTTCACTGTAGTGAAACCACTTTTACAGGACATGACGTGCATTCTAATATATGCGTTTATTCGTTTGTTTCAAATATTTTTAAATTTTTAAAACTTTGAATTCAATTTGAAGTGAATTCAAATACCACATTATTCATTTGCATATTTAAAGCATTCAAATATTCGTACAAGACTAAAGATTGTTACTATATAAACATCCTTGTCCCTAGTTAGAACATTCAAACAATGTAATGCAATTGAACTAAATGAATAAAAATGAAAGCATTTGCTAGATGATGTTTCAAGAAGTAAATATTTTGTTGTCGTAACTGTAAGTGGCTCGGGTCTTTTCAACTTAAATTTCATTTTTGCACAGCGCAGTTTCGATATATTTCTGACCGAAACAATATATCCAAATCTGCTCATTGCAGGTCATGTTAAAAAACTGTTTGTGTTAGGCTTGAACATACAAAGATGTTCCGCTAAGATCATCCCCAAGTAAAGTATTTTTTTAAACAGGTGTATAATTCTGTTGGTGCCAGCATATAAGGTAGTCTAAATCTTATTAGCATTTGGGCTTTGCACATCCTGCTCTCGCCTACTAGAAACACTTTCAGTTTTATGAAAGCTCGCCACCTCTGCACTCCACACGCAAATTTACTGAAGGGGCACTATTACCATGGTCTGCTGACCGGAGGATCAAATCCTGGTTATCACGGCCACGATTTCGATGTACTTAGATTTAAAAAACCCCAGTTAGTTGAAATTTCTGAAGAAATCTCTCATAATGATGTCATGGATTTGGGACTTCATTTGAACCCCAACAGTTATCGTTTGCTGCAGTAGCACATCAAGGGAGCCCTGTAAAGACTCGTGTAGCAATACTGTGTGCTGCATGCTGAACCATCAAAATGAGAACTTCTGCCGCAGCTGTAATTATGATCATTGTTGCATGCTTCTGTGGTATTCTGTTGCTCTGGGGACCACAGGAGCAGCAAATAAGAAGGGTGCCCCAAAATTTCTGTATTGAGAGCCTTAAGAGCATAGCTGGTAATTATTGGACAGAAATTTCATTTGTCTTCTCTCGCTGCAGTTTGGTTCGTGGTTTGATTACAACACTTTGTTATTACATTCAAGGCTTTCCTTTTCCTTTCACTAGCATTGTTGGATCAACGATGCTTGTCTTTGTTGTTCAAAGCATCACCCTATTGCACATCATTTCCTGCATTTATCGACCGAACTGTCTGCCATTCCGCATCTGAAATTACAGCAGACAATACTACTTGGTTGAGCATCCAATCTGCAGCATTTAATGGTAGTTAGTTGGTCTATTGCTCTATTTCTTATGACTCTGGTTTTACCAAACAAGTTCCGACAGGGGAAGCCACTGATCTCACATGTGTGCCCCAGACTCGACATTCAGCGGCTGAAGGTGCAGTGCAAGTTTAGAGCAAGCTTGTGCTTTTGACAGAGTGCTCTGTCTTCAGAGCTGTGCAAACTACCTTTTGTGCACAGCCTGTTTCGAAACGCTAGACGCTAATACCATATTTACTCGCACAATCCTCGCACCGCTTCAAAGTTGGGGGTTGCAAGAATTATGCAGAGAAAACTTTCCACAAAAACGTACAGAGAGGAAAATAAAATGATGTGGCTGCGAATTGGGATTTTCACACCAGCTACTAGCAGCAAGCTTTGAGGAGTACTAATCAAAATTTACCTCAACAATAAAAGCAGAGGTTCAACACAAGGCAAGATTTATTTGAAACACAAAAAGTGCAACCAAATAGTCGAGAATTGGAATATCATACGCAAAGCTTGTGGGCGTTGTGGGCATAGCAGCAGCGTTCATAAATCAACAGGAGCCCTCAAAAGGTAAGCGTAAGATCTCAGTATTGGGCTGATGGCTATTTAACAGAATCGTCTGCAGTTTCCTTCTGAAGAAATAGTTTACCATCAATCCCAGTCTTAGGCACATGGCAAACCCAATGCGTCTTGGTGGCTTTCAGCTGCCGTTGCCAGTAGCGAACACAAAACTCGTCGACTTCGAAAGGTCTACAGGCAGCCCTGTTGGCATTGTTTAGTGCATGATCAATCTCTTTCAACTTGAAAGCAGCCATGTAGCTTCAGCATCGCCCCATAACATGACAACATTCCCGACACAACACACAAAACACGCCGCAACACGCTCTTGCCGCTTTGGCTTGAGTTGGATTAAATCTCCATGCAATAATAGTATGCTTGATGCTTAGGAGATGGCGCCAGATAGCGCTCGCTACCATCATTAATGGCTGAAACGAGCAGATGACATTATTAATTGTGGCAACTATGGGGGTGCGATAATTACTTATCGAAAAAAAAACTATTTTTGCTGGGCGATGTGGGGGGTGCGAAGATTACGCGAGTAAATACTACTCCGTATAGTTGGAAATACGCAGCAAGTTTGTATTTTTGTCTTAATTCACTCACAAAATTATGCTGAAGGGCTCTTTCAAAGGTTTTAAGTCATAACAAATGCAATACACTTATTAAAAAAAAGAGATCTGGTTTCATGTATTTATGAAGTTTACTTCAGGTATTTATATATATGTACATATTTTTTCACGCATTCAGTGAATGATCGAGCATGCCCATGTAAATTATTTTTTAGCTGTACAAAACATGCAAGCTGCTCATTACACCACTACTTCTACAGTGAAAAGGAACTTTAAATACTTCACTGAAATGGCCAGATCAATGTTAAGGCTTGAAGATATCAGCTTTTCATTGTTCAATGCAACTATATATGTTTACATTATAGAGAGAAAAAGCTTCCGATGTTTGCAATAGCACTTGCAAACATTTTGCTGGACTGGCCTGCGTACTTATGTTTAGCAAAGGGTGCCTAACTGGTTTTTCTATGCACCCAAGATAAAGAAATAAGTTCTGTGAAGATGAATAGGCTTAGCTCTTCGGAGTTTCTACCAGCTTGTTGTTTGCTCTTCTGAGAATTAGTTCCTTTCAGGTTTGCTTAACTTTCAAGGAATATAATACTTTGGACTTTACCACAAAAAATTTTGTTTGTGACATGTTTATAGCTTTACTTGTTGCTGTTGCAACTATGAAGTATCTTGATGATGATATTTGTGAACATTGCATGCTTATTAGCCAATAAGAAAGCCACAATATGCAGATCACTCGCATGGTGGCCAAAGACTGGCTTGTGCTACTAACGCAACTGTCTAGCCAAACACTTAAGTTATGCATTCTAACGACTGACACCGTAGTTGCAGTGCACAGCTGTTGCAAAGTGCAGATTGCATATGTTTGCTTTGCTGTTGCATTGTGACACTGCTGTGTTCCACATCATTTTTCAGATGAATGTCAACCGGATCAATTCAAGTGTGATGGTGGAAGGACGTGTGTTGACTCTGCCAGAAGATGCGATGGTCACTATGACTGTGCTGATCGCACTGATGAGCAAGGCTGCCCACCTCATCAACCTGGAGGCCAGTGTAAGGCCATTAGCATTCTTTCCCCTTTTTTTTTTGTTTCCTTTTAATTTGATTCATTAGCTCAGCTCAGTGCTCCAGAACTCTTGCATTTTTTGTGGCTATCTATTTAAAAGACACGAAAGATTTAAATAAGCTAGTAAACTGTCACTGTTGGAGTTCTAAACATAATGCCCATTTTAACGACTGATATTGAGCACTGTTGCAGTTGTTCAGAGTGCCACTTGTCCAAGGCAACAATCTGCTTTGCTGGCTGACATCGGCTTTGTGCCAAACCTCTCCCAACTAGCAACACATTTGTGCATTGCTAACATTTAAGGTTTAATGTGCAGTTCAAATATCTACAAAAGATAACTTTGGCCCTAATTCACTACTTAAATTGACAATGCAGACCAGGATGTGCATGTTCTCATTCATAACTGATACTGTTGCTCGGAATTTCAGATGAATGCAGCTTGAACAATTTATTCAAATGGGGTATCTGTACACACATTTGTTACGATCATTTGAATGCTACTTCGATTTGGTTTTGATTACTACAGAGGTCTCAAATATGCAGCGTGCTCTCAGTTATAGGGTGCAGCCCACACGGGATTTTCATCTTGCATAAAAAAAATTCTTATTCATTATTTTCATTAGCTACACAGACCTGGTTCATTTAACTGGCTCTGTGGGTCATCTTATTTATTTACTTTGCCTTTAAGCATGACCATAAAACAAATTATACTTCAAAATCTGCATCCAAATTTGAGTAACTTCGGAGATCGATATCGACATGTTGAAATTCTGGGACTGAATATCCTTCAGAAATGACCTGTATATGAGATATGGGAAAGGTTGCTTTTAAATGGCAGCATTTGCTCGCCGATTTTACAAACTCCCCCCACGCTCCTACCTCCTTCACTGCCCTGGCTCTTGCTGGAGTAAATTGCATGACTGCAGTCCGCTGGCCGAGGCAAGTTGTTGGAGACCCCTGGACTCTAGTGGGCTTGGAATATAGAACTCCTGCACAGTGTCTTGTAGCACGCGCGCGCGCGTGTGTGTGTGTGCGTGTGTGTGCGTGTGTGTGCGTGTGTGTGTGCGTGTGTGTGTGTGTGTGTGTGTGTGTGTGTGTGTGTGTGTGTGTGTGTGTGTGTGTGTGTGTGTGTGTGTGTGTGTGTGTGTGTGTGTGTGGTGTGTGTGTGTGTGTGTGTGTGTGTGTGTGTGTGTGTGTGTGTGTGTGTGTGTGTGTGTGTGTGTGTGTGTGTGTGTGTGTGTGTGTGTGTGTGTGTGTGTGTGTGTGTGTGTGTGTGTGTGTGTGTGTGTGTGTGTGTGTGTGTGGTGTGTGTGTGTGTGTGTGTGTGTGTGTGTGTGTGTGTGTGTGTGTGTGTGTGCGCGCGTGTGCGTGCGCGCGCGTGTGCGTGCGCGCGCGTGTGCGCGCGCGCGCGTGTGCGCGCGCGCGCGTGTGCGTGCGCGCGCGTGTGCGTGCGCGCGCGTGTGCGTGCGCGCGCGTGTGCGTGTGCGTGTGTGCGCGCGTGTGCGTGTGCGTGTGTGTGTGCGCGCGCGCGCGCGTGTGTGTGTGTGTGCGCGCGCGCGCGCGTGTGTGTGTGTGTGCGCGCGCGCGCGCGTGTGTGTGTGTGTGCGCGCGCGCGCGCGTGTGTGTGTGTCACACACACACATGAGCATAATCTGATTTTTTTTTGCTTCCATGGTACTTTCTTCAGGAGACCTGTTTTTTCAGTACGGTTCTTATGTAATGATGTAACATTGCCTGTTTTTGTGCATCAGTCCACTACTGTTCATAAATGTGCCTTTGAAACTTTAATATTCACTGTTTCACCTAACAGTAACGCTTATTGTGGGCATGTTTAAATTAATGGCAAGTCACTAAGCTGCATGCTTTAAACTTGCTGTTCCTGGTTGTTATTTTATAATACTGTTCACCGACCTTTTTTTTTTTTCAGGATGCATATCAGTAATTTATCTAACCTCACTTCTCCTCCAGTAATTTTTACCATCCACTATACAGCTTTGTGTACAAAAGGTACCAGATAATTGTAACCAGTCATTCAGTGACTGCCTGATATGCCAGTCATGCATATAGATACTGTATATATAAATTTTATTGTTCTTGCTTTGACGTGGTCAAGCTGGACATTTAAGTTGTGGCAGCCATGTGTTCCAAGCTTGATCAACATTCTACATAGATCTAATTTTAAACACAGCGTCTTGATATTGAAATCTGTTTTTGTTATTATATTAAGCAGCCAAGTGTTCCACGTAAGCATGAATACCATGCCACCATAAATTCGATAACAACCCTGCAAACTTTCGATGTTTTCCAACACCACATTTGTTCATAGGTTTCCTTTGCTTCTCAGTCTTTGTCGCGATGGTTCCCCTTTCCTTCTTTCCTACCAAGCAATGTGTGGTAATAAAGTGGGACTGCAATGTGCCCCTTAAGGTGCTTGTGGTCAGTGGTTCAGTATGTTGACCTTACATTGATTCTCGTGGACAAGTGGAAGAGCACATTGAGCAAGTCAAGCGGCACACTCCCTCGTGTGTATGCAGACTCTTGGAAAGATAAATATGCTGCTGTCTTTTAGTCTTTCTTTGGCTGAATGAGCATGTATGATGCACCTGTGTTCTGCACGAGTCTCAGCACATCTCGCTTCTTTCACACTGCATGAAAAGGTTGTTTAGGTCGGTGAGTTCTTTCTAGTCGGCAACATTGCAGAACTATTGCAGCTATGGGTTTACCTTGTAAGGGGCACTCACTGGAATGCATTATTTTTGTAATGAAAGATGTGGGTCATTTTTGAAGTAAACCAGCTGGTCTACTTCAACATCTCTAAATATTGATATAAACAACTTGGAGGTACGTCTAGTCTTATTGTTATAATGGCTATATCGCTATTATTTTGCAAGTTTATTGAAAACTTGACCTTATATTGCTGTACTGTATTGTTGCCGACCCATATTGTCAGCTTCATTTATGGGCCTCCGTTGCTGCCCTGTAAAGGCACCTTATTCATGCATGCCACTGGGTGAAGCCTGCTTCTTGCATGTCTTTTTAAGGTGCTCGTGTGTGCATGCATGGTTCTTGTACATGTTAAAATGCACACTGTGTGGGTGGACTTTGCCATAGCTGGAATTTTGTGGATGCCGCTTTTCCAGCGCCGCCAGCTGTGGATGACTGCACTGCGGACGAGTTTCGGTGCAGTAGTGGCAAGTGCATTGCTCAGGCGTTGGTTTGCAATGGCAGGCGAGATTGCACAGACAACTCTGATGAGAGCGACTGCCGTAAGAGCACTGTCCCTCCTTCTGTTCTTTAGCACTCAGCACAGCACTGCTAGACTGGTTTTTGTTGCATAAAAAAGACACGGTCTAGTTTTGACTCTTTGTCCTTCCACCTACTTCTTTGCTCATGAAGGTTCCTGGTCACATCAACAATCAGCTGCAGTGCAACACGCTCTGTTATCAGCAAACTGTTGAAGCACAACTCTTGAATGCAGCTGGCTGGTACTGTTTAATTGTTTCATTATGTGCCATAATGTCTCAAGGCCACTGTTTGTGCATGCACTTCACTCTTTTTTTTTTTCTTAAAGGCTAGAGACATTCTTACAGCTTGCATTACAGCCTTTGCATCTAAGCTTTTTGCTGGCCCAAGCTATGTGCAGAAATAGGCCATGCTGGCAAGCTATCAACATGCCTCTACTAGTAGAAAGTGCTATGAGCTTGAGTGTTAGTATACATGGATATCACTGATTTAAGTGGTATCACACCACAGTTAAAAAAGTTACTGCAAGGATATTGGAGCTCATATTAAAAGGTTAGGTTTTCAAAATAGTGAAACCTCAATAAAATAAAAAAACGGCAGTTCTCAACATTCTACGTGCCAAGCTGCGCATTTGCTCTACTTCATCTAGTAAAATAGTGAACATTGTGCTCCTATGTGACACATAGAAGTGCTTCTTTAGCCTGCTATCTTGAGTGACCTGACAAAGAGAGGTGGGGACATGCCACAATGTTGCACAACCATGAGCGTCATTAGATAAACATGACTCTTCCTTGTCCAAATAAAGCAGGCAATAATTTTGTTTAAAGGAAATTAAAAAATGGCGACGTTTCAAAGCCTTATGGGTTCCTCGTTCTTCATTGTGAACAGGCAACCTATAGCTACACGCAAATGTCATGCATTTATTTCCTTTCAAACAAAGAGAGCACCTGTTTTATTTTGACAACTAACAAGTCTTTTCAAGTTTTGCAGTGTAGTTGTTTTTCATGTGAGGCCATTGTCACTGCATTTTTATAAGCACATCATACAAAAAAAGCTGCATGTATTATAGTCTAGCATTGAGTTTGTCACTTGAGCAATTCATCACTTGGCCAAAGATTGCTCTGTGGCCGTCAACAGGGGTTGCCTCTTCTCTGCGCAGGGACCTATGAGTTCCACTGTAGCATGACTAGAATTGAACATTTTAACCCATGCTGTTTCGTGGAACCATGTTTAAGATTCAGCAAATCAGTTCTGCAAAGCATCCTAGCTGGAGGAACAACGGGACAGGGGAACAACGGCCATCTGTTTAATAGTGCAAACTTGCCAGGAAAAACCCAAGCATATTTGTTGGAAAGAGTCATTTAAAAAAAGATTTTGACTGGAATTTGAAACTGGGACAAGTGCCTTTCTGGGATGCTCACTGTGCTGTCTAAATTAATCAGCAGTCATATGGTAAATTAATCAACACCTTGAAGCATTGCAGATCTGTTCTGTAGAGCATCTTTCATGCTTCAAGCTTACTCTTGCACTGCAATGTGCTACCCTTCTAACTAGCATGAACAATGGTGACTGCCACAGAGATCCTAGGTCTAAAACTACAACATTTTTTGACAGCTAAGCATTCTTCCTTAGAAACCTGCCTGTATGAGTTTCCACCATTGGTATAACCAGATCAGACACGCGCATTGATACATTGAATAGGTTAAACCCTCCTCCACTGGAAATAATCTTATTAGTTACACTCCTGGCTTATTTCGTAGATTCATGCCAAAATATAGATGTGCATTCTTTTTTTCCTTTTATGTTTAAAACATTCAACCTTCTACATTTTATTTGAGTTACCACTATTCATTATTAATTGCCATAGTGTAAGGTTAGGTTCGTAAATACCTTCCTTATTAATTTGAAAGTTTCCTAGAGTCATGGTTTCATCACAAGTGTAGCAGTGCTGCTCTGTGTGACGTAGGTGCCGTGCTTTCGTAGTGTTCCACTGCATTGAGCTGCTTTCTGCTTCCTGCTTCAGTCCACTTGGTTTTGCTTGGAATTGAAGCATCCAACTGCATCAGGTTTTTTTGTTTTTTGGTTTTTTTTTCTGGCAATGCAATCAGTTTTCACCATTCATACTGCAGCATGCCGGCAGGGGCAATTTAGGTGTGGCAATGGCAATTGCATCAAGATGGCAAGGCGCTGTGATGGCTACCATGACTGCCAGGATAGGAGTGATGAACTTGACTGTCGTAAGTGCCTGGGGGCTGACTGGCTCCGCTTGCTTTGGTGGCTTCAGAACGTATTGCTATTGATCCATATCATGTGATCCATATTATGTGATCCATATGTGATCCATATCATGTGATTTATATATGATCCATGTATATGATTCGTATACATGTGATTAGTGAAATATAGCCTTTGAGCACTGTGGCACACTTGCATGTAGAACAAATTTTGTTTTGTGATCAGGCAAGCTCAAGCCATCATAATGTTTTGGGAGCAGGCAAGCTTGCTTTAAAGTCACTCAGAAGTAACATGCTGGTTGGCCATACTGCTTGAAATGTTGAAGGTGGCTTTGGATGTATAGGCTCCTTATAATGCACTGAATGCCCCCACATAGAGTAGAGATTAATTTCATCAAGCAGACAGTATACTGACATGTAGAATCTTATTTTTTCTTTCTGTAAGAGGCTGAGAGTGTTGGGGAAGAAAGATTACTAAAGATACTATGTATAGTCGCTGTAAAAAAGATGAGCTCAAGCGATTGTTTCAGTCAGTTACTTGTGCTAATCTTTTTCTATAGCGACTATCATTTTTCTTTTTTTCTGTAATCTTCAAGTGTCACTGTGTAGGGGCTCTTTTGTCGAATTTTTGTGGCCTACAGTGGCTAACATAGGAATCATTTTCGTGATGACTCTGGACCGAGTTTAGGCCAGATAGACGGGAGACTGCTCTCCTGTGTTTATTACAGGGGAAAGGGGGTGATTGGTTGGCATGACAGTGGCCACATGACCTACATGGCCACACGGAGTAAGCTAAGAAAACATGCATGGTGGAGGCCTAGCTCCACCCTGGGGCTAATAAGACAAACTTGAATGTAAATGTACTGATGTGCTTGCATCCCACTAGGGGTTGCACGACACAACACTTGTCATGGCCGAGTTGTACCAAATCTCTATTTTGGCCCGTGAAATATATACAGGTATGTCGTCAGCGACACTAACTGCACTTTGTAGGCCATCCAGAGCAATTTGTTGTAGTTCTTGAAAAACCTTACATGCAGCCAAGCAGTAACCACCTGCATCGTCCAAAGGGCATCTGAAATGTCAGCATGCTTGACTCGTAATGTAAGACACAATGCCAATATCCATTTTTTAAGTCGAGTTTTGAGAATACCTTGGCTTGTGCAAGTTCTGGCAAGTATGTCTTCTGGTGTTGGCAATGGGTGCAGTTTTTGCAAATTGAAGAAAGTTGCTGCCAAAAATATCAGATTGGTCTGTTTTGCACCGAGCAAACCGGCAGACCTGTCTAAGAGGGTTTTGCAGCTCGGCACACAATGCAGAGTTTGCGAAATCAATTAGGTAAAAAAATACTGCGTATGTGACACCTGTGTGGTGTATAAAATTTCTTAGTTGCGATCAGCAATAAATCGGACAATCTGGTCGACGCATTAGCATTTGTTTATGGGAGCATACAAATCTTTTGGCACTGGTAGTACCCTCCGCTACATTGCGAGCAGTGTGATTGAACACCCATGTTCGGAAATGTATCCATTGTAGGTAAGGCTAAGATGCAACATGGAAGAGAATTTCTTAAGGTGTACCGCATATAGAAGCTTGGTCCAGGAAAATGTGTAAGCACAGCTTCACCTTTCATAAACAGGGGTGACATCCACGGATAAGATAGGTGCATTCTGCATGCTCTGAATAGACTTGAGAAGAGGCATATTTTTGAAATAACAGTTGTTAGTAGTCACCTCTGTGTTCACGGTCTCCAGATCTGTCTCTTGTTTTTTTCTTTTTCTGGCAATTTAGTTGCTTTATTTGATTTTATGTATGTACTAACTTGTCCAAGAAGCAACTCTTGAACGCTAGGTCGAAATTCACTGTTATAAGGCTCGTCTTTCCCGACGTGTCTTTTCCTAACACAGTTGCCACGTATTCCTCTATCACAATAAACTCGACTGAATATGTCTTTTGAATCTTCATATCTCTCAGGGGAAGCTGACACTTGCACTTTGGTGTGATAGTCGTTCTATTATGCATCTTTAATTGTGTAGGGGCTTCCTCTTGATCTCTGCCGTGGACATATTTTTCAGGGATAACATTAACAGCGACTCCACGGTTGACTCTGAACCTGGTGTGTTCTTTGCTGTCTCTTGTCCCTAGTGTCATGAAAATTCCATCTTTTACTGCCAAGATGTCGTCTGAGCTGGAGTCACTTTTATACAAAACTCGCACACTGTCACTACCTTTGGTCTTGCACTGTTTTGAGGAGTGGTTTTGCTTGCCGAAGTTAGTGAACTCTTCCCCACATTAGCTTTTCTTGAAAATGTGAACTGTTTCACAGTGCCAGCATGCTTTCATTGGTGGCATGGGAATTTCGGTCACACTTTTTTTGCTTCATTGCTTTCATAATGTGCAGAGGGTTGGCATCTTGACTCGGATTGCTTGCTTCTTGCCTGAACATGTTTAGCTGCTTTGCTGAGCAAACTTTTGCAGCTGTTTTGAGAGTTGAGTCTTCAAGATCCAGTAACTTCATTTACACATTCTCGTTGTGGATGCTGAAAATTACCTGATCTTGGATCATCTTGTCACATTGTTCCTCGAAATTAGTCTTGTGCCTTTGCTTCCAGGTCCATGAGAAAGGAGTTCAAGGGTTCATCTTTCCCCTGCATCTCAACAAGTTGCTCGAGTACACTTCATTTCTTCTCAGGGTGAAGTGCTTGTCTCGCTTCTCCAGTAAAACACTTGGCACTTGTGAGCGGTCCGCGTTGGGTTCTGCCTCGCCAAAATCAAATGTGTTGTAGACTTCTATGATTGCGAGTCTCACCATTATTAGAAGCATTGCAACCTTTTGCTCATCAAACTTTTTTTCTTTTCATCTGTCGCGGTCAAGTATAAGATGCTGCCTGAACGACTTCCAGTTTGCATACATATCTCTCGTCAGGCACATATTCCCTGGTGGCTCAATCACCATGTTGGTTGCTATTGTTGCAGTTGGCTGCATGGTAACGTTGAACTCACAGCTGTGAGTCAAGGCGTGGCTCAAGCTTGGTCATCGCTCGTGGTCTTGCTTGCTTCGGTGCTTGTCACCACTTCTGACGCTATGTTTAAATATCGTTCAAAAGGCGACAAGCACGAGATGAGACGAGACGTGCTTTGCCAGAATGCCATGACTGTCCTGTAAAACTATACTATGAAGTAGAACATCGCAGATGATGATGATGATAGACATGTTTGTCCATTAAAATGTCTTGTACCCATTTTCTTGATATATAGTTATTTGCATTCTACAGTTAATGTAGAGTAAGTGTTTTGCTGTTGTGCGTATCGTTCCTCAAAATATTGTATTTCCTCAACTTTGTGTCTAATTGGTTACCTGTGATTATGTGTGCCCGCTTCCTGTATGGGTCTGCAGAAGACCTACAGTATTGTTAAATAAATAAATAAATAAACAAATGAATAAATAAAAAAATATGACCATTAAAGGCTGACGGACAGTGAACTTCAATAGAACTGGAGGAGTTACTGCAGGACCTTCTTACGAGAAGCCGTCGTAACCGCTGGCCGTGCCCACGTAGAGAACAGAACGCCGTGACGCTCTGCTGTTTCTGGGCCCTCTAGACTGCCTGGATTTGCCTGCCGAATTCTGTACTTTTGATGGCCTCCTCCCATTCGGCTTTGCTTGAGAGAAGGCTGTTAGGCAGCGAGGCACATTGCCAGAGCATGTGAGCCATAGAGCAGGTTTTATTCGCCCCGCCGCGGTGGTCCAGTGGCTAAGGTACTCGGCTGCTGACCCGCAGGTCGTGGGTTCAAATCCCGGCTGCGGCGGCTGCATTTCCGATGGAGGCGGAAATGTTGTTGGCCCGTGTGTTGGCCCGTGTAATTTGGGTACACGTTAAAGAACCCCAGGTGGTCAAAATTTCTGGAGCCCTCCACTACGGCATATCTCATAATCATATGGTGGTTTTGGGACGTTAAACCCCACAAATCCAAGAAGGTTTTATTGCAGTCAGGGCAGCTAGGGTCAACGTCCACGTATATTTTACTTAAACATCCTCGTGACAGGAAAGACCCCATCTGCAACATTCTCAAAGTAGCTGACTGTGCTCTGCTGAGCTTCGCGTTAGGAAGAGGATAGATTCTTCTGCTAAGCTGGTAATGTGTGGTTATTTCATTGAATGTGAGTAGTGCATTGTTCTGCTGAGTCTCTTCCTGCCCCTCTGTAGCCTCTACATCGTCGCGGCGCGCAAGTTGTCGCGCACAATCATGGGCCAGCTTGTCGAGGTTTGGGAGTCTTCAAAAACGATCTTCCCCATGTGTGCGGGGGAACAAAGTGATAACATAACGTGGACAAGTCCTTTTTTCTAGAATGGAGGCCGCCTCTCGAGCAAGGTTGCCCGATTGGTAAGCTCCGATTGCGTACGGCGATTTGCTCTGCTATACCCAGGGTGGCCGCCTTTACGGAGACGGAGGAGCGAAGCACCCCCCTCTTGTCTATAACCGACAACACGAAAATTCTACTGCTACCGTACTGCGCTGCATCGACAAACACGACGGAGTCAATGTCATACCTAACTCCCTTCACAATGGCTCGTGCACGGACTTTGCGCCTACCCTCATTGTGTTTGGAATTTGACTCCAAGGCCTATTCCCGCCGTGGCCTGCAGTATGTATCGATGGCACACTGTGTCAAATGCCTTAGTGAGATGCAGGGCTCGAATACCTCGCACGTCTTGAGCGCTAAATGGCTGAGAACCATAAATATTTAGTGGCATAGAGTTTGTCCAAAAACCACTATACGCTACACATTGTCATGGCATAAAATTAGAACTGTGCAGCTTATCATAAAACTAATTACATACTTGAAATCAGTGTAAATGTATATAGAAAAAAAAATTTAATTGCCCCAGGCTACATATCAATTTAATTTTTCAAATCGCACCTCTGCTTAATGATGCTTGCATGCTCTTGTGATGTTGCAGCTAACGTCTGCAGGCCTGGTCAATTCCGTTGCCATAGTGGCACGTGTATCTCGGAGCGTGCTCGTTGTGACGGGCGCAGGGACTGCCCAGATGGATCTGATGAGAGCCAGTGTGGTGAGTTTCTGACTCAAATTGTGTTTGGTCAGTGAAGTTAAAGTTCAACAAGCTTTCCATTTTGGTTTTAATTTCAGCTCACAGCTGCAGGGCTGACCAAATACGATGCCAAGGTGGTGGCTGCCTAAGTGTCTCTCGAAGGTGTGATGGAGTCTCAGATTGCCCTAATGGAGAAGATGAACTGTCATGTGGCAGTAAGTTCACCGTCTGCTTTCTGCGGTTTCTCGGTTTTTTTGCAGCGAAAGCTGTAGTGAGTTCACAACACGGGTCAAGCACGGGGCCGTAGTTGTTCGCTGCCACCGCCAGTGTCCGTAACCAGTATGACGGGAAACAAAATAAAACTGTAAACACCTAGGACACAATAGGATTAGAACCCGTGTCCCCTGTGTACCATTCCAGTATTTTACAACTGAGCCGCACTGGTACTTCGAACTTGTTTCTAAACTGGCCTTAGGCAGGCTTGATGCTGAGAAAGGGATCGCGTTAATATGAGTAATAAAGCATTTTAGAACATCAAAGGAACAACCGGGGGTCGCACAGTGTGAATTGTGTAACGAGTGGGTCCTCCGGTGCTCAAACCCGTTAAACTTGTTCTTGATCGCCTATTAAGTGGCAAATATCCACTTCAGGTACAATTCTTTATCGTCTTCAGCCGCTGCTTAAAAAAATTGCATAAAATTCCTAGGAAGTGTGTAGTAGATACCATGATTATTCGAAGAATGATGAAGGATAGCATAGTGAATCTTGATCTACTACACAACTATGATCATTTATGGTGTAGTGGGTACCCTGCAAGCATGCTTATAGCAGTTGCCAAAAGAGCTTTCAAGAAATGCTCTTAAAGGCTGTTGTTTTAGCTTTCGCTGTAACTGTGCTGCACGTTCCACGCAGGCCTGGATTTTTTTTTTTTTTTTTGGGTGGGGTGAGGAATTTAGACTCAGGCCACCTAACAAAAGTTTCATGGTATGAGGCAATTTCATAAAGCAGACAGTGGCAAAAGAACAATTCTACTTATATCTTTTTGTTTGTTTTGTTTCATGCTTACTTTTTCATACCCCCTATTTCTGGTCATAAGACAAGCCACCATAATTGCTGCTTGTATGCCAATGATTGGGACACATTTGCTTGTTTGGTTCAGTTTATTCAAGGGTAATTTAGCAGACTTGGCTTGATAGACAGGACGAAAAGCTGCATAATTTAATGCAACACTAAGCCTTCGCATCGTTTTGTTTAAGGCAGTATCTATAATAATGCATTAGTTTCCCATTTGAGGATTGTACACATTCTTCCAAACGTTCCTGAATAGTTGGCATAACGTCACCATTCACATTGGCAGTAAATTGTTTTGCAGCTGCAGTTGTGGTATTACTAGGTGATGCAGTTCAAGTAGCATGATGAACATTTTGGAGAGCTGAAGAGGTCTCTCTCACGTTTGGGAAAAATACAAGTTACACTATGTTCTTGCTCACTTGGCTTGACTGTAGCACAAGATGCTGTCATTTGCTATATGCCTACCAATTTTTTTTAATAATGAATAAGATTGAATTATTTCCATGGACAGTAAAAAGTGTAACTACTAACATTCTCAATTGTGTGCTCTCTTAAGATGGGCACGTGTGCCAGTCTCACGAGTACAAGTGCTCGTCTGGACACTGCATTGATTCACGCCAGAAGTGCAACCAAATCAAGGATTGCCCAGATGGTGATGATGAAGACAATTGTGTTGTGGACATACAACGTAGGTTTCTCAGTTGGACATACTTGTAGAAGCATGCGTATCTCCCCCCAAATAAAAGCTTGGCCATGTTCATATAGCATGCACACACTGCTTGTTCTAAAGCAGAACCAAGTGCATGTTTATAGAGCCTTGTTGCAAAACCATCTGTTCTAGTCCATGAGATTACATAGTTTTAAAGGGATGGTCTTGATGTTGTCCCGTCATAATCTGAATTAAGCAGATGTAGAAAGTGGACCTTATTGAATACGACCTGCAGGTCATGGAATCAAATTTCGGCCACAGCGGCTGTAGTTTTGAAAGCAAAATGCTTGAGGGCCATGTACAGATTGGTCCGCTGATAAAGAAAACACGTGTGTGCCGGGCTAATTCGTATTTGGCCCTCCTGCGAAAATATTGACGCTCAGATTTGAAAATAAGGCTATTCATGGTTGACCTATGTGACTTCTTTTGACAGGCTAATGCCATGCATGCACAATTTTTTGACAACACACGACTGTTAGTAAACTGGTAATGTGACTCCTGTGGTTCCTTCAACAGTGGAATGTAGTGTACTTAGATATAGGTGTGCGTTGGAGAACCCCTGGGGGTCAAAATTTCTGGAGTCATATTACGGGGTCTTTCATAATATCACTGTTTTTGTATGTTAAAGCTCAACAATTATTTTATCAGATTCTGCATTTTTTATTCTCTTTGCTGTCTGATAACAGCTTAAAGGTGAAAGTTTAGCAGTGTACTTTTAGGAACTTTCTTTCTTAATCAAGTTTATTTCAGAGAACTATGCTTTCTTGAACTTGTTTGGGGCCCATAGTGAGTGATTTTCGGCCAACTACTTGGAAAAAGACGGGTGGAGATAACGACAGCAATGAACGTTTAATAAAACTTTCTTTTCTTGTCTTTCCAAAATAGTGCAGGCATTCTTCTTAAATCTTCTGGCTGCCTTTCTCCATGGGACTATCATCAGCTGTGAGAATCAACACTTAAATTCAGAAATGCGCAGTTCGCATCTGCTCAAAAGTGGCACACAGGTAAAAAGAATTAAACAACCTTTGAAAAACGGCAAGATTATGTGCATTATGTGCAGATTATTTTCTGGTGCTGCACAACACTGCCAATCGGACAGAATTGGTACCTAAATATCAGCAATACTTGCTCTACACTATCCATAAAGCAATGCGAGAGTACGAAATGTTGGAAATAAAAGAAATCGGGCCTCTGTATCCGAATGTAACCTTCTTGGAAGGACATGCTTGCTAGAAGAACGACACATGCTCATGCAGTGGCTTTCTGCCCAATGACTCAAATCACTCAAAGAATGTGAAACGAGCCATCGTGGCCATGGTTACACTAAAGTCGTGCCACCATGGTGTACTACCAAGAGTCATGCAACAGGTCACCTGACTAAATCATGCTGGCTACCTGAGCAGCCTTGTAAAAGCAGTTGCTGAAGGACTGCCGAAGAAAGCACAAGCAATCGAGGAAAAACCTAGGTAAAGCTAAGAGAGCTGAACAGGAGAAAAATGTGGTCGTCGTACCATATGGGGTGACCCACACACATTAAAAAAGATGGCTGGGAAAGAAGGTTTCGCAGTCGTATGTTCTGCACCAAACAAGGCTTAATAAATTTGTGGCCAAGTAAGTGATAGACATGCAAGAAACCAATGCAGCGTAAATCACAAAGGAAAAAACAAAGCGTGCCGAAGCGGGGTCCTTTACGACACTCCACTACCATGCAGCCAATGATACACAGGACAAACGGGCCTCAAGGATAGGACATGAGAGCATGCCACATCATTGGAAAAGATCACTGCTGGACATGTCTTTCACAATCACCAATGTAAGTGCAGTCAAACTGCACTACATCCAGATTTTAGCTAGAGGCAAAGACAAGCTAACACACAGAAATTTTGGAAACCATGGCCATCGACGAAGTGCACAATCATGCATCAGCCCACCTTTTGTACTACTAACAGAAAAAGGAAGAATTTATGTGTACAAGCAACCAATCTGGAAATCTGGGAGCATGGCATTTGATAGTAAATGCAATAAAGATTCAAGAGAAATTTCAGTAAACTGTCAGCTTGGGTCATCTGTCTTTGTCCAAGTAGTTGGCTCGAACTTTCCAAATTTTTTAGTGAAACGGGGCTCACCACCTGTATTAGCTATTGGCCCCCCTTTTTTTTACTCTCCTTAGCCTGTATGCCCACTACTAAATTTCACATTTATGCAAAGTGTTCTGATTCGTTTTTTTTTTCTGCAGCATGTAGGAAACATGAATTTCAATGCCAAGATGGTACATGCTTGCCTGATCATTTGCGTTGCAATGGACGTTCAGAATGTAGAGATTCTTCAGATGAAGAAAATTGCCGTACGTTTTTTTTCTTTCATTCAGTTTCATTTTTCTTGCCGATATCTTAACATTCTGCCTGCACAAAGCCTCACGCAGACTTCATGATGTTTCGCCCCCCTCTTCATTTCTTCGTTCTTGCTTAATTTAATGTTTTTTACTTATGGTGTCACTCCATCTTCGGAATGTGTAAACCTTGGCATTTTATAATCATCTCAATTTTTTCACCATATCCCGTACTCGTTGTGCATGCTCTAGATGTAAATTATGCTATATATATATATATATATATATATATATATATATGAAGTTGCTTGCTTGCCTGCATGTGGCACAGTGGTGAGCTTTTATTTCTTGGAATGTGCACTGGAGAGCATGGATGGCATCTGAAGCTTGCAAACATGGCACAATGTTTTGTAGACAAATGTATGATTCCTACGTGGGAGCTATGCGATTAGGAATGCTTTTGGTACAACAGTCATGAGACATTGATTTATCACTCGTCTGTGATGGAAAGTACGATTGTGGCGACGGATCTGATGACCAGCACTGTGGTACGTTGCTGTTGCACAGCAACGTACCACAGTGCTAAGGCTACTTGTGCATACACACAAATGATAATCAGCTCACCTTTGTGCAAATTTCTGTATTCGAAAAATTATTTACTGAAGTCAGACATCAAGAAGTGATACCATTACTTGTTACGAGTTTCCAACTCATATATATATATATATATATATATATATATATATATATTATACACACACACACACACACACACAACCTGTGGGATCACCCCCTTAAGTTGGCGTGAACCAAAATTAGCATGAGAGGGTAAGATGGTTTGACAAGTACGGCGCACTGGTGAAGACATGAATGTCGCAATCCCTTCACGTACGTCATCAAACACTTACCCCTACGAAAGTTGGACTTAAACTTTACACTTCTGGTGATCCTTTTATTTGGTGCAGTCTCATTTGGATTCAGCCACAGAAGTGTTTTTACGCTGTTACAAATTTTTTACGAGAATCTAAAAGAATGGAATGCTAAAAATAAATAACTTCAGTTGTTTTATGAATAATTTTTTTTTCTTTTTTGTGTGTTTAAAACGTTTTTCTTTTCAAGGTTTTTTTTTTGTTTGTTTATAAATCTAACATCTTTATATTATTACCTATATTACCTAATTAATCCAGCCCTCTCTTTCAAGAAGTGAATTAATTTAAAAAGCGAGGCACCGTCCCATTCATGGCCTATCCCCCTAGGTGGGTTGTGCCAAGGTGTTGAGGAACCAATCAACCAACTTCACTGCCAGACAGTTGCACATAACTACGGGCTGGTATGTACCGCTGGTATGCAGGTTTGTGCCACAGGCGATTGACACTTGCTAGCTACCTAGAAACGAGAACACATATGGGCAATTTTAACACGCGAGCATTAAGAAATACCCGACATCAGTATCGTCGACTTGACGAATGCATAGAATAAATGTCAGGGTCTCAGCTGGAATCGAACCAAAGCATTCTGCGTGCCAATGAAGCATTTCACCACTGAGATACGCCAGGTCTCGGAACTACTTGTCAAATAGACGATAATCTTCGTGAAACGTCAATAGCGGTTGAAGTACTGCATATCCAGTTCTACAAACATTACATATGTACTCCTTCGATAAAGCTGTCACGTCAGGTTAATGTCAATTGTGGTTAGTTGCCATGCCCTGAAGTTGATCTATGTAGCAGTGTTCAGGGCCAGCATCTTGGCAAGCATCAGCGCTTCATATGAGCTTCTGGGGTTGCTCATACGCATGTTCAGTAGACATCGTTGCACAAGTGCAAAAAACTGGTTATATAAATATCCGCAGCTCTTCAACATATGTCTGTGCATTTAACAATTGTACATATATTCATAGTCATTTTATGACGTGTCGCTCAATAAAAAACTGCAACGCGCTCATCTTCCCTTTGTATGCTTCGCATAACATCGATTTCCAGTTGCGTGGGATTTACTTACTGTAAATTACCAAATCCCACTTGGTTACTCACAAACTCACTGGAATTATTCATAGCAGGGCTATTCGAATAACTTGCTTGTTGAAACTGTGTTTTCTACAAACATACTCAGTGGTTTCTATGTAGTCGGGGTTTCAACAATATTAAGACTGTTCAATAATGCTTAGCCACTATTAGTGTGAATTCAAAACATGTTGTAGGCCCTGGCTTTGCTTTTAAGCTTGCACACTCCTCTGCTTTGGTTGCATTGTTTGCTGGTGAGCATGCTGAGCATGAGTGCATGTTGTACTTGCAAAGTTGGCATAATTTTTTTATAGATCAAAAGACTTCTGCCTCTCAGAAGCAATGCGATGTGCTGGGCTTTTTGTGCCTTGCTGATAACCAATGCATCTATCCATCTAACGTCTGCGATGGAGAGTATGATTGCAGCGATGGCGCCGATGAGCAATGTGGTATGTTCCTGCTTGCAGTTTGTTTTTATTTCTGCTTGCTAGTGCTTGCTGAAAGGGAAGAAATTGAATGTCACACTTCTTTCATGCCTACGGCCTCAAAGCATGAACAGTCTATTGGGAGGTACAGTCGGCCACAAAAGCTCATGTGACGTGGTGTTTGCGAAATACCCTCTGTTAAGCCTCAGCGCATATTCTCTACTTTACCTTCAGTGTGCTACAGCTTTGTGGTCTATAGAATAAGTGCTATGCATAGCACACATTTAAAATTGCTTTTGAACGCAGCTTGTCCTGCAGCTTTTGTGGTTCACTGCACATACAGTGTTAAAAGCAGGAACCATGTCAGCTAGTTGAAGGAGGTCACATAGGACTGGGCAACACACATTGCTAAAACAGGGCATGGCAATTGTTGCTGTATTTTTTTGTCAGGACATACTCTAAGCTGAAGAGACACCATAAATTCCTATATAACTTAAATACAGTTCGTCTTCCTTATGGCAGAATTGTCCAGGGGTCAACACTGATAATGAAAAAGGATGGGACCTTGTCAAATAATTTGGATCACGTTTTCTTCGGTTCAGTCTTCTTTTATTAATTCAATTGTAAATACTTAGTTCTGTTCATACGAAGTGTATAAAAGCTGGACCGTCAACAGCAATAAAAGTTGAACAGCAAAGTTAATTCGCATATGTAACAACCAGTTTTATTACAAAAGACAAGCAAGATATGCCTGCTCAATGGAAAATTGCAGTTGCCACAAAATATTTGCGGTGGTTCTGCATGCCTGTGATGGCATCATGGTTCAAGTTCTACATAGTGATATTGGGATGATATGGCTAGATCACTATAAATACACTAGTATTTCAATATCTTGAGCCTGTTCAAAGCAGTTCTACTAGAATTATTCAGGCATAAGTTGGTGGCAGAAGTGTGCAAACGGAGGGCTCTCCGCTGCATGGAGAACCCTCCAATTATTTAGCTTTTTCCTCTCTCCATGCAGTGGAGAGATCTATCTCAATCTCTATCTGTTTTATATCTATATATTGATACGGGGTATCACTACCAGGAAAAACAAGGGAAGCGTGGATAGAGAAGGAAGACGACGTTGCTTCCACTGCGATTCCCCTGAGTGGGTACGAGCCATGGCGGTGGAGATCATCATTATACTGCGATCGCGGACTCGGAACCCATTAAAACCCCCCCCCATTAAGTTACCTTACCTTGTGTAACAATGTTTTATATGTCTACGTTTTAAAAGGAAAGCATTTCTTAGCGAACTTCGCTGACTTAGTCTATCTATCTATCTCTATCTATCTCTATCTATCTATCCGCCTAAGTTTGGGTGCTTTCGTGATCACCCCCTTAACTTGGCTTCAACCAAACTTAGCACGGGAGGGTAAGATGATTTGATGAATATGACACACTGGTCAAGACATGGATAATGATAGTCCCCTGGCGTCAAAAACTTCCCCCCAGACAGTTGCACATAACCACGGGCAGGTATGTGCCGCTGGTATGCACGTTTGTGCCACAGGCGATTGACACTTGATAGCTACCCAGAAACGAGAACACATATGGGCAAATTGAACACGCTTGCATTAAGAAATACCCGACATCAGTATCGTTGACTTGACGAATGCACAGAATAAATGTCAGGGTCCCAGCTGAAATCCAACCAAAGCATTCTGCGTGCCAATGAAGCATTTTACCACTCAGATACGCCAGGTTTCAAAACTATTTGTCAAATAGACGCTACTCTTCCGGAAACGTCAATAGTGGTTGCAGTGCTGCCTATCGAGTTCCACAAACACTACATATGTATTCCTTCGATACAGCTGCCACGTCGGGTTAATGTCAATTGTGGTTAGTTGCCATGCGCTGAAGTTGATTTATGTAGCAGTGTCATAGGCCAGCATCCTCGCGAGCATCAGCGCTTCATATGAGCTTCTGGGATTGCTCATACGCATGTTCAGTTGGCATCGTTGCACAAGTGCAAAAAACTGGTTATATAAACATCTCTAGGCCTTCAACATATGTCTGTGCGTTTAACATTTGTACATATATTTAGTCACTTCATGATGTGTCGCTCAATAAAAAAACTGCAAGGCGCTCATCGTCCTTTCGTATGCTTCACATAACGTCGATTTCCAGTTAAGTGAGATCTGCCGAATTTTTTTTCTTTCATATGAGAACTTTCTGTAAATTGCCAGATCGCACATGGTTACTTACCTGACTGGTATTATTCATAGCAGGGCTTGTCACGAATTAGGGGTGGCTGCTGCGGGCGATGGAGTGAGACATAGCTCCGTTAATAACAAAACTCATTTATTAGACACTCACACATGATACACCCTCTGTATACAATAAAATGTACAGAACCAAGAGTAATAGCTCCCAAAGTGAACCTCCAAACTAATTCCTTTGCGGACTAAACTGTCCTAACTATTGCCAGACATCTCTATAGCCTCGGTGCTTCTCATGGTGCTTTTCGTCACCTTACTTGTCTTAATTGACGCGCTGCTTGTCAATGCCCGGATTGATCGTGTCGTCCTCGGGGATCTCTATACTCTCGAGGAAAGTAGTCGTCCATGCCGCTGCCGACGTGGTCACCTGTTTTTGTCGCCGCCTGATGTTGGTGATGTGACGATGTCTCAGTGGTAGGGCCTAGTGACTGCTGGCGATACCTGGTGCTGCATGGTAACGTGGCGACCCGGAGACTGTCTTCGGCGGTTTGCTTCAAAGGGGGTTTGCACCAGAAACGTTGGCACTTGCTGTGCACGGCGGCTGCATCCCAAGTAGCGTCCCTCGCAACTTGTCGAGGTCTGTCTTCTTCTTGGTACGCACGCGTCACATGTTGCCAAGTTGCTGTCCTGCCGCTCACGTCGCCTGTATGCTAACTGGCGATGCGTCCTTCTCTTGCGAAGCCCACGTCAATAATGCCAGCTCGTCGGTGTTCGTGCACCAATCCCCGCTGGGGTCACGCACCTCGGACTTCGCTGAACGATGCGTGCGCTCGTGCCATTTTGACGTGGAGATCACAGTACTGGGCAATTTAAGTTCGTAGTGGAAAGCTTCAAATTGGCTAGTTTCTTCTTCAATATGAGAACTTACTATAAATTACCGAATCCCACTTGGTTACTCTCAAACACACTGGAATTATTCATAGCAGGGCTATTCGAATAACTTCCTAGTTTAAACTGTGTTTTCTACAAACATACTCAGTGGTTTCTATGTAGTCGGGGTTTCAATAATGCTTAGCCACTGTTAGTGTGAATTCAAAACATGTTGTAGGCCCTGGCTTTGCTTTTAAGCCTGCACACTCCTCTGCTTTGGTTGCATTGTTTGCTGGTGAGCATGCTGAGCATGAGTGCATGTTGTACTTGCAAAGTTGGCATAATTTTTTATAGATCAAAAGACTTCTGCCTCTCTGAAGCAATGCAATGTGCTGGGCTTTTTGTGTCTTGCTGATAACCAATGCATCTATCCATCTAACGTCTGCGATGGAGAGTATGATTGCAGCGATGGCGCCGATGAGCAATGTGGTATGTTCCTGCTTGCAGTTTGCTTTTATTTCTGCTTGCTAGTGCTTGCTGAAAGGGAAGAAATTGAATGCCACACTTCTTTCATGCCTACGGCCTCAAAGCATGGACAGTCTATTGGGAAGTACAGTCGGCCACAAAAGCTCGTGTGACATGGTGTTTGCGAAATACCCTCTGTTAAGCCTCAGCGCATATTCTCTACTTTACCTTCAGTGTGCTACAGCTTTGTGGTCTATAGAATAAGTGCTATGCATAGCACACATTTAAAATTGCTTTTGAACGCAGCTTGTCCTGCAGCTTTTGTGGTTCACTGCACATACAGTGTTAAAAGCAGGAACCTAAAGTGTTAAAAGCAGGAAAATATCACTACACTTTTTAGGAAACTGGCCGCATGTTTCTTAGATGTTTGCAGTATCGATGTCAAATGCACACACCTCTCACCATAACATGTTCTTCTTTCATGAGAACTCCTCCCATGCTTTGCTTGTACAGTCGAATCTCGATAATTCGAACTCGAAGGGGCCGGAAAATTTGTTCGAATTAAAAGAAGTTCGAATTATTGAAAGCTAAATAAACAGCGGGCTCTCCATGCAGTGGTGCATGTGCATTGAGCTAACTCACGAGAGGGAAGTTTCAGAAGACTTACATTTATTCACAAATCACAGGACATCGGTCATTAATTGGAGTAATCCGTGATGCACGTCTGCACACGTTTGCCTTGCAGTGAGTCAATCAATTTTGCACGCAGCTTGCAAAGCATTCCTACTTCGGCTTCAGCATTCTCCTGGCAAGAGAAGTCGCGAGCGTAAATGTCCAGCACCGACACTTTCTAAAGACGGTAGTGGTTAAAAAAGAAAGGCACCTAATTTCTGCAGCCCGGTAGGAAGCACGGCGCAGTGGACAACACGACTGCGTAGCGGAGCCTCCTGCTCTCTGCTACGCCGCCGCAGCATGGCTAGCATGTGACGAGAAAGGAGGAGCATCTCCACGCGGAGAGAAGTAGATCGGCATTTTAGAAAAAAAAAAAACGCTCCACGGCAGCATTTTTAAAGACGATAGTCTTTCTTGGGGACCTTCGACTCAAAAATTTTGGTTTGTCTGTCTGCACATTTGTATGTTCGTCCAATCTTAACGGCACCAGGTATTTGAAACAGTCAACCCCATCCACAGCGCCCACCAATGATGCTCAAGATTTAGCGTTCATACTTGTGCAATTGTCAACTAGAAAGCAATTATTGCTCATGTCTGGGGCACCATAACAACACGTCTATATTCCGCATGTGCGTCTTTTACTAAAAAAGGCATACATAAGTAATTTTAAGGACCGTAGCGCTTATCACGCTGTGCTAACCATGCAACGCTTGCACTAAACTGCGAGTGTTTTCAACGCTTTGCTAAGATGAGATGGTGGTGGCACCTACTCGTCGCCTTGTGTTCTACACCTTATCACCTCCAAGACGGGCGCCCACACTTCACAGCGCCGCGCCCTTCGTTTTCCAAGAAAACTGCCAAATGGCGCTCATGTCAAATGGCGCTCATGGAGAAGCATGGCACCGGCACGTAAGAGACGCCCTACCTTCAAGGCGCAGAGCCGTGCTCCCGCAAGGAGCAAGGGCTGCAGAAGATAGTGCCTTTTTCCCAACCCAGTGACTGCTTTTCTTTTTTTCCTCTCTCAGTTTGCGTGGGGCGTTGGAAGGAGAAGGATGTTTACATGACAGGCATGGAAAAGGAAGAAGTGTGACAGGGGCGCGTCTCAGATTGGCATTTGAGAGAGAGAGAGAAAACGTTCCACCACAGTATTTTCTGTTCTTTTCATTTCCTTCGCAAGCAGTGTTGAGGTGTCGCAGGTGTCTCCGCAAGATTGGGTAGGGTGCTGAGAGCATTTTCGGAACACGGTATGTTCGAATTAACCATCGCAAGCGCTTGCACGTTCGAATTACCGGGCGTTTTTGCCCATTAGAATACACAGCTTTGACGGTACCTCATCACGAGTCCAAATTAAATGGAAGTTCGAATTAAGTGTGTTCGAATTAATGAGAGTCGACTGTGTTAGGGTGGATTTGATTGTGTCTATTTACTATGCAGCTTGACCATCTTTTTCTTGCATAATTCAGCTGCATCAACATCCAGTGATCACAAAAATTTTTTTTAATTTATAATTCGGGCTGAAAATAAATGAAAGCACTTTTAATGTGTTTCTTACCTCTCCCATTCAGAGTGCAAAGAGAATGAGTTTCAATGTGGTAATGGAAAGTGCATTGATATACAAAAAAAGTGTGACAGGCGTGTCGACTGTCATGATTTTTCGGACGAAGCCAACTGTGGTAAGCATCTCTTCTGTATGTTCAAATTTTCCTTTGTTTTTGCTGCGTGAAAAGTCCTGATAGCTTAGCTGCTCCATAAACCAATGTCAACGTTGTTGCGTACTTTTGCATGTGTGCACATATTTCATGTAGGGCAGGCTTAGCTTAACGTTGTGCAGATATGCACTAACGGTGAATGTAAATTGGTCCCTTCTTGTTGTTTTAGAGTGCCAAGATGGTGAATTTCGCTGTGGAGATGGCAAATGCATTGAAGGCCGAAGACGCTGCGACGGTACTGCTGATTGCAGAGACTACTCAGATGAAACCAGTTGTGGTGAGTGCTGTCAACTGGCAATGAACGTTGTCAACCACAGCACAAAGTGCACAGATGGGTAGCGGGTACCACGCTTCTCCGCAGGATAACAATTAATGTTATATTGGGTGCTTCCCTACCTAATGAAAGTTACAATGATTTATGGTATAGTGGGCACTTGTACGACCTCTGGAAGGATCACTCCTCCAGCATCGAATTGTAAGGTGCAGCTCTGTTTGAGCGTAAAGAAAAGAAGCCAGAAAAGTAGGTAGAAAATTATATATTGATTATGTCAATATCTCTCTCAGTGACTGCGAATGGTACCTCAAAATGGCCAGAAATGCATGGGACGTATAGGGGCTACTTTGTTCTCATAAACAAAATGAGCTGCAAAGCCCACACAACGAGCCAGTGGTGCGACGACGAAGGATCGTGTTGGCAGATTTGCCTTGTACCAAATGCTTTCTCCACACAGTGTCCTCGAATCGCACAACTTGGTTTTCCAAATGCACACAGAAAAATCTTCTTCCATGAGAAAAACCAATTTCTTGGGGGCGGGGTTCGCACTGCCTGGTGTTCGATAGATCAAGTGCTCCAGGATTTTTTGCTTTATGTAGCCATAGATTTGTCGATGCATTGGCATTAAAGCATTGCCGTGTTTGAAGATATTTCTATAAAAAATATATTTATCTTTATTTATTTTACTTATTTATTTATTATACCTCAAAGGCCCCTAAAGAAGGGGTTTTACATGAGGGTGGGCATATCTGCAACAGTTCTTCTTTGATATGTTTGAACATAGTAGGGTCCGATTGAAGCACTACTTTGGTGGGAAAGTCATTCCAGCACTTGATGTCAGGTTGAAGCAGGAGAATGCATGGAGACAGTGTGAGCTTTAGGGGGGTACACAGCCTTTTCGTGGTTGATCCGGCTTGAATGGCGATAGAGCTGGAACAGTGAGGTCAACTTTGGGTGATTTGGGAAAGAATTTGTGAAAGAAAGGCGGGTGACTCGACAGTGTGATACAAGGCTCGGAAGGTTTGCTTGTGATTTGAGTTCCGATGAACTAGAGGCGTAGGAATAGCCCGAAAAAATGAAACGTGCGGCATGGCTCTGCAATGATTCAATCATGGTGATGTGGTTATGCTAGTATGGGTTCCACAGGGCACATGTGTATTCAAGTTTCGGCCTGACTAACCAGTAGTAGGTCAGAAGTTTGACTGAGGGTGGTGCTAATCAGATATTACTCCATGAGAAACTGAGAACTCAATTAAAATTTATGCTGGTTATATGGGTGTGCCATGATAGGTCAGAAGAGAGATCAATATCTAAATACTTGTAGGTGTTAACAGCGAATATTGAAGTCACCTATATAAACGCGAACAGGGTGACTTCTTTCGGTGAAAAGTGAAGAGAGAAGTTTTTGATGTGTTTAATGACATGAGTCACTTGTGACACCAATTTTCAATTTTCCTGGGATTGGATCGTAAGGACAACATATCATTTTTATTGTTAATTGAGGGTATAGCATGCAATAGTCTGCAAACAATCGAATTTCAGAAGAAATGTTAGTTGGGAGATCGTTAATGTAAATGAGAAAGAGCAGGGGCCCGAGGATTTTGCCCTGGGAAACCCCAGATGTAACGGGTTCAAAAGAAAAGGAGTGTTCGTTGACGTATACAAATTGTTGACGGTTGCTCAGAAATTCGGGTATGCATTGAAAAATAAGATAAGATTTAACAGAGTTCACAAGGTTTTTACCTTTGCTGAAGACCAAGCAGCATATATTTCCCAGCAGCCTTCGTCATAACAAACTTTTCCCAGCAGCCTTCGTCATAACAAACTTGTAGCAGGGAAGAACACCTACGTGTATGACCCGGTTAATCAACAAGTCGTTCTTCGCACACCGTAGCAGTTAGCTAGTGGTTGCCCTTACGGTCCCAAGGACTATTTATCGTTTCTTTTTACTAATATCAGGAGCGTACTACCAAAGCGGGATATCTTGTCCTGTTTAATTGACTCTTCAGATTCCAACGTTATAGTGCTAACCGAAACGTGGTTAAACTCGTCTGTCATCAGCGGTGAAATATTCCCTTCTTATCCAGATTTCAATATTTTTCGTACCGACCGAGATGGCAGGCGTGGTGGTGGCGTGCTCATTGCTACTCACCGTGACCTTGGCTGCTATCGTATCAATATACCAACCTCACTCGAAATGGTGTTTGTGTGCTGTAAAGCCATTCAACCCCATGTAGTCTTAGGTGCATGCTATCGCCCACCTGATTCCGACAGTACATTTATACCAATGTTTCATGACGCGCTACAATCACTAAAGATTCATTTCCCTAATGCACCAGTTGTCCTATTCGGCGACTTTAACTTTCCGAACATAGATTGGTCTGACCTCGTCCTTGTCACATCGAAACAAAACATTGAAAGCAACTTTGTCGATACATGTTTAACATTCGCTTTAACTCAAATTGTTAATGCAGCAACGAGGCAATCTAAACACTCAGCCAATATACTTGATCTAGTACTAACAACCCATCCTGATAGAATCACTTCGCTTTCGTACCTCGACGAAATCAGCGACCATAAGGTCATTCATGGCACATTCCAATGTAGGCTGAAGCGCCCAGACAAAACAAGGAAAAAGCTTACCTTATACGATAAGGGTGATTATAATAATTTCAATAAAGAACTAACAAAATTCTGTCAGTTTGTAGTTAAAGATTTTAACAAACGATCTGTCACTGAAAATTGGTTAATGTTTAAATCTAAAATGCATGAGCTTATTAGTACTTACATTCCAACAATTACGATTGGTGAACGTAGCACATCCCGCTGGTTTAATCCTGAACTCAAGAGGCTCAAAAACAAAAAGAAACGACAATTTCGCGCCGCAAAAAACAGCAACAATCCTGTGGCGTGGCAAAAATACCAGACTACCACGAAACTATTCTGCTCTGCCATCGATAAAGCGAAGCGGCTGTTTAATAATACCACCTTGCCCAACTTACTCCGCACTAACCCAAAACAATTTTGGAGAGTGATTAACCCGCGAAACGAAAACAAATGCATATCAATAATGGATCCAACTGGACAGCCTATCGCGAATAGTGCAGTAGCAGAAGAACTAAACCATACCTTTTCTTCCGTTTTCACCAGAGAACCGATTGAAAACCTCCCTGATGTCTCCCCCCACAACTACCCTACCATGCCGGACGTCATTTTTTCACCTCAGGGCATCCAGAAAATTATCGAGTCGTTAAAACTTACATCATCCTGCGGCATCGATGGTATAAATGCTAAGGTGCTCAAAAACACCAAAGAAATCACCAGTGTCATTCTTTCCTATATTTTTCAGCAATCACTCTCATCCGGCATCGTTCCTCACGACTGGAAAGTGGGTAAGATCGTTCCGGTTCCTAAGCCTGGTTCATCTAGTTACCGGCCAATTTCCTTAACCAGCGTCTGTTCAAAAATAATGGAACATATAATTCATTCACAAATCGCTAACTTCCTTACCTCAGTTAAATTTTTTCACCCTAACCAACATGGATTCCAAAGGGGACTCTCATGCGATACTCAGCTTGCACTATTCATCCATGACTTAAGCGCTAGTGTAGACCTTAACATACCAGTTGACGCCCTTTTTATTGACTTTGAGAAAGCCTTTGACAAAGTTCCCCACAACCGCCTACTACTAAAACTCTCCCAATTAAGCCTTAACCAACTTGTCTACAATTGGATTCAGGACTTCCTCACTAACCGTCAGCAATTTGTTGAAGCTAACGATACGCCCTCTTCCCTTTCCAACGTAATCTCCGGTGTGCCACAAGGTACAGTTCTAGGACCCCTCCTCTTCTTAATTTACATCAATGATTTACCCGATAACATTTCATCTAACATCCGCCTCTTTGCCGACGACTGTGTAATCTACCGACCTATTACTAACGTTTCAGATACAATTACTCTCCAGCAGGACCTACTAAAGCTGGACGAGTGGTGTCGCAAATGGCTCATGGTATTAAATACTAATAAAACTGCACTTATTTCATTTCACAGACGCCAAAACTTACCCACCACTAACTATAATATTAATGGCTCCATAGTTTCTTCCCTAAGTTCCATTAAATATCTCGGTGTTAACATTTCACAGAATCTAAACTGGTCTTTTCACGTAAGTAAAATAGTTAACAATGCTAACAGAGCTCTCGGTTACCTTCGTCGTAACTTGCATCTTGCCCCTCCATCAGTCAAATTACTAGCCTACAAAACACTAATTCGCCCAAAACTAGAGTACGCATCCGCCATTCGGGACCCATTCCAAATTAACCTAAGTAAGTCCATCGAACTAATTCAAAACCGAGCAGTTAGATTCATCTACTCAGATTACTCGTATCATACCAGTGTTACCACCCTTAAAAGAATAGCAGATCTACCTAACCTTGACCTACGCCGTAAGGTTTCCAGACTATCCTTGTATCACAAAATGTATCATACGTTTCATTACAACTGTCCCATTCAATCAGCTCATCGTACTTCAGCCCACACAAGCCACCACAAGGCCGTGTACCCACCTCCTGCATGTACCACAACCCACCATCACTCCTTCTTCGCTCAAGCAGCCAGGGACTGGAACGATCTTCCCCCAAGTGTCATCCATCATAGCAACACGGATAGATTTAAAAATGCCATAGAATCATTGTTTTATTAACCCTATATTGTTTGCCCACACCCTCATGTAAAGCCCCCTGTTGGGTGGCCTTTGAGGTATATTAAATAAATAAATAAATAAATAAATATATATCTGCATGCAGCTGGCCCTAGCCCACAGTAGCATTTTATTAAGGATGAGCACTAACTTTATGGCTTGATTTTTTTTTTTTGGTAAAATTTCAGCCTGTAAGGACAACGAGTTTCGTTGTGGAGATGGAAGCTGCATTGATGTCCGCAGGAAATGTGACGGAACTGCTGACTGCCGAGACTATGCTGATGAAAGGAACTGCAGTATGCAACTTTGATTCTTTCTATACATAGCCTTCATTGCTTTGGCGCCACCAGTTTTTGAAGTCAATTCCATGCAGCTCAGTTTATTTAGTATGCTGCAGAACCTTTAGCATAATCTTAATGAATATGAACTCTTTTACTTGCACTTATTGGTAATGACTGTTATTGAACCGGTGATCCTGAATGAATGGCCATTGAAAGGACAGAGAGAGAGGGAGATGAGGGTGTACAATTAAACATATTTCAGATGTGCAAGACGCAGGGGGCAGTTTGTCTCCAGAGAGTGCAAACTTTTGTGCACTTAGCATAATGTACACTACTCCTGTACTCAAATGCAACATCACATTTTTAAGTATAATGATTTGTATGTACAATCGCTCGAGATAATTGCATCGTATCATGACAAATCTGATCTCTAAATATAATGTTGCCTCTGATCTATGCCGATATGACCTAAACTGAAGACAATGGAAATGGAGGTATGTACATTGCTTGGCCTTAAATTGTCCCTTTTCAGTCCACAAGCACTCTATATGCAAGTGCATCATACTCTGGTGGATTAAAAACCACATGTTCAGGCTGGTATTCACTGGTGCTGTGTGAGATATTTTTTAAAGTAACCGTTTTTCTCACGATGTCACTTCTCAAGTGGTTTAAATAGTCAATTACAGCACTGCTGTTCAGGTAAACCAAAAGCACAAGCTAATTAACTTACCGCAAAGAATGCTATGCACAGTGTGGTATTGGAGTTTTGGTGCCGGTTTTGGAACCGGTTGGCTGGCCTTTAGGGGGCGCTGTGCAACAGTACCGAGAAATGTGAAGGGCAAATAACATGGGAGGTAGGAAGGCTGCAGTTTACGATAGATTATGCACTGATGTCACATAGGATGTCACATAGTATGTATGATAAGTTCAGGGGAATGCACATAGATGAAGGTGGTTCCAGAAGTCTGGGTAGTGATCACAAACATATCAAGCTAAGTTTTGAAAGAGCACTGCAAGTGGGAAGGAGACAAGATGAGCAACTACAGGAAAATTTTTATTCAGAAAGGCAAATAGAAACAGCTACTCAACAAATTGAGAAAGTAATCACTGAGGATAATAAAACAGTGTGGACATACACGAATCTAATTGGTCTGTTTGAGCTAGAGCTTGCTAAGACGCGTAACAAGTCACCCCGGAAAAGAAGACACAAACCCAAAAGTTGGTGGGATGAGGAAGTTAAGAGAGCCATAGCAAAACATCAGGAAGCCTCTAGAAAACGCAGATGTGCTAAGCAGTGAGGTGAACCAACAGATGATGCTGAAAGAAAATGGGACATCTTTCTAAGCTGTAGAAGGGAAGCATCCCTTATGATCTATGAAAAAATTAGAAGGGGGTTTAGTGGCTGGCAGAAGTACATAAAAAAGATAGAAAGGCAGCTACAAAATTTTGGAACCATCTAAACTCCCTAAGAAATGAGACGAGCCTAGAGCAGAGGTTTATAACTACAGCTCAAGGTGCTAGGCTAGAAGGGGACAAAGCTATTAAATATATAAGAACAAGGGCGACAGAAAAATTTCAACAAAGTGCTTTATGCACCACAATAGACAAGGATGAATCAAGTGGTGCAATGGCTCCATTTTCACAACGAAAGTGGGAAAGGGCTGAGAAGAGGGTTTCTAGTAGTACATCAACAGGCCCAGATGGCATTCCAATTATGCTGATAAAGACATTAGGTCCGAAGTATAAGCAGGCTTTGAGAGAGGCAGTGAGCAAAATAATAATCGATGGTGAAGTTCCCGATGGATGGAAATTTGGCAGGATGAGCATGATCTATAAAGGAAAGGGGGACAAAGCTTACATAAACAACTACCGTCCTATAACAGTGACATCAGTGGTCTACAGGCTGGCGATGCAGATTATAAAGGAAAGAGTGCAAGCGTGGATAGAGGATGAGGGGGTGCCGGGGGAACTGCAGAATGGGTTTCGGAAACACAGGAGGTTGGAAGACAATCTGTTCTCACTGACGCAGTGCATCGAAATAGCAGAAAAGGAACACAGGCCCCTGTGGCTAGCGTTTTTGGATATCAAGGGAGTATACGATAGTGTGGTTGAAGAGGACTTGTGAGGAATGCTGGGGACACCAGGTGTGAAAGATTGAGTCACTAATCTTTTAAAGAATATCTATAAAAGTAAGAAGGTGGTTATAAAATGGGAAAAACAGGTATTCGAGCCCACAGAGATAAAACATGGGCTTGGGCAGGGGTGTCCTCTGTCACTCTTGTTATTCATGATGTGCCTTCAAGGATTAGAGGCCAAATTAGAGGGAAATGGACTGGGCTTCAACCTCTCTTTCGTCAAACAAGGAAAACTCGTTGAACAGGCACTACCAGCATTGATGTACGCAGTTGATATAGTACTAATGGCCGACAACAAGGAAGATTTGCAGAGATTGATGGACATCTGCGGTAATGAGGGAGATAGGTTAGATTTCAGATTCAGTAAGGAAAAATCAGCAGTCATGATTTTTAATAATTAAGGTAGTGAGCTTAGAATACAGGTCATGCTAGAGATAACAGATAAATACAAATATTTGGGCGTATGAACTAGCAATGGGGCCGATTACCTAAGGGAACACGAAATATACGTGACGACTAAAGGTAACAGGAATGCAGATGAGGAGTCGTGGTTCCTGGTCTGACGTTCGGCAATGCGATCTTGTGCATGAGATCAGAAGTTCAAGCAAGATTAGAAATTAAGCAGCGTGGAATAGGTAGGCTTGTCTTAAGAGCTAACATGAATACACCAAATCGGGGAGTACAAGGTGACATGGGATGGACATCAATTGAGGGCAGGGAAGCTAGCAGCAAGATAAAATTTGAAAAGCGATTGAGAGAAATGGGGGAGGAGCGTTGGGCTAGGAAGGTTTTCAGCTACTTGTACATGAAGAATGTCGATACAAAATGGAGAAAGTGAACCAGGAATTTGACTGATAAATACTTAGAAAACGGCAGGTGGCCAAACCAAAAAGAATTATCGGTTAAGAAGGTGAAGGAAGCTGAGACCGATATGTGGAAAATTGGCATAATTAAGAAGTCTGCACTAGAGATCTATCGAACTTTTAAGCAGGAAATTGAAAAGGAAAGGATCTATGATAATACTCGGGGTAGTTCTCTACTGTTTGAGACCAGGACGGGAGTATTGCGAACCAAGACATATCGGGCAAATATGAAGGGGCAGACACGGTATACAGTGCATGTGGCGAGGAGGAGGAAACTGCCTAACACTTGATAATGTTCTGTAAAGGGCTTCATGCTATAGTTCAGGATGATGGCGCAGAGTTTTTTAAAGCACTGGGTTTTAGGGACAGGGAGGGCGAAATAGACTTCAAGCGGGTAGAATTAACTAGGAGGTTATCTGATTGGTGGCTAAAGTCAAGGCACGAGTGAAAATTAAACCCTTCACTGCAAAGTATGAGTCCTCAACCTCACTATTTAAAGAGAAAAAAATTAATCTAGCTTTTGGTCCACTAAGTATTACGGCTTGGTGGCACTAGCCACCACCCGATCTAAAGGGTACAGCCATACCAATCCATCCATCCATCTATCCTATCATGGTGCTTGTGTATATAAGAGAGTTTCTGTTTGGCTACTGGCTGCTGCGTACCTCGTGTCAAACGGCGGCTTGAGCGCCGCGCCCTGTGTTCTTCGTGAGGCGCGTCCGCCGCACGATACTGTACACAGGAAGTTGGATCATTCTATCCTCTTTTCCTAGATAAATATAAAACATCTCTTTTAAGTGGTTATCACTTTAAAGAATGTTGATTATCATTTTAAGTCATGCAGTGTTCATTATCTTGACTTGCAATTTTATTTTGTGCACATCATTTTTAACATCTAAAGCTTTTGGACATTGTAGGTTTGCCACATGACTCAAGTTTACTGGCTACATTTTTTCACCGGGCTGTTCACAAAGCATTTCTGAATTTTTAGCAAGAGTTCATCAAGCAATATGGAATACAATGTGAAGAATTGCTTTTAATTAACTCATTATTGCTTTCAATTCATTGTTGGCATGTATTCAGGTTGCAAGGCTAATGAATTCAGGTGTGGTGACGGAGCCTGCATCGATAAATCTAGGCAATGTGACCGCACGCCTGATTGTAGGGACCATACTGATGAGCACAACTGTCCCAGTGAGTATTTTTCAGACCTCTCAGATTGATAATGGGCGTGAATGAGCTGCTTGAAGATAATTATTTATAGGAATGTTTTATTTATAGGAATTATTTATAGAAATGTTTTTTTTTGTGGTCTGTGTGCTTCTATTTTTAATTTTAAAGTAGTTGTCACCTGCGTTGGTTTTACAATGCCTACTTTTGTTTTTGTTCTTAATGTGTTTCCCAGCTGCTAACACAATTTTACGTTTGCCATATTTTAATGGTGAAGGCCTATTAAGAAGACACTGTGCTAGATACTAGAGATAAATTGGAAGGAACTTTAAACACAGAATGAGTGCTGAATTGCAACTCAATTCACTAACGAAATAAACGTTGCATATGAACTAGGAGCAAGCAAAGAAAAATGTTACAAGTAGTCGAGTGTAAACTCAAGATGAAATATTTCCTGTGGGGCTAGTGCAAATGAAAAGAGCCCCGTGGCACTTATTCAGCTTGGTTGGTAAGCGCTGCTAATCTTGCTTATTAGTACTAGTCGGTGCTTTTGAGAACATGCAAACCAAACCCTGTAGCGTATTATATAGTGTGGAATTTGATTCTCAAACCCAAACAACCACACCATATAGGTAACTCAAATTTACGGCCATCGGCTTCTATGAGCATCGTAGGCTGCATGGTTACAAAGGTCACCACATGGCATAGTGCACATGCTCACGGTCGCACTGAAAGTAAGCAGCACATGGAAAGGAAAAAAAAATGCTTAAGGTCATGATGTGTGCGTGGTGATAATCTCCAGTGCCACCTCTCCCTGCTTAGCTTACTGTGCGCTCTTCAGGATCAGAGGAGAGACAGCAATCACGGCATGCGATAAACTCCAGTCGTACTCGACCGATTTTAAAAATTTGTGTAGCGTTCGATTTAGAAGCCAATAAAATTGGGGAACTCTTAACCTTTAAGAGTTGAAGCTGATGGCAATATCCTGTCTCAAGTGGGTGCTTCGACCACTTAGTGCATACTTTTTAATTCATGATGTTACTGGAGAAGTTGAAATTGTGGATGACTGTATGTAATTGATAAAGTTGAAAGGGGCTTGTGTCGGTGAAGCTGTTGCATGTGGCTGCATTCTGTGTAACGGGTAGTGTGCTTTGAACTCTTTATGCACTCACTACATGGTCATAAGAAAATGCGTGCAGTAGCACATGTGCCTTGTGTAGTGGGTGGCCAGCTTTAAACCACAGTCATTATGATAATCACATATTTCAATATGCGTTTGTGCCATGCAATATTAGTGCAATATTACATGTTGTATTGTGAAGCCTGTATACAGAATGCGTGTGTTCTTAAAGCATCATTTTCACTGAAGTTCCAAGCAGAAGAATTTATTTTTACAGTAGAATTTCCAAGCAGACCTGTCGCTCTGAGGTAGATCACTTGCTTACAATGCAAACAGCAATCTTCACTTAGACCCATAAATTTCTGTTACTTTATTTGCATCTTTCTCAATTTTTCGGTCGCAGACAAGATGATTTTTCACTCGCAACTGACGACGCCCATGCCAACCCTGATATCTGCAAAGCGAGCTCTTTAATGCTATCCTCTTAAAACTCCTTAAATGAATCTGTTCTAGGATTATAACTGTAAAAGTGCTGCAGGCCTTCTTGAAGGCTGGCGTAAGCACCCATCACCCTTCCTATCGATTCGTGCTGCCTCAAAAAGCAACCTCATGTATGCTGTTACGATTGTACAAAGCCGTAGTTTGACCTAACACAACTACCATTGGCCCCGATGAGTTGAAACGTGCATAATTATTATTCAAGAACTGTCGCTATCTCAACCTCACATTGATGCAGTGGCCCCTTGGTTCTATGTTAACTTGGATGATTGTTGTGTGGCAGAAAGGTACCCCAATTAAGCACTCTGCTAAAGCATGTTTCTCACTGCCATTCAAATTCGTCATTACTAGTTAATGTGTTATTATCAAAGTATTCTTCGTAAAAATGTGAAAATGTTAATTGCATTGAAGCTGCTGCATAGAGCATTAAACCTTTTTGCAACTTATTTCATATAGATCTATATGCCTTCCAACGTTTTGGATTCTCTCCAGAATGGGTACATTTTGCTGGTGCATGCAAGCAGCTCAATTCTGCTGTATGTCTTAGTTTCAGGTTGCCCGCCCTCTCAATTCAGATGTGGTGATGGGCGATGCATTGACATTAGCAGGAAGTGCGATGACAGAGTGGACTGCCCAGACTTCTCTGACGAAGCTAACTGTGGTATGTATCAGTAACACACTTAGTTCTCATTTAGTTAGTTAGTTACAATACAGTAAGCTCTCTCATGCGGTTACAGGGGTGCGAAAGCGCAATATACAATATTAAAATACAATATTATGTACAAATCGGTTCTCTACAATGCTGAAAAACTTCAGCTGACCCACAATCAACAAATACACTGCCATTGAGTTTGTTCCAGTCAATGATTGTAAGATGCAGGAAGTAAAACTTGAACACAATACTCATGGCATAGGTTAAAATGGTGCACGGTTGATTGATACGTAGTGACAAACATGCTGGGGGTGCAAATAGGGTGCTAGATTTATGTTTAATGTAATGTTATCTGAAGGTTGGCCCTGTGATGCAACACGAACACTGATTTTGTCCTCTGGTAACACAAATAAACCTGTCTACCATTTGCTGGATTCCTTGTGGCTCATAAACAAGCTTTTGATTGTGTGGTTCCCATATAATACTGGCGTCCTATAGGGTTGGGTTTACTACTGTTTTGTAAGCCATCAACTTTGTCTCGGACAAAGCATCTCATAGCTTTTACCACAAAAGATCCAACTTACATTCGATCAAACCTCAAATATTTTCAATATGCTTGTTCCAGGTCAGATGTGAAGCAATTGTAACTCCAAAATACAGTGAGCTCCCTTTAAGACAAACTCTGTTTAGATGAATTCTTGCTTAAGACGAACAACTTGAAAAATGTTTGTTTGGTTTTCCGTAGACTCAATGCAAAAAAATCTGCTTAAGACAAACCACGTAACACACCTCTTCTATTAAGACAAACTTTCACAGCGACCGACAACAATGAATTCTGCACAACAAACATTAGTCTTGATGAGGGCATTCAGGCAAGCAAAAGAAAGCAAAATGAAAAAAAAAACCTCCTGATGCTGACACTCGGAAACTGGGAGCAAGTCAAAAACAAAATGCTACGTTGAAGGAGAAATTAAGCGAGATAAGTAAAAAATGAAGGTCAGTGCATAAATCTGGTATCTCTCTCACAACTAGCCTGTAGGGGAAGAAAGGGCTGGCTTTAGCAGCAAATAAAGCAACAAAAAGCATTTATCATTTTGTATTTCTCCCGTGTTCTTCAGTTCCCCAACAGGAGTACTGTGGAGAACAGAAGATTACAAGAGCTTCACTAGAGGGGAAGATGCAAGTGATGGGGAGGGCAGAAAAAAAAAGCCAAATGAAAGTGTGAACTGCAACAAATTATTTGCACATTATAATCACATGAAACTGAAACCATGTATTCGGCACCAGCACTCTCACCAGAGGAGTCGGATGCATTGTCATTGCAGTCACACAATGGCACCTGAGCACATGTGGTCAGTTTGTGTTGTTTTGCATAGGGCCTGTGTGCATCTTATTTGTTCACAGTGAAATGCAGCAAATTCTGATGCGGCACTTTCATTATGAAAGTGCACAGCAAAGGAAGATAATTTTGCACAATAAATATACTAGCTGTGTCGTATCTTCCTTGTGTACCTGAGGCTTGTGAGCATGAGTAGTGTAAACGGAGTTCTCAAATGCACCTTGTTCAGGAAAAGTTACTGCAAGTTGCAAACAAATATCCACACCTAAAAAAAAATGCTTGCAGACTTTCATAAGCAACTTGGAGTATATTGGCTTTGTCAAGGTAATGGTATGCAATGGAGGCGCATCCAGAAGTGATAGCAAAGCCAGTAATACAGCCTCTCAGTATATAAACAGCCAGAAGAATAAATTTTTCAATCGTTGAAGAAAAATTGACCTTGTCTCTTCCTTTTCATCTTTCTCTAATCATGAAAACAGGGTCGTGCTACAGTTTTGTTGTTAAAATGTGGTAGCAATTTATTCATGAGCGTAGTTATTATGAACTCATAAAATCGAGCACTCATTAGATTAGTGTAAACTCTACTTGAAAGCATAGTTTTTACTAAGCTGAGCCAAATAAATGCTTCCTCTTGTTTCTTTCCTGTTTATTGTAAGTATACTTCATTGTTTTCAAGCAACATATTTGAGCACACTTTGCATGTTAGCATTTAGTTTTGGGGGCACTTCTGATAAGACACTCCTGATAAGACAAACTATGGTGATCCCTTCGAGTTCATCTTAAAGGGAGTCTACTGTATTTTGCTGGACTAGATTGCTCAACTTGATTTTTTTTAATGTAAACATCAATGGTGCTTTGTTATTGATACTGTCATGCATGTAGTCTTGTCGAAATTGATTTACATATCCCATTTTTCACACCACTCATTGACAGCACACAAAGCATCATCAAGCAATACCTGGTCAGCAATGCTTTTTGCATAAGTACATAACACACAGTCATCTGTAAAGTCTCACATCAACAAAATAGTGAATGGCATGTGCAAAATCATTAATATACAACAGGAATAGCATTGGGACCCAACACTAATCTCTGTGGTACTTTGGACAAAACAGGCAATGTGTGTGACTGTCCTCCAGTAATTTCTACAAATTGCTCTCTTATGCAAATAGGCAGTGATTCATTAGATAATCTCTAGAGCAACATCAAGCTTATGAATTCTTTCTATCAGTTTTGCATAACAAACTCGCATTGCTATTGTCAGCGTGGTGCAATTAAAGTGCTTTTTTTAAAGCTCTGTTAGGAGCTGTATTAAAGATCATGTGGATGTATTCACTGACCTCTTTAGCACTACATAGCCCTTGCCACACCTCGCACTGAAGGCAGCCCTACAATGCCTGTGTCACAATTGCACATGTTAGGTCAATCTGATTGAAATTTAAATTTTGTAGGGAATCATTGCTTTTCTCATTCAAATGAGCAGCATACATTTGTGTACTAGCTGTTCGGATGAATAACTTGTTTTTTCACTCAGTGTCGGATGCTTGCCGAGCTGATGAGTTCAAGTGCAAATCTGGTCAATGCATCAGACTTTCTGGAAAGTGCAACCGTCGAAAGGACTGCTATGATGGAAGTGATGAAGAAGATTGTAAGTAAAAGGGTTCATTTTTGCAGAAGGCCAAAGGAATGGTCTCTTCAGTGCTAACTGAAAACAGTTGCAATTTCTTGTATACCTTTTCAGGCTGTACAGCTGAAGAATTTCAGTGCAGGTCTGGAGAGTGTGTTTCAAGAAGCCACAGGTGTGATGGCCAGTACCAGTGCACGGATGGGTCAGATGAACTAGAGTGTAGTAAGTAACTTGCTCACTTTTTTGTGGTCCATGTCCTCTTTTAGTGAGCTCTGGACAAATGCATGTGTCAAATGCATAAAGTTGTGAGCGAAAGTATAAAAACTCGTCTTGTCAAAAAAAAAATTCCTTTACCAGTCAAGCACAGTATTGTTATATTAAGAAGGCAGACTATTATTCTCCCCGGTTTGCATTCTTAGCACAGGAAAGCTTAGTGCTGTGCATGATGAAGTCTCTCATGCTTTCCCATACACTCCTAATGCCCTCCTTGTGTGTTGGTTTGTTAAATGAGAAATGCTCAAGTTACATAATCATCAGGATTTGTCTCGTTATTAGCTTTGTTCCTTACCTTTCATGCTGAAAGACTTTCTGAACTTCTCAGTTGGGAGCAGTGCAAGGGACAACAAACATGTTTGATGTCTTTTACATTCCTTGCTTTGCACTCTCTCTTAGAGGAACCCTACAAGCAAGCTTTTAGATGTTGATTGTTAAAGTAATATTCTAGCACTCTGTTTTTTTTTTTTGTAGAAAAAAAGGGGGGGGGGGGGAGATGTTTCAAGGGTCCAAAAACCTCCAGTACAATACCATTTGCCCATTCCCGATTGGGAACTTGTGACCATGCCAGCGCTACTTCCACCCTTTACTGTCCAATGGTTGCACTATGGTTCCTTGTCTAAAACCCAATACAGACGTGGCATTTTCTTCTCCCGTTAAAGCAAGCTTTAATTTTGTGTAAGTACATCGGAACACTACATGATGCAGAAACATTGAAGTGCGAGTACACTGGCCATGCAGTCTCCTAAAGGCTGGGATTCTAAAAAAAAAATTCGTATATATGTCATCAGATACGCACCAAATTTTTTTGTCCTCAACAATTGGATAAGAATGCACAAGTAGCAATTTATTTGGTCTTGCCCCAGTAACTCTAAATGAGGAAACTGACCCAATGCACTTGGAGATGCTGAATAAAAGCAGCCTGGCAAATACTAAAAAACAAGTCTTTGAAATTACCATCTTAGAAGGAAATCATTGGCTGAGATTGTGCAGTAGTGCTTTTGCTCACAGCCTGAAATTATTTACATGAATTTAGGGAGAATATAAACTAAGGGATGCTGCCTCGTAGCTGTAAGTCAACAATTGATGATAATCTCTACTAAGCAAAACCGCACCGTACGGCAGAGATGGTGGCAAATGCAGTTGCCGTCAAGGAGGAAGACCAGAGAGCAGCTGGCTTTGAGGTTCATTTATTTAATTGGAAACACACTTAAGCTGGCCTTGAAAGTTTTAGGTGACATGGCTTGCAAGCACATCGTACCATGGTATGGTGCCTACAACACACGTGACTGCAGGGCAAGGTGGATCGGCTAGCTTGCACTTTTCGCATCCGATCATTTACAGTCCCCATCATCGGACTCCCTAGATGTCACCGAAAACAAACTGCGCAACCACTGAAAATGTTGGTCACATACGACCCTTACTGGTATACAGGTTTGCAGCCTGTGCCAAATATAAAAAAAAAAAAACATACGGAGCTCTCTACAGACAGTACTATACAAGCCCCACACCATATGTAGGTACTTTGAGTGGAGTGGCCTGCTCTTTCTTGCCATTGTAAGAATGAAATGCACAGCACTCAAATGTTACTCCCCCCCTCAACTAAGGTAAATACTATAAAAACTGGCCTCGTATCTGCATGTTTTACTGCAAATGTTGACGGAAGACGACAGTCTTACTTCGGAGAGATTGAACAAAACAATTATTTGATCTTCTGCACTAGAAAATTGGTAAATGGTATTTTGGAGGTGCTGCGGTATTCTGGAGGTGCTGGAGGTGCTGCCTCGATGTCGGTAGTGGAGGCGAACGAGCGCATCAAAGTACATCACACACGAGACATGAGCGCTATCTGGCATATATCTTTGAAAACAAAGTGCGTGGTGTATCGGAGGCGATAAGGTGTAGGACCCAAGGCAATGGGTAGGTGCCACCACCGTGTCGTCTTAGCAAAGCACTGGAAACACTTGTCTTTTCATGCATAGTGCATAGTGTTTCATGCATAAACGCTACGGTCCTTGGAATTACTTATGTATGCCTTTTCTAATAAAAAGAGACAAATACAGAATATTAAAGTATTATTGTGCCACAGATATTTGTAAAAATTGTTTTTAATTGACAATTGCACAAGCAAGAACCCTGAAACATGAGCAATATTGGTGGGCGCTGTGGTTGGGGTTGTATTTTGGCCATTTCGAGTATTGTTTCGGCGGACAAACAGATAAGTCCACCAACAGGCAGACAGACCAAAATTTTTGCGTCGATGGTTCCCAAGAAAGACTATCATCTTTAAAAAAGTAAAACTGTCAGTAGAAAACCTTGCTTATGAGCTTGGCACAGGAAAACCTAAGCTAGTGCAGCTCTTGATTGAGGACTGACACCTGAACCCCCTTCATGTGATTAACATTGAGTGCTAAAGTTATGTTGATGATTATATATGTCGTTGGGCTAGTTTCAAATGCCCAGCTGGAGATGGAGACTGTGTCCTACATTTACCCCAGTTTCTTAATTACAGGTGATGTTACTGAAGCCAATTACTTGATGCAGTTGAGAATTAATCTCTACCACTTCAATTTTCCTTTTGTGTTCATTTAAAAATACCAGAAATTGTGCATTGAATCAAGTTAGCAGGCCTTGCTCCTTTAACCATTGATTATTTCTGATGTTCAGATAAGCGTGTATTCACACGATGGACTTCTCTGTAGAAATTTCCGCCACTCATCCAGCTGCCACGAGCATGTAGACGACAAACAAAGGGATGCACCAGAGAAAAAAAAAAAAACATTGCGGCACTGTATGATGCGAAGAGAGAGTTGCCCGCTTTGAATCTTAAAGCTTTTCGTCGCGCATGGCATGGGCTGTTCGTCCCAAACTGACGGTTGTGTTGGCTTTAGCCTTGTGTCCGCAAGCTTTGCCGGCAAAGTATTCATGGCAATTTGGTGCTATTTCTGAGCGCCATACTCGTTCTCTTATAGCTGTAGGCTTAGTGAGTGCCTCTATTGGCAGAACATACGCTCTGTGATCTGCAGTAGCGCGGGTGCTACCAAATCTTTGAGGTCATCATCGTGTGCGAATGCTTGCTTGCTCCATTTTTCTGCCCCACCGCAGTGGTATAGTGGCTAAGGTACTTGGCTGCTGACCCGCAGGTCACGGAATCGAATCCCGGCAGCTGCATTTTTTATGGAGGCGAAAATGTAGGCCTGTGTGATCAGATATGGGTGCACGTTGAAGAACCCCAAGTGGTTGAAATTTCCGGAGCCCTCCACTACAGCGTCTCTCATAATCATATGGTGGTTTTGGGACGTCAAACCCCACATATCAATCATGAATGAACAGTTTTTCTCTAGATGGCATGAGAAGTCTGACAAAAACACGTTTATCGTTAGCAAAAATGTAGAGTTTACATCCAAGATGGAGTTCGAAAGAAAGTGACGATTAGCTGCTATAGCTGTTGTGTTGTCAGAATTGAATTATGAAGCACTATTTTTTCCCGCAAAAAGATTTTGTTGCCAAAAGTACTACAAGCACCTGGGTACTACAAACACCAGTTGTACTGAAAGCTTTTGGTTAGTTACACCGAAGAATACTGGAGGCTGCTGCGAGTGACGAGAGCAGATTGTTAAGCTGCTTTCGCTTGTGGGATCTCTCATAAAATGACAGGACGCTGTGATGGGGCGAGCCATATTAGCGGAAACAAGGCTGCAGGTCATGCTACGGTTCCTTGCTTGGGCAAGCGTTGCACGTCTGTGCATTTCTACTTGAGACATTGCTCTTTATGTGTTGCATCTAAGACTGTTAGGTTTAATGTATGCGTGAACTTAGAGAGCCTCGCTTGTACAGCCAACATTACATTGTGTGTTGGAAAATGCCTGGGAATTAAATTTGAAACATTGTCTGCTAAATCTATAAAACCAGACGAGCCAGACATATAAAGGCACCCTCGACTGAGTCTGCAGTGTTATTTTGCGTGAATCAAAATGCGAGAAAAAGCTTGAAAGTTTCAGTCTGCGAGGTCCGTGGATGCGGCAGGAATGGCACATATCCGTGATGTAGGCGCACGCGATGCGGCAAAAATGGCACATATTCGTGATGTAGGCACACGCAATGCGCCGTCCGCAGCGGAAAAGACTGATTTGGTATGTTGTGTAGAGACACCCTAACTGCACTTACACTGTGGAGACAGTCAAACATAAGATGCTTTTATCTCAGTCTTCTTGTTGTCCTTTGTATAGAAGTTTATGATTAAACAATTCTGTAACAACTGGCCCTTACAAAGCCTTGTTGAATGCGTTTAGCACATGCATGTGGTAGACATGCATCTACATTTGTGCTTTAAATTGTAAAAGAATGTTGCTTATCTAACCCCTGACCCTAACACCATTGTTTTAATTATTAAGATATTTTTTATTGTGCATGCCCTTGACTATTCACAAAAATGCTGTGGACTGTTTGCAGCTATTTCTGTTCCTCTTGACATAATTTTCGAACCTTTCTTCATCTCTCAACTTTGGGATGGTCCTAATGTTCCTGTGCTTTCTTGCATGCTGCAGGAGGATGTGGTCACAGTGAGTTTGGATGTGGTGATGGGAAGTGTGTGGAGGATTTGCTCAGATGTGATGGTTACTATGACTGTGAGGACTTTTCTGATGAGCAAAACTGTGGTACTGATCAAGTTTGTCTTATTAATACTCTTGCAAAGCCAAGTGATATTTATCTTCTCTTAATGAATTATTACTAGACTCAAAATGAGAAGCTTCTAGTTAGACATCGTAAATGCAATTCAGCTCATGAGAAGCATGTAGCTTGATTTCTCAACCTTAAAATTTTATGAGCAATGTGGCGCAAGTAATGACTCGTATCACATTAAATAGACCCTGAAGAGACCAAAAAAATATGTTCTGTTTAAAAGTTCTGTTTGCTGAGAAATGACTGCAGTGAACTCTGCAAGAATAACACTAATCTTGCCAAAAGTTCTTTTTAAGCATTTCTGTTCAACAGATGTCATGACAGATTTCAGTTTACAGAGAGAGTACTTAAAACACGTTAGGTACAGCGCAGCAACGATAAAAAGCAACATGTAGAAAGGAGCGCTATTGTGTTTTGTTGGAAATATGTACAGGCATGAGCATAATGTGGGATCGCCTGGCCGAAGGCATCGACGGGCTATCTAGCGACAAGACACCTGCTGCGGTGCGCATGTGCGTCCAGTAATGTCTGTTGGCCTCTCATGTCGCTACTCCTATAATTTAGTAGCGAAAATGACATCAGTGTGTCGCTGTCTTTGCTCTATCAAATTTGTGCAGTTTTTTTTTTTTTAATGTAGTGACTGCAACAGTGCCGGTTCTAGGGCTAGGTCATGTAGTTATACCCACACAACGCAAATACAACCTCAGGATGTCCTCAGTATGCCTCCATGAGGACAATATGACACCTTCAGAATGTCCTCTTATGGACATTCTTAGGGGTGGGGTGAGTTAGGGGTGGGGTGGAGTGCGAGATGAGCAAGAGGTAAGTTGGCCGACGGTGACAGAAGCTCGCACGAAGACGTGAAGGGTGTGAAGACAGTAGATTGCTGCAGACTGTAGCTGGAATGTTGCCGAGGGCAAAAAAAAAAAAAAAAAATCTCAAGGCAAGAAGGGGGGGGGGGGGGGGGGGGCAAGGCATGCTGCCGCCGTGGTTCCGCTCAACCACTGTTACACGAAAAATAGACATACTTCAGAGGAGCGCAGTAAATATAAGGACAGACTTGTAGTAGACACATTGCTTAAGATAGTGTTTGTAATCAACCAAGCTATTTTTAAAATGCTGCTCTGATTTACGTAATATTTGAAGTTTGCAAAACAGCTTGTAGACGAAAATGTGCTCTATTTTTGATAAAAACTTAATTCTATTCCCATGATATTCTGGGCAAAAGGTGCTTAATTTCATTCCCATTCCATTTTGGTGTCGTGAAAATTTGGGATGATTCCAAAGTCATTTCAATTCAGAATGCAACTCTGCAACGCTGGTCACAACTGACAGGTTTGTCAGGATTCACACTCCACTTGGTCAGAAAAAAAGAGCAATATCAAGGCAGTCATCACAGCTCAATCAACCATGTTTGTAATGTTCCACAAAAGTTTGACATACGAACCTGATCACCACGTGTATCGTGCCCAATGCACTCACTAGTGTTAGAGGCTTCGCTTCGACAGCCTACCAGTAGACTTGACACAGACCTCGAGTTCCCGAGGTCGGACTATGTGTCACACACGCAGAAGTAAATTCCTTCAGATTGAAACCAGGATGCTTCGAAGCACAATCATCGCCAATGGCTGGTATTGCAAGCTGCTTCAAAGCACAACTCGCCACAGTCGGCTGGTGCCGATACATCCATGATCAGTCTGAATGTTGAGCGACCCGGTGCACCCGCCAACATGGCAATTGACATCCCGTCGTTGTCCACGATTTACGCTCTCAGACATCTCACTTTTAGCTGTCGTCTGCACTGTCTGCACCATAAGTGTGCATGCCGTGGTCTGCACACTTGTGCTCACGCCTGTACCATATTCCAAGTAATTCAGTGCAGTGCTATATGACTGGTGCTGTGTTAACTGTATTATGACAGCTGTTACTACATGCTCACTATCTTAATATGCTCTCTGTGCAACTTTTGCATGCTGCACACCCACTTTGCGATGTCTTTTCTCACCTGTCTGTCTGCTTTATAGAATCTCACCTCTGCAGGCCTTCACAATTCCGATGTCAGTCGGGGCTCTGTATTGACAGAGATGAATATTGTGATGGAGTGCCTCACTGTCCTGATCGGTCTGATGAGCTTAACTGCTGTACGTTTCTCCTGCTTACTACTTGCAATTGCTTGCATTATGTGTTGTTGTTATTAGCACTTCTTGTCTGTGTCCGACTGTCTTATCACCTGCGCCTTTGTGGGGTGCATACATGTTTTTAACTTATTTTTAATTGGCCAAAAAACACAAAACCCTGCGAATATACTCATGGGTCTTGGTGCTTTTTTGCCCCTACGCATTCTCTGGCCTTGTGCATTTCTTACCGCCGCCAGAGAGAATGGATGTTTGCTGAAACTACTGATTTCTTTTACCTTTCCTGCATTCCTGCTTTCATATATTTGGTTATTAAAAATGCCTTGCAACCCTTGAGACCCAACAAGAAGATTAGGAGGGTGCAGTAAATAACGGCAAAATAAGGACACCACGGTTGTCTAATTGCTCAGTAAGTATAATGGCAGCCATGCAAGTGCGACGTTCTTCCATATGGTGTTTGTTCTTTGGTAAAAAGTGTATGGGGAGCTTGTCTGACAAGGGGTAAGTTTACTGTATAATGGTGAACATCCTTGGTTGAAATTGAGCGAAGAGGCATAAGTAGTGCCTTGTTGTAACAGTACATTTTGCACAAAAGATATAGGACCTTTGTTGTCTGAAATACAAAGAACAACTAATACTACAACTACTACATGTTTGTTTTTTGTAGAAATACCATTGTTCAAACGAATGTGGGCCTCTATTTTTTTATGTTGTAAAGCAACCCTACATGAAAGGGTAAACTGCTTTTCTTTTTGAGTACTTTTCATTGCTATGTGACTACAGGTTCTTGATCTAAGCACCAGGTATAGTCTTGTGTAGTGGCTGTGCTGTGTGGTAATTACACCTGTAATGCATTCAAAGAATACACTTAACACCAACATCATTTCAGTCCTTAAAGCAACGTATCATTTCAAGCAGCGGGAAAAAGCTGCTTGAAAAAAGCTATTCTTTGTCCTTGATGTTGCTTAGGTGCAATATTCTTTTCATTCCTTGCAAAGTAATTTTTTTTTCTTGCGACACAGTAAGCTGTATCATGTGCGTCACACAGTTCTCTTCAAGAAACGGACTTGCATGCTTTACTTTTTTTCAGGGACATGCCACCCTGGTCAGTACGTATGTGCTAATGCTCAATGTATTGAAAGATCTCAACGCTGTGATGGTCGTTTTGACTGCACTGACTTTTCTGATGAAGCGGACTGTGGTAAGTAACCATTGTTGCTAAAGTGGCAGCATACCGTGACAGCCAAACACTTCAGAGTGAATTTCATTCACTTTCTTTCAAACCTTTGCAGACCCTGATGCTGGTGTGAACATCAAGGTGTACCCAGAAAGACAGACAATTAAACAAGGTGTGAATCCTCTTTTCAACTGAATGCAATGCTTTTTATTTGTAGGCACTTGATAGTTATTTTTACAGGCTTTGTAAGGCCTTGTTTATGAGCTGTGTGCATTCTAGTTGACGTCAGTCATAAAATTTCTTATGGGAGTAGGGGAGTCTTTGCTTACTCATCTTCTGTGGCAGATATCTCCTTTTAACCAAACATAGTCTTCAGGGGTGACTGTAACAAGTGTACTAGCTGAATTAAGGGCACCTCGTAGCTGGAGCTATCTGGTCCAATTTCTGAGCAGATTCAGTTTAAAAGCATATATATATATATATATATATATATATATATATATATATATAATATATTGCCGCCAGCACGTAGTGGGTTGACAGCAAGAGCGGCTCTAAATCTGGAGGAAAAAAAAGATCGCGTTCTTCTTTTGCTCGAGAGCCAGCCACGACTGACGCATCGTCCTAGTGCTAGCTACCTGGTGGTTTAATAAATCCCCCAGTACTTGTGACTCATCGTGACAAACTGGTGGAGGTGCTGGGTAGTCTCACGGATGCTGCAGACCCCCCCAGGAAGCCGCGATACGAGTCCAGTGCCAGTCAATACTCCCGTGCATCGGACCAGCCGCCGAATCAGGGGATTGCCTCCGGAAGCTGACGATACTGCTCCCACCACGTCGACAAACATGACCAGCCCTTCGGTGCAAACCTCGGCAACCGGCACGGGAAGCACGACGTCGAACCGCTACACGTTGGAAAGCCCACGCGCACCGGCGACATTCCATGGCTCGGAGCACGAGGACGTTGAGGACTGGTTGGCGGATTTCGAGCGCGTAGCGACCTTGAATCAGTGGGACGACGCGGCGAAACTGGGTCGTGTCTACTTCTATCTCGAAGATGGGGCACGTACGTGGTATCGAAACCGAGAGGAACAGCTGACGGCGTGGCCCGAATTCTCTCGTAGACTTCTGCAGACGTATGCCAGTGCTGATCGCCAAGAATGAGCTGAACGAGCTATTCTGGCCCGCGTCCAGCTGCCAAACGAAACTGTGACCACGTTCGTCGAAGACATGACGCGCCTCTTCCGACGGGCCGATTCAAGAATGACGGAGGACAAGAAGTTGCGTCACTTGATGCGCGGTGTCAAGGACCAGCTTTTTGCCGGCCTCGTGCGAAGTCCTCCGAAGATGGTCGCGGAGTTCTTGTCCGAGGCCGTGACAATGGAAAAAAATGCTGCAGCAGCGATCCAACCAATACGACAGGCAAGTCAGTGGCATGTCTACTGCCAACATTTTCACCGCCACTAGAACCAACGACTGTCTACGTGAACTCATCCGGTATATAGTACGTGAAGAGTTACAAAAGGCTGGTGTAACACCTCATCCTACTGTCAACTCTATTGCAACTGTGATCAAGGATGAGCTGCACCAGGCCCTCCGGGACACCTTGCCTCATGATACAGCTGTGCCAGCTCCTGCTGAATACCGCCGTGAGACAACCTACGCGGAAGCCTTGAAACGCCCTGCAGCAACGCCGCCATTATTCGTCCATCCTGTTCCTGCTGTTTCACTACAGTCAGCGCAGCACATACCGTACTACGAAGGCACGTACACGCCACCACCGTTGGCCTTTGTCCCTGGTGCTTCTGTCGCCCATCGTTCAGTGCAACCAGTTCAGTACATCGACGATCGGCGCACGTCTCCTCGAAAGTCTGATGTTTGGCGCACACCTGATCGCCGGCCTCTGTGCTTTCACTGCGGAGAAGCTGATCACTTGTACCGCCAGTGCCCATATCGCCGTCTTGGGCTTCGTGGCTTCTCTGCGTACTCACCGCCACCCCGTTACGGCCAGAGACCGCGCGACATCGAAAACTACCTCTCCCAGCAGCATGCACCACCATCTGCCGGTCGCCAGTCGCGCTCGCCATCACCGAGGCGATTTTCATCAACGCCCCAGCGGTATTCTACCACACGGTCTCCCAGCCCCCGCCGGGAAAACTAGCCAAAGCGACCTCTGGGGGCGGGGTCGCTGAACGTCGAAGCGGTGAAGACCTCCTATTGACGCAGAACTGTACAGAAACCGGTCCGACATCACATACTGCTGCAAAGGATGGCCGACTTTCACTCGACATAGCAGTGACAATTGATGGTTGTGCAGTTAATGCGTTAGTGGACACCGGCGCAGACTATTCCATACTGAGCGGGAAACTGACAACGCAGCTGAAGAAAGTCATCACGCCGTGGCATAACTCGCAGATTCGGACAGCTGGTGGTCACGTCGTTACTCCACTGGGTGCCTGCACAACTAGAATACAGATTCAAGGGTACACATTCGTAGCAAGCTGCCTTGTTCTACGCGAATGTTCCCGTGACGTCATTCTGGGAGTTGACTTTCTACAAGAAAACGGAGCTATCATTGATCTGCAAGAGCGCCGCGTCACGTTCTCAGCCCAGCGAGCAATCAACGTGCAGGATGGTGGAAGGCGTGTCGACGTACTCCGTATTTCTGAACCGAGTGTGACGCTTCCTCCACGAACAAGTGTTCTAGTCGACGTAACATGCTGTGGTTTGGGCGATGGCGATGTGGTGGCTGAGACAAATTTAGAACACCTCCTGCAGCAAGGCATTTGTGTAGCTAGAAGTGTAATACACCTTCATGATGGTCGATCTGAATTGCTCGTAACCAACTTTAGCAACGAGCATCGACATCTTTTCCGTGGCACTTCGATAGCGTTTGCCCACGAAGTAGCAAACGTCACCAACTGTTTCACGTCGGAAATAGTGGATACCGCCGACACGTCAATGAGTAATATTGACATCAATCCTGATCTGTCCACCGTTAACCAGACTGCACTACGAGCGCTCTTGTTCGAGTTCAGGTCTTGCTTCGCAACTTGCTCAAAGATCCGCCAGACGTCCGTCACTCAACACAGGATCATCACGTACGAGGACGCACGTCCGATACACCAGAACCCCTACCGCGTGTTGGCCAAAGAACGTGAAGCAATACGTACGCAAGTCACCGAGATGCTTGACGATGGCATTATTGAACCATTTAACAGCCCGTGGTCATCTCCAGTCGTACTTGTCAAAAAGTGCTAGCTACCTGGTGGTTTAATAAATCCCCCAGTACTTGTGACTCATCGTGACAATACATGTGTATATATATATATATATATATATAATATGTATAATGTATATATATATATATATATATATATATATATATATATATATATGTATATGATTACTGAAACGAATGCAACAAGGATTATAGAAATCGGTGCACGGAAAGTGAATTTATGAGTCCTTGAAGTTACCAAGTTGAGCAGACGATGACAAGAAATCTTCTTTCGCATTTCACTCTCCTGCTCAGGTCAGAGACCGCTTCCAATCACAGTGCGTGTCTCGTAAAGACATACCGAAAATGTCACTGCATAGTGTTCTTCACACAATACCTCACTACCGCTCTTTTTGATGGCGTCGGGTAGCAGTCGCTCCCATGGTCACACTGTTTAAGATATAGACATATTCTTCGGGCGGGGTCACTTTACTCGTATGGCCTAGCTACCACCACATAAATATTGCATGCTATTTGTTGCGTAAAGCCAATCAATAGTGAATGATCATTGTCACCAATTAACATGACACATCACTTCCCATAACAAAAATAGCCGATGTGTGTCGCCGTAGCTTAGTCAAGATAGTTTGTCTCCTGAATTAAAGTTACAACAGCGTTGATTTCGGCGTTACCATTTTGCAACAATATCGCGCGCGTTTCACAGCACCAGAAGAACCGATGTAAAATACGTGCTCAAATAGTCTTGCAGGGCCCCTTTAAGTGTGCAATATCTTTTTCCATCATCATTTATTTTCCCATAAGGGCCCCTGACAGGATATTACATAAGGGGGGGGAGGTCAAACAAGGATTTCTTTGGATAATATAAATATGGAGATGATGAAACATTAAACTATTGTTTGGTGAGAGAACAATAATAAACTAAGCAGGAATTTATTCAATGCATAGGCAAAAAGTAGAATAAATAAGAATTCAAGGGCGTCAAGCAGTTTTTAAATTCTATAAAGATTAAAAATTCAGCAGCCCAGTGAAATTGTCTTTACAGTACAGCTACTAAGTATCAAGAACAAGGGAATACAAAAACTATAGATGAGAAAGAATATGCTTACAGCACAATGGACTTTATGCATTTAGCTTCATACAGAAAAAAATGTTAGTTATAGCTATTCTAAAGCTTGAGAAATTGTTGTACCAAACATGCAGGGTGTGTGAAAGCTTGTTTTGAAAAAAAGCCAAGAAAACATATAAAGCTGAATTTTAGCCATGTGTAACAGAAGATAATGAAATGTTTTTAATGGATGCTGAGACCAGGGCCTTTATGCCCACTTCTGGAGCACAAGTCAACCAGAAGCAGTGCCCATTTTTCCGTGCTTTCTCAATATAGCTTGTCTTGGTGATATAAATAGCTGCTGTGGTTGACATCATCAATCCAACATGCAAGAAACCTGGCCAGGGCTTCTGGCAATGCCTGTATGTTGGAAAAATATTGTATACCTGTATGTTGCAAAAGTAAATGTTGCAACATCAAAGCAGAAGTCTTAAGAAAGAGATCGGGTTAACAGCAGCAGGTCAGTCTCTTTCAATACTGTGCGCCAGCGAATTCTCCTTCTTTATTCTTTCTATCGTCCTACATAGCACATGTATATTTGTATTGTCATCTTTCTTGCTTTCTTGCTGCAAGCAAGTGGCAATATTCAGAAAACAGATTTTTTTTGCCACAATGTATATCCAAGGTCAGTGTTCTCCCTTGAAAAAAAAAAAAAATGACTCTGGTTGCTCAATTTTCTGCATGTTTTTTTGGTTTTCAAAGCTTTGTTATTTGAAACATCAATGTTCATCATTTTTTAATATTGAAACTTCATGCTGCATGTATATCAGTTCACTCAAGCAGTAAGTTTCATGTTTAAAGTTCATATTTAGCAATCTCGTGATGAATAAAAGGGGGGCAAGATGTTTCACAAACTAGAATCCCACAGTCCAAAATCCAAAAACTGTTTTGTTTGAACTTCAAGTTACTTATGTACTTCAAAGGTAAACGACTAACACATGGGGCAGAGCATGCATATCGATGCGATATCCTCCACATGTCTACTCATTGCAACAGGCCTGTCTTCTGGCAAGAGAAATAATACTTGCGCTAACCATGTAACAGGTAGAGTATTCCAATTGATGTATTCAGTCTAGTAGTTCACCATAGTCTCACTATAGTTGCACTTCATTTATACATAATTTAATGATCAAATTGATGCAGCTAGTCCAACTGTGTTTTTGCTGTGAGCGAATATATTGCTTCCAACGAGGTACTATCCGGGCAACATCGTAGACTTTCTCAGGAGTGTCCTTAAGAGCCTCGCTGCTTCTTAACTGTCCCGAAACAATGTCCTTCCACAGGAAACGTGATATTCCTGTGAACAATTATAGCACTAAAAGCCGCCATCATGTGTGCTTGAAATATGAAGGCTCAACTACACAGGGACACAAGATAGGGACAGCCCAGGGTAGTCATGTGCTCGTATTTTAAGTATTTTGAGTCACCCACTCATAATTGTTTAATCGCAACTGGTAAAGTCTTATTGAGGTAGTCGGTCACTTCAATATGGTTTAACAACCCAGGAAGCATTCAACTTGCAGACTTTCATCTGTGAGGTTAGTCGTGAAGTATTTTTCACAGGGAAACCACCTTTATGTTGTACCTCGTGCAGGCCAAGAGGTGGTGTTCCGCTGCAGAGATGAGGGCACCAGGCGCTCCCAGGTTAAGTGGACACGGCCGGATGACAGCCCCTTGCCTCCACAGTCAACTGATGCTCGAGGGAGGCTGACGATGCCCAACGTGCAGCTTGAGCACGGGGGCGTCTACCTTTGCAAGGCCGTGGGTGTCCAGGCCTCCACATCAGGAGCTCAGAAGGCTGCTTTCCTCACCGTGCAGCCATGTAAATATCCAGATTACTGTGCCCCCCTTCCCTGAGACTGCAGGCCTCCCTTTGCAAACTCTGGCTGATTGGCAACTCTGGGTGCTTGGTGTGCTTCAGCTGTCTCTTTTCTTTTTGCTGTTATTATATTGCCTCTAACATTTGTGAGTAGCTGTTTCTTTGTTAGCACAATAATCAGCTGCAAAGCCTGTTGTCATGGGCGTTTCCTAGTGCTCCCGAAATTTGCCTGCGTGTGGCTTATAGCTCATGCATCTAAATGTGCATTGAACATAATATAAATGCGTGGTGCGCGTCATGTATACATGTTGGACTATTCCGAGAACAATGTGTGTTGAGCTGATGTTATCAGTATGTTTTCAGTCATTTTTTTGAAGTTGTCACCTGGACTGTGCACATTGCCCTTGCTTCCACCATCTTTTTTTTTTTTTGTTATTGTTGTTGTCCGGGACGCTTTTGTGGTCTCACAATCGCTGAAACAGCATGTTGAGTGTGAGGCATTTTCTATCATTTACTTGCAGTTTTAAGTCAATCCTGGATGTAAAACTCTTCCATTAAATAAAAAGTGTTGACTACAACAGGCACAATCCACCATTTTTAATGGTACTGCCTGTTAATGTATCTGGCACTTTATGCCTTTTGTTGAGTGTTATACATTCAGTTTGCCTAGCTGCTACATGTAGTGTGCTTGCCATACAGTGCCTGTTCCAGTCACTCTTCATATGTGCCGAATACATCAAAACCAGTGGCTCCAGACAATGTTCGTAGCTTGTGAGAAAAGCATGCAAATATGAGCTTTGCTTGAAGCTCTTTACATATAAGTGTGGCTCAGTCATTTTTGTGTTAAAGCCCTTTTATTAAGATATGTGCATGTCAGCTGTTTTTTCACCTTGCCATTTTAGGGTCTAACTATGTAATACCTTTTTATAAATATTTGTGAAGGTTTCTATCAAAGCATTCCAGTAGGTGATTCAAGTGGTTTGTGTGGCTAAATGCTCAAGTTCATGAGAATGTAGTGTATGTGACCTGTGTGAAATACATGCGTAGCATATTTAGGAATGATATGCAATAGAATATTTCAAATTTGTTTATGCTTTTCTTCGAGAAACGTCAAGAAAAACAAGTGCATAAAGCTTTTCAGTGAAGCGGGAATTCATTTTTAGCATTCATCAACATGTATGATTTTGTCATATAATGAAAAATTAAGCTGTACTTGTACTCAAAGCCTATAAAGTTACATTGCATTAAACTGTCATCTTTAGCATTAAGATATAATTGTTGCTAATAGCAAAGAAATTAAGTGGGTCATTTACTTTGTTTTATTGTTTGTCAGTAGACTCTTGTAGTGGGCGTCTTGTTTTCTAGATTAAAAAAAGGGCTTTCAAGTTGTGACTAGTCATTGCAAGTGACATGCTCTAACGTTGACGCTATGCAAGAATAAACTGTACGCTGCAATACACAGGCCATGCTTTTTGGGCTTGACTAATAGTTCTGTGTTGATGCATGAAGCTTTCTTGCATTATAAATCGTACTCGTTAACATTGTGGCATCTTCTTTATTGAATTAATGCCTCAGCTGAGCCCTACTATGGAGACTTCCTTCCAAAAATTGATCCGAATACATATGAAGGTACTTGCATTGAGCTGTACTGCATGTATGTCTTTGCATGTTGCAATAAATGGTGCCAATCATGTTTCATGTTATTCGAACTTTATTTATTAGCACTATCTTCACATGTAGCTTAGACGTGCTACTTCAAGAAATTTAACAAATCTATTCCAGTAAAATAAACTTTGCTTTGATAGCCTAGCCTTCTATCACTGTTCTTCAAACACACAACTTCAAGGCTATTCAGAGGTTTCAATGTGGGTGAAGAAGACTTAATAAGGTCAACAATAAATGTACAGTTGCCAATGAGCTTCAAAGATGGAGGCCCGTTAGTTTTATTCATTCACATAACTAAAGAAAATTGTTGTGCCTGCTCTCTCATAGCTTTAAGACATATGAAGCAAGCACTTTTGTGGAGGCAGTAATAGCTCATGCTGCTGATTATACTCAACAGAGACAGCACACAAATTAGTCGTATATAGTGTGTGTATGAATCTAATTGAGGTGAACAGTATTACTTGTTTTATTTTAGATTATTGAAGTTAGTCATTTTTGATTGAACAAATGTAGGAAGTGTGTGTGCATGTTGTCTGTTAAAAGCACTATGTTCAGGGTCTGAAAACCAGTTTAGATTACAAAAAAGGTAATGGTTACTGCTCCAGGGAAAATGCTAGTGTGTTACAGTATTTCAGTTGCTGCATGGTTGGGCCACGTATTAAACAATTCCTTCATAGCTATTATTCACAGATAGGTGATGTTTTGAAATCTGTTGTGCAGTCAACAGTGCTTGCTAGAATTGCATGTGTTGCTGAATGGCGGCTAACTCTTGGGTGGTATAACCATATTGGTAATAGACTAAAAAATTTCATTCAAGAGAATTCACCATACATTGCATGTGTATCAGAGTTACCTGCATATATTTGCCATTCATCTTTCAATGGATTCGTAACTGCATGTGCAACAGTTTTGGCATTCTAAGAGTCATGTTTTGCATATTAATTGCTGGTTGTACTTTTTCTTTTTTAACTTGCACTTGGACTGGCTCGTCTTGGTGAGAAACTTTTTCTCCTGCTTGGCCACGCATAAAGCAATATGTCGGATGATGCTAGGGTTAAAGGTGCAACAAATGTTTTCGTGGGTTTCAAAGCAGGAAAGGGACGGTGAGAGCTTGTACTTGCAATTTGTTTTCAATATTTAGATAATTAAGCAGCTCACATCACTTATTTCTAGCTTTCAATATTTAAATTGTACATAACGTAAATTTAGATTTTCACTTGGAGGAACATGTTCACTTGGAGGAACATTTATTTGCCTTCTAACTATGGTTTAGGAAAACTATAAACAGAATGTGTGAACACTTGTAATGTAGCAGTGTCAATCACGTGACCTCCAGGTTCAATATGTTGCATGCTATGTGCAGATTTTGGAGATACGATTTATACCAAAGAAGGCCAACTTGCTGCATGTTTAGCTTATTTAGATGTAAACTACTGCGGGCAGAAACTGCTTCAGCTTGCTGCTTCGCCTTTTCTGAGACACGTGAATGCGAGAGACACGATTTGTCATTCCTGCAGACACTCCACCAACACCAAAACTGGAACGGCCACTAGGAGCTTGCAAACACGATGAAGCTACCTGCCAAAATGGAAAGTGTGTTCCACGGAAATACGTCTGTGATGGGGACTATGACTGTGATGACGGCTCCGACGAGAAAAACTGTGGTACGTAAATGCTTGCGTCATGTTCATACAGCCTGTGCACTGAACATGCTGGCAGCAGGTGACAACAGGTGAAGGGCATGATTTTGTGAAAGCATGTTAATGCATCATCTTGCAACTTGAAGGTTAAAGATGGGAGTTGACAGACGAAACCACAATGTGCTTAAAGGTGAGAATAAGGGCCTCAGGCAGGCTGGCTGATGATACGATGGGTGAACTAATCCTTGCCATACCTTCTTGTCCCTCTTAGCCTGTTGCTTTTAAAAAGGGTTAGTTGTGCATGACATTTGCTCTAAGAAATGCGCACTGTGTGTAGCACCGAACTGCTTTGCCAGTGAGAAACTTAACGTCGGTTTGATTAAAATATTGCAAGGTGGCCAAATCCTTGCTTATATCCAACACTTTCTAGTGAAATGCCTAAGCTGTTGGTCATGTCGCTGTGATGTTGGTCGATGCAGCAATCATAAATGATGCAAATAAATACCCTGCATCAGTTTATAATGTGCATGAGTTTCCATCTTTCATAGTTCATTACTTATCTTGCATCACTGCACAAGTGAGTAGCATGCACTGTAGTGCTGACAGTCTTGCATCTACAGTGTTGTTTTATTGAGACTAAACAGAGCTGTGTTAACTTTCACTGGAGATACATTTTGCTGCTTCCACCAAATAAGGATTCTGATTGTATCTATACATGATAGTTCTGTTTATTGTGTTAAAAATAATACTCGCACTGTGGCCACATGCTAGTACGTTCGTAGCTTGCATTGTAAGTTGGTTGCTTAAAATTAAAAAAAAAATCGTCTTCTAGAATTTCAATTCCCGAATCAGTGCTGTCTGGAAGAACTGCCTGTCCCAGTTATTCATGTCACACTCTTTGCAGATGAAATCCAATAGTTGCTCGAAACTGCAAAACACACTGTCTTATTAAAATGAAGGAAAGAAGTGTCCACTTAAGGACTACTGGTTGGGATCAGGGGCAAGTTATCTTCTCGTCCACTTTTCCTAATTTTTATTTACATTACAATTAGTTCTAATAGCACCCTCTGCACTTTAGCCCTGGCATTAGTGTCTGTTAGCTCTCATTAATGTTGAAAGTCTTAATAAAGAAAGCACTTCTTTCCTTCATTCATAGCTAGGATGTCATTCTGACAGACTTGATGCCTTTAGAGGGTACAGCAGGGATTGCTGGTCAGCTTGCAATAAGATCACGTGCTACATGGCACCAGCAGGCAAATGCCATAGTGGTTACTAGTGGCGCTGACTGACCCTCCCACGTTAAATGTGTATATGTGCCCTATAAAGCTAACGGGGTACGATCGCCGCCGTAGCTCAGTGTTAGAGCATTGAACGCGTTATTCGAGCGTCACAGGTTTGGATGCGACCGGACGCAAGTTTTCTTTTCATCCCCTTTTCGTTCTTCACATTTACATCACAATTACTTCTCATATAGTAATATCTCCTATACATTCCTTGTCATTGTTATCTTTAGATCTCATTATATTGTACCTTATTAGAATGTGTGAGCTATAAAGATTGGCCCAGAAATGTAGGAGGCACCTTCATTATTTCGAGTATAGGTGGGAAGTCAGAAATCGGAGCACCACTGTATTCACAAGAACACGCAGACAAGGAAAATGTTGTTAGATATGGATGAGTGCCTATATTTTCAACTTTGCTTTATTAGAATCTGCAGGCTGTTTCACACTTAGTAGAAATCTTGAAGCGTGTGGCATCGTGATGTGGCTAGCGTTGCAACCACGTGCCATCAGCAACTTGGCGTGCGCAGATGACTCAGGAGTGTAGTTTTGAACCGCGTCGTCCGCTCTGGCGGCTCTTGCTTGCTGCATCGCTGGCCAGTGCGCGAATATTATGGTTAGCGCAGAAACTGGGTCGTTAATCTGCACTAAACCTCTCGGCCTTTATTTGTGATAATGGAGTGCTACAAGCAGAATACGACTATATACCTTGTTTTCTCTCTTGAAATGTCATGGTGAATAAATGAATGAATGAATGCAGGTTTATTTCATAATCTATTTACAGATAACAAACGCTTGTCGGACCTGAAGCCAAAAAGCTGTTTACAAGTGTGCGTTCATGCATATTTATTCACTGTGTGAGATAAGAGAAGGACACGACAATTGGCATGCAATGTGCATTGTCTTGATTTGACTTTGAAGGAAGAAAAGCACTCTACAGTAGAATTCGTACTGCTGTGCTGGCCTAACACGATAAAACAAATGGGAACGAATTCAGGAATGTTTTAGATGAGGACAAAGCCTTAACGTGTCTCTTTACAAAGATATTTCGTTACCAAAAAACCCGCTAGCCGGCTCTGAAATGTAGTGTAGTTTTTACAACAGAGTTCAATAATCTTATGTTGCTCTCTTTCTGGTATACTGGGCATGGTAAACCAGATAACCAACACAGCACTGCTCTTTTTGGGCAAAAAAACAATAAAAAAGTGTACAGCAGACAACCCTCTGTTCTATTCAGCTCAATCTGGATCTTGTGATGCCACGCCCCTGTCGTCAATAAATGGGACATGCTGTGGCGAAACACATTGCTGACACCATGCAGTTACTGCCATCTAGAATGAGCGCTATCATTGCTACCGCTGGGAACAAAAACTTGGTAGTGTTGCGGGTGCATTTCAGCGCTGAGAGCGAGTCCTTTCTGTTGTGATGAAATGTCGAGAATAAGCACGTTCAGGTGGTTGTTCTATCCTAAATCGTTCCTTATTTCATTCCCATTTGTTCTGTTGTGTTAAAGCTGCTTAGCTGCTCAGCAGTCACCACTGGGTGCTTTGTTTTATTTAAAGTCAAATAGAAACCTTGCATGCTGCATACTCATTATTGTGCCTTTCTCATCCAAGCTTACTCGAGTGCACACTATCAAGAAACATTCAGGAATGCACACCGTGCCACAATGCTTTGATAGAGAAAACAAGGTATACTGCCAAATACTGTTTCTAGCACCCCATCATCACAAATAAAGGCTCAGAGGCTGGCATTGCACAGCCTTTAGTGCAGACAAGCATTGAAAGTTGGACAAGTTGGTATGGGAACTTTTGAAAAATTTCACAGCAAGACAGGACACAAAGAAAGCATGCGTGAGTTTGTTGGTCCTTGTTTTTTCATATCCCATCTAGCAGCGCAGATATAACTGAAAATAACTTGTGCAGAGTGTCGGCTCACTTCCAGCATTAAAAATGACATCTGTGTGCTGGCCGACAACGCAGCATGCGCCCAGTCGTTGCAGACAACGTGGTTCAACTCTGCACCTTTGAAACGTCTGCGCACGCGTGAGCTGCTGTCGACGTGCGATTGCAGTGCTAGTTGCATCGCGATGCGAGACAATCAGAGATTCCCCCTAAAACAGCCTGTACATTGGTGTGCAAAGTAACACACACGTGTATATTTTCATCTCGCCCCAATCCTTCGAATAAAATTGTCTGTAAAAAGCTGAGCATTTGTCTGTGCCTTCTTCGCTTGTGTCGGTGTGTGTTTGCTAGTAGTACCCCACCGCAGTGGTCTAGTGGCTAAGTTACTCGGCTGCTGACCCGCAGGTTGCGGGATTGAATCCCGGCTGAGGGGGCTGCATTTTTGATGGAGGCAGAAATGTTGTAGGCCATGTGCTCAGATTTGGGTGCACGTCAAAGGTGGTTGAAATTTCTGGAGCCCTCCACTATGGCGTCTCTCATAATCATATGGTGGTTTTGGGACGTTAAACCCCACATGTCAATCATTTGCTACTACTGCTTTTTTCAAGTTCATCCTGCACCAATATGGCCAAAAGTTAACATTTACAAGTTACCAAGATTCAACTGCATCAGTTTATTTTCCACACTCATTAGCAATTAAATCGTTACTTTTCAGTTATCTTTCTTAATGTATCTTCAGGGGCCTTTGTGAATGCTATGGCTGGATCTGTAACAAATAACTATTTGCTTTTGTTCTAGCTCAACCTTCTCTCTGTGAACCAAATGAAATGCAATGCGACAACAAGAAATGCATTCTCAAGGTTTATTTGTGTGATGGAGACGACGATTGTGGTGATGGCACAGATGAGAGGAGCTGCCGTAAGTGAACACATTATCTACTTTTTCCCTTCTGTTCATGTTACTACAATTGAACTTCATTAGAGTGAAATTGGTGGAGAAATTAGAAAATTATGCCATTTCTAGAATTTTGTGATTATGAAATAACATAGTACAAATAGGGAAGTGGACAGAAAAATAAACATCTATGCCAAAATTTTTTTACCATTTCTTGTCAATCCTTGCTATGTAGTGAATGCATATTTCTTCACAAAGCAGCAGGTAATCTAATGCGACATCATCAATGTGCATTCTGGTGAATGTTTGTATTGTTTTGTCAAGACATCCTTTGGGTTCATCGTATTCTCCCCGAGTCTTGTGCCCTGTTCATTGGTGTCGTCTGGTTCGTGCACACTGCTTACAATGGCATCATTAATCAATGTCATTGATTGGTCACGTTGCTGCACAGTGGTTGTGGAATGTTACATAAATGAGCCTCCTAATCATTGATTGATCGATAGACAAGAGAAACTTGACGAGCAAAACTGCTTGCATGCAAGGTAGCCCAAGCGTGACGAATAGCGAGCTGCTGCAAGGTCTGAACAAGCAGCATTGTGGATGACTATGGCCATGTATGCAATTGTTTTCAGCACCGTTGAGATTTTGTAAACGAAACTGTCGGCAACAACACAAGCAAATCATTATGGTACTTTGCGCTCTTTAGAGAACATACATTTGTGCTCATTGTGGAGTGTGCTGACCTTGCACGAGCCGAAACCTCATGGAGAAAGTACTTGATTGTTCTTCATTGTTGCAGGATACCAGCTTAGCAGCATTTCGTTGTTGAGAAACGTGAATTCTATGGGCATGTGCCAGGGACAGGAAAAAGTACAGGATGCTATTTCTTCATCGCATTCATTGCTTTACCTAGTGGTGACTGACTTTTTCATTGCCATGAGAATTTTGCTATTTCAACTGCACACCCTTTCTAATTAGAACTATGTAATGATCTATTGGTTATTACAGTGAAAGCTGTTTTGAGATTACAACACGGGTCGCGTTTACTGTAGTTGTTCACCACTGTCGCCAGTGTTCGTAACCACTTTCGCACGAAATGAAAAAAATAAGTGAATAACAAACACCAAGAGCACGATGGGATTCAAACCCAGATGCCTGCCCAATGTTCTACCACTGAGCCACGCGGGTGCTTGGAATACAAACTGACCCTAGACATGCTTCATGTAGAGAATGGCATTGCGTTAGTACGAGTAGTAAAGTGCTTTAGAACTACCAGGCGTCGCACAATGTGAATTTGTGGTTTCCGAATGTTACAATTTATTACTAAAGTTTCAGATGAAATTCTTCAATGTAGTCAGCCACAGCATAAAAAAATTGCACAAAATTCTTTGCAAATGTGTAGCAGGTGCCATGTTTCCCCAAGAAATGACGAAGGATGGCATGGTGAATGCCCCCCCACTTCAAAACGTTGCACTGACATATGGTGTAGGGGTTTTCCTGCATGTGTGCTTGTAGCTGTTACACAAAAAAGTTTTAAAATGTTTCTAAAAGGCTGCTTTTCTAGCTTTAGCTATGACAGGGCTGCACGTTTCGTGCAGGCCTGGTGGTTTGTTTAGTTTTCCGAAATCGCTGAATCTTTTTCCGTAAATGTCAAACTCCATATATTCAACCATATTAATTCGAACACTTTAATTGCATTCTTTGTAATTTTTTTTTAGGTGACAATATTCCAGGATCTCCTTGCCGAATGGGAGAATATCAGTGCCGCTCTGGAGACCAGTGTATCCCAAAAAGTTTCCACTGTGACGGAGAGTTTGACTGCCAGGACAAATCTGATGAAATTGGATGCTGTGAGCTGCCTATTCTTCTATACAGGCTGCTTGAGTACTGTAAAACATTTAGTTAATATGCTACCAAGATAAAAAATCTCAAGATATTACCCCACCTTTTATTTTATTGTATCCACACTAGTGCCTGGGAAATGGGCCAAGAAATGTTTGATGCATTTCATATGTGAACAGAATCCAGTGTTGTGCTTTTATTTTATTTTCATGCAGTTAATTTAGCTTAATTTTACTTTTAGCTTCAATTTTATATTTAGCTTCATGTATAGTTGAGCTATTTAGCACAAGATATAAGATCCATTGTCAGCAAAAAAATATACAGGGTGTTTCAAGAAAGGTGTACAATATTGTTTAAAAGTCAGCAAAAGACGCTATTTGCTCGCTGTTTACACAGTTGGTTTTTATGTAGCGACACGCATCTTAAGAGGGTTGAAGACATATTTTATTTATTATTTATTTATTTACAGGATTTCTGCTGGCTTCAAAGTGAAGCCATAAGCAGGAGTAGGTAACATATAAATATAGCACGCTGAACATTTTCACAATTTATTACGCCCAGAGAATGTCACGGACACACAGGTTTTAACGCGGTAAAAAGAAAAATATTCAGTGCATGACATGCAATTGCACATAGCATAATACTATATAAGTGAGTACTAACATCACTTGTGTACTAACAATGCAACGTCACAAAACAAAGAGTACAAATATGGCAGGAAGACATGCTATAAGTTTTTTAGCTCCGATAAGAATGACGCCACTGTCGCCGCCTCCACAATCCCACCAGGGAGGCGATTCCACTCGCGTACAGTTCGTGGAAAAAAAGACCCCATGTACAAGTTCGTTCTGCAAGAAAATTTCTGTAATTTTTTTGAGTGATCCGCCCGCGTGGGTCGTCGCACAACTTTTTCTATATGCGCACTTGAATCAATGCCAAGCTTATCGTGGTAGAGCAGATACATATATATTAGTCTTTCGCGATATCGCCGCAAATGTAATGCTTCCAAGTTTGCTGTCTGAAGCAAAGCAGTGACTGACGTAAGGCGATTGTATGAGCGAAAGATAAATCGAGCAGCTTTTCTTTGTAGATTTTCTAGTTTATCAATATTTTTCTTTGTGTATGGGTCCCAGACCACGCAGGCATATTCCAAAAGAGACGAATGTAGGTTTTATATGCTAATAGTTTTATTTCTTGCGTTGACTGTCGTAATGATCTTCTAAGATATCCAAGCTTTTTCATGGCTTTCTTTTCTAGAAAAGTGATATGTTCATTCCACCGGAGGTCTGAAGTGATTATTAAACCTAAGTATTTATAACGATTTACAGCACTAAGACAGCGACCATTTATTGAATACTGGAAAGTAAGTGGTGCCTTCTTTCTTGAAATTGTCATTGAGACGGTTTTTGTAGTATTGATGCTCATCTGCCATTTTTCACACTAAATATGAAGTTTGTCCAGGGCACTACTTAACAATGCCTGGTCGGCAGGTGTGTTTACTTCCTGATAAAGGATGCAATCGTCCGCGAACAGTTTGATTTTGACAGGTATATCGTTTACGATATCATTTATATAAACTAAAAAGAATAGTGGCCCGAGAACCGACCCTTGGGGAATGCCTGATTGCATGGGCGCCGGGCGTGAACACGAGCTGCCAACTGATACGCATTGACTCCTAGACAATAAGTATGACTCTGTCCATGGGAGAAGTGAGTTATTTTGTAATATGGGTTTTAATTTTAACAAAAGCTTATGGTGCGAGACGCGATCAAATGCCTTCTGGAAGTCCAAAAAAATTATGTCGATTTGACTCTGTTTATCTAAGGCTGTGGCAAACTCGTGTATTGTCTCAAGGAGTTGGGTAACCGTCGACATTCCCTTACGAAAACCATGTTGGCGGCAATCAATCAATTTATTTTGTTGCAGAAAGTTTGACAAGTGCGTAAAAATATGTTATAGCAATCTTGAGCAGGTACAAAGTAAAGATATTGGTCTGTATGACGCATTTAGTGAAGGATCTTCCGCCTTAGGGATTGGAACAACCTTCGCGCGCTTCCAATCTCTCAGGAGTTCTGCAGTGGACAATGTTTTTTGAATATAATAGATAAATACTTTGAACACCATTCTGCATACCTTACTAAAAATGCGTTTGGTATGCAATCAATTCCTGGTGATTTTTTTATAATTATTTTAAGCAGCAGTGATAAGACACCCTCTTCAGTTATCATTAAGTCAAAAATTTTGGGTACGTCCTGAGAAATCGCAAAATTTGGTTGTTTCCCATCGTCATTTGTGTAGACTGAACAGAAGAACATGTTAAACGATGACGCAAGGAGTGATTCATCAGTTACCGATTCTCCATTAATGAGGATTTCATATGCCTGTTGCTTCCTAGGTAACAAGTGTCTCCAGAACTTCGCAGGAGCAGAAAGCAAGAAGTTTTTCAAAGATATGTTGAAAAAGTAGTCTTTTGCCTTCTTTATGGTTTCATTTAACTTCTAACGCACATTAGAAAATTGTGATACATGAGAAGATGACGGGTTCTGGCGCAGTATTTTGCGCATCTTCTTTAGTTTGCGTCCCGCTCGCACTACTTCCCTCGTCGTCCAAGGGCGAACAGATTGCGTTCTGATAATCTTTGAGGGGACATGACTTGAGACGCATTTCATAACAAGATTCTTGAAGAAACCTCACAAATCTTTGACAGAGCAACTACTTGATTCATACATATCACCGAAATCTGAAAACGATATATCTAACAGGTAAAGAATGGTGACGTCATCAGTACGAGTGAAATTTGGCACTGTGCGTTTTTCCTTCCTTTCTTTCCTTACGTGGAGTGGAATGCTCAAAGATAACAATTGATGATCGGATACACCGTCATAGACGCACAAAGCAGGATTTCGACGAAGGATTCTGTCACTCACAAGAAACAGATCCAAAATAGATTGTGCGTTACTTTGAACACGGGTGGGTTGTTTTACTAACTGTGTCAAGTCATGAAAAAGAACAATGTCGACCAAGGGCTCAGCAGCACTAGAAAGCGGTTCCGGGAAGTCTGCGTCCCAATTAACTTGAGGAATATTAAAATCGCCAGCTAACAATATATTAGAAGTGCTTGTGTTGCAAGAACAAAGAAAATCATTAATACCATGAAAAAACGCCTTCTCTGCATACGGAGGGCAGTAAAATGCACCCACAACCAGGTTCATTTCCTCAAGGTGTATTTTAATAATGACACCTTCAATGCCGTCTCTATCGGAAAGCCTAGTCACATTGAGGTAGTTTTTAAACAGGATGGCCACACCACCACCACGAGATGGTCTGTCTTTCCTCTAAATGCCATATCCTGGGGGCGCTATTTCATCGTCCTTAATATCTGAATGTAGCCAGGTTTCTGTTATTACAATCAGATGGGGTGCATGCGCTATTGTGATACTTTCCAGGTCATCAAGTTTATTAATGATGCTGCGGGCGTTAAACTGAATGCAGCGAAGTGAATTGCCTGATTGTACTTCGGTTCACTGCTGAGATTTCTTAATGACATTACCTGGAAGAGGCACTCGTTCATTACTGTCTGCATCCCAAACAAACAGAACACCGTTAACCCGGATTTTGTCGTAGATTAATTTCACCTTTTCACCTGCCCTTCGATTTTCCGCCGTGCTTTCCCAAAGTTTTCTTCTTTTATGTCGTGTAGCTTCCGAGAAGTCCTCAGAAATCAAAAAACCTGTACCCTTTAGTTTGAAGCAATTTTTAAGCACAGCAATCTTGTCACGGTAATCAATAAACTTTAGAATTATAGGGCGAGGCTTACGTAGTTGTTTGCACCCAATTCTATGAATTCTTTCCGCAGACAACACTTGTATTGCCAGGATATCCGTAAACACACCCTTCAACACACTTTCGCTGAGTTCATCGAAACTTTCATTAGTTGTTTCCGGTATACCGAAGACAATCAAGTTGTTCCGCCTATTTCTATCTTCAAGATCAGCTAGCTTGTTTTCCAGGCTTACGACCCTTTTTTCCAACTTATACACCATTGTTTTCACCTCATTTACAGCCATAGCAACTTCTTCCACTTTTTTTAACTTCAGTTCAATGCCATCCAGCCTTTTGCGAATGCTTTTTTGACCATCCAAAAGCTCAGCAAGCAACTTCTGAACGTCAGGGCCGGGATTCGGCTCGACGTCGCCACACAATAAAAGCAAAGAGAGAAGCATTTCGCGTACACTAGAACATATTCTGCTTAAGCTACATGGGCATGTCAGCTGGACAAAGAAAGGGTCGTCACATATGACAGATGAAACATCATCACTAACCTGCATGAAGAAAATAAACGGATTCGACATGATGTCGACGCGAGGCCAGCCGACATGCCCACTGAAGAAGCTCGATGAATGCCGTGAATTTATATCTCCGTCCGGTGACGTCGATGTAGCCGCACGTGGCACCTTCCATCCTTCCCAGCACCGCTTGTAGTGCACTGGTTGTTCTGCGCAGTCTTCAAAATTTTCCAGAGGTTCAGCGAGGACGAATGTGCAATGAGTCTCTCGGACCATCGCAGTCGATCCCAAGACGAGAAGCTGCATGAAGAAAATAAACGGATTTGACATGATGTCGACGCAAGGCCAGCCGACATGCCCACTCAGGCCAGCCGACATGCCCACTGAATGATATTTGGAATGATAATTAAGAAAGTTAAATAAATTGACTTTTTAATTATTGAAATTTGGCAGTTATGTTAAATAGAAGAATTCAAGTCCTTGATCCGATAAACCCATTGCCGCTTTGAGATTTCAGAAAAGCGTCCTTTAGAAATAACTAAATTCTACGGTGAAACCGAAACCAATGGACCGAAAAATGCAACAAGCAGACGACGACCATGACGCCACTGTTCAAAACAGCGGTTACCTGGATGCAGTTCTTCCCCCTTCGATAATGTATTTGCATCATGGGTGCTGTAATTGCGAGTGCAGCCCACACACCCACACAACGAAATCGGTTGATGGTTGATATAACAACGCTCTCTCATTTCAGTTGCTCTCTTTTGCATTTCGATTTCGGTTTTGCCACAGACTTGGGGAGAGTTTCATTAATTCAGTTATTACTAGAGGCCGCTTTTCGAAACTTTCAAAAGGCAATCGGTTTTTCGCATGAAGGACATCAAATCTCCCATTTGACTTAACTGCCTAACTCTACTACTTAAGAAGTTAATTATTTTAAATTTCTTAAGTACTATTCCAAATAATATCCTCAATCTTCTTAAGATGCCTGCCACTACAGAAAAAGCAACTGTGACGACAGCGAGCGAATAGTGCCTTTTCCTTATTTTTTAAGAATATTGCCCACATTTCTTTAAACACCCTATATATAGTATATAGCCTGCAAGTCGTCCACGTTTGCTAAAAGTCCTACCTTCGTGAAAGGGTCGTGAACCTCCCCTTTGGGAAAGAACACGTCCTGTTAAATATACACACTGCTGTGAATAGGTCAGCCAAATCGCGCATTGCAAAGCGTGTTTAGAAATGAAATGTCTAACAGTCAACAGTATGCTGTCAATCAAGAGCCAACATAAATCAAAAGTGATAGATAAGTCAGATAGGTTTTCTGCCATCTGCCATTGCTACGCTCCATGGTCTGCTAACACAATCTTCACACTGCCATACCTTAGTATCGCAATGAGACAGGCCGATGTAACTTATACTTCCACTATGCCATCTCTCCCTGTTTAGCTACCAGCAGGCTCAACGGGATGAGAACATTGAGGAAGTGATTAAAGCGTGCAGCATTTATTACTCTGTTGCAAGTGAAGCCTTTCAAAAGTCTTTGTGGTAATCAATTCATGAAGCAATAAACAGCAGTACTGAGGTCAATCATTGATTACTTGAAAAGTGTTCCAGGACACCCTTGAAATCTCATTTGTTTTGTACCTTGCTTTGTGAAGTCAATTTGTAGCTTAATAAGGATAGAAAATTGAGTAAATCAGATTATGTTCATAATTTGCAGTGCAAAAGAATGCAAGCAAAGAGGAGATGACACGAGCGCTGCCATTAATGAGTCTTTTTTGTTTTCTCTCTCTATAGCACCACCAACCATCACGCAATCGCCTCCTGAAGTTGTCAATGCCATGGAAGGGGAGACTGTCAACATCACTTGTCGGGCAATAGGCAACCCAGTTCCACTCATTAACTGGCGCTTGAATTGGGGCCACATTCCACCAAGGCCACGAGTATCGACCACAAGTGATGATGGGTTTGGCACGGTCACCATCCGTGATGTGCGCCTATCTGACCAGGGAGCATGGTCATGTGAAGCCATCAACAGCAAGCAGAGCGTCCTGGCCACTCCAGATGCAATTCTCGTGGTCAAAAGTAAGCACTGACAAGTAATTTGTTAAAAAAAATAAATCTGCCAGCTTACAAGAAAGTGAAGCAAGGGTGTGGACTTGATGCTATTTTATTCTACTGTGTCAAATTTTTTAAGTGTACCAGCCAATACTACTTTGAGAGATAGCGCATCTGAACTGTGTTAGCAATTTTACGATTGCCTTCTACCAAAAGAGACAGTGCACACAATGTAAATGATAAATAAATCTGTATACAAAATGATGAACCGTTCAGCATTAAAAAAAATTGAAAGCAGTTTTAGTCTGTTTGAAATCCACAACAAAAGTAAAGATGAGCTCATATGCTTTTCTCTCTAAGTTGTTAACTAATTATCATAAATAAGCAGTTAACAGCAGCAGCAGGCACTTTCTCAGCTACTGGTGAAGCAATTTTCAGCATGCTCTGCAAACTTTTATTTCTTGGGATTTGCGGGTCCCATCTCCATTGTCAAATAGCAAAAATTGGTCTCTCTGCCAGTGTTCACCTTAAAAATATGGCTTCACATAGCGAGAAGCACTTTCACACATTGCACCTAAGCCCCTTTGTTTTCTTTTGTCAGGCATTAAGTAATGGGGTGTATTAGCAGTAGAGAAACTGGAAGGGAGGTGGCACAGGCACTATAGTCATCTCGCTCGTCAGTAAACACGAACTTCCCATTAGCATAAGGAATATCAGGTAGTACAGGATAAACAAAAAAAAACTGATAGAAGGAAGGAAATAGAAGGGTAGCTGTTGGATTTTTTACTACCAGTACAGACAGCTGTATTTATTTTGAGTATTCTAGAAGTGTATTTGGCAATTTCATGTTTATTTATACTTTATCTGTTCCCTAAGAAAACTAATGGGCAGTCCTTTAGAAGGATCTTGTAATACTCATATGCCCCGTTTCTACTCGAGAAGCATAGTTGTGAAAAACTATCTTTATACTATATGCGTGATAACCTAAGATGGTATTTAGTGGTGCAGAGTATACTGTTCTTGATAAACATTGTTACAAGTGTGGATATTTGTTCACTTCAGTAGAGGATATCAACTCTGAATCGCTTTGCTCTCTTTCAGCTTTATTTCTTGCCAATTAAAAGCAAACAACTTGTATATACAACTAATGTGTTTAGTAACTGCGAAAACTGAAATATTTTGGCCAGTTTGTCTCAATTACAGGCACTTCTCTAATACTAATGGACGGTTAAAAGAATCGGCAAAAGCAATAAAATTCCAACTGCAGACAGTTTTATCCCAGCGCTTATGGTTCTGTTTCAGTTTTTCGTCGGGCGAGTGATATTATAGAAATTGATATTTAGGGATGCACTAAAATTAATTAACAGTCATCATTATTAATCAAATTTAATTATATTGTTTATTTAGTGACTCATTAAGATTAATTGACAGCCATCATAATTAATTGAATTTAAGTAAAAAAGTTAGACTTGTTGGTTTACCTCTTGGTGATGATCTTATGAACTGCTGCTATGTAAAAATTTCAAGAGTTGGTATACATTTACTACAAAGTAAGGCAATGATGACATAAAAAACAAAGGAAGTGCTTTCGGTGTTTAATTATTGATTCTGACCTGTCAAACTAGTGACGGTTGAAAGAGAAACCAATGAACATGCACTACTTTTTTTTACTAGTAACATTTATTCTCTACTATCAGCCATCAGCACATGCGGTGGCTCAATGGGCTATGCTGTTGACAAATTTTCCCAGAAGTTTTATGATGTAGGCATGAGTTACATTACATTCATTCATACAATCATTCATTCAGTTTTATTTCTCCTCCCACTTGAAAGAGAGGGGACAGGACTAAAAGCTACTACTGCTTGACAGAGGTACTGCCCCCTTTACAAATGACAGCAATACATTGCAGAGAAAGAATAAGTGCAACACATTAAAAACAAAGTAATACACGATAACAATACATTTGCAATAAAAAAAAAACAAAGTTTGTATGCATCAATATATATTTATATACTCAAACCTCGTTATAATGCAATGGCATATAACAAAATAATTGATATAACAAAGTAAATGAAATTGCCCTTGAAAGCTTCATTGAGAACCATGCATTTTAAACCTTGTTGTAATGAAGTAAAATTAACCGGTAACTGGATATAATGAACTAAATTAGTCTATCAAATAGTCTATAAAAAAACCGACCATTGTGTGTTAAGTACATCATTTTCTGCGGAGATTGATGCTCGTTCACTGCAGCTCTTTCAAAACTTCCGCGCTGACCTTACAGCCACGCCACATGCGGCCGAGAGAGCCGTCCTCCTCACACAGCCAGCAGAGAGGATTGAGGAAGCGTTCAGTGGGTCACATGACCGAGAAGTGGCACCACGGTACAAAGCGATTTTCTTCTCACTTAAGAACACACGATGGGGAAGCTTCAGAAGACTTACATTTATTCACAAATGAGAGGATATTCATCAATGATTGAAGTAATCGGTGATGCACATCTGCACATGTTTGCCTTGCAGCAAGTCAATCAGCACGGAGTTTGCAAAGCATAATAGCGCGCGGCTAAGTCCAGCACTAGCACTCTCGAAAGACGGCAGCAACGACTGCGTCTCTGCTGCTACCCTCTTCACCGAGAAAGGAGGAGCATCTCCACGCAAAGAGAAGCAGATCGTCATTAGAGAGAAAGTCAACTCTTTGCCACAGCTTTCTTTTTTTTCTTCTCTCTCCGCGCATGGCCTTGAAAGGAGAAGGGTCTCTATGTGCAGAGACGAAAAAGGGAGAAGCATAGCACAGGAACGTCCCAGATCGGCGTTTGAGAGGGACCAAACAATCCGCCACAGTCTTCTTTCCTTTTCTTTTTTTTCTTCATCGCGCGCAGCATTGAGAGGTGCCGCCGCGGGATAGCACATGGTGCTGAGAGCATTTCAGAAGCTCGGTATGTTCAAATTAACCGTTGCAAGTGCTTGCGCATTCAAATTACAGGGCGTTTTCGCCCATTTGAATACATATATCTTTGACGGGACCACAGCGCGAGTTCGAATCAACGAGAAGTTTGAATTAAGCATGTTTGAGTTAATGAGATTTGGCTGTGTTTATTTTCCGTCACACGAGTGGCCGCGTAATGGTACATCGGGCTGCGAGGCGGTTTCCTTCTTTGCATGCTTATAGGTGCGCGCCCATCTGAGCATACATTGCCACAAACTGTTATAATCGATATAACAAAATAATTGTGGCCCCCCTTCAACTTCGTTAAAGAGAGGTCTGAGTGTGTATGCACACACAAAAAAATATGTGCCTATGAATGGAAATGTGGATTTCGCAGATTTACATTTTCATACCCGATACACAAGTATATATAAACAAGTCTATGTACAAACATGTATATGCTTCTTGGTATGTACACAGATGAGCTTAGAATATATTGTACATGACGCAGCAGTTTAGTTGAATATTATTGAGTTCTGAAAACATGGTGGAGGTCTCGGTCATAGAGTTATTTATTTATTCATTTATTTATTTATTTACTTATTTGTTTGTTTATCTTTGTTACCCTCAATCGTCAAAGCATTACAGAAAGGAGCGGGTTACAACACAAAAAATACATAACAAGAAAACAAAATGTGCTAATATATGAACAAGACTAGCAAAATAACATCTCTATTCAGTAAAACAGAAAAAAGGTGAAACGTAAAAAAAAGAAAAACATTCCACTGAATATGTCTCTACGGATGAAGACAAGAACACACATGGGATGACGATCATATACAAGTTATGAAGTGCCCACAAATAGTTTTGCTTTTTTGAAACACTTTAAAGAGATTCAAGGACACAGGCACACATTGGCATGCACACGCACACTCACACACACACATACATCTGTGAACAAGATCAGCAAAAACTGCGTCCTTGTATTCAAGAAGTTCAAAGTTCTCCTGAGCCTGTGTACTTTTTAAAATATCATTTTCTGTAAAACATAATACTTCTTATTGACCATGTTTGTTTTCAGACAAGGGTGTCTGCCATCCTCCACTCTTCAACGACAAGGCCCAGACTAGCTCAGAATGTCTTCGCTGCTTCTGCTTTGGTGTTTCTCAAACTTGCCATAGTAGCAGTTTGAACAAGATAACTGTAAGTAACATTACATCAAAGGCAATGTTAGACAAGACTGGTGCATCAGATGCTGTGAAATACTTGCATGTCTGTGTAACAGTACTCTCATGTCGCTGGTACAGACTAAGTGCATGTATACTTAGAGCAACACTAGAGCCAAAAAAGAAAAAAAAAATGCCTGGCCTGCGCGGAAGGCGCAGCACAGCCACAGTGAAACCTGGAAGAGTGCCTTTTAGAGCCTTTTCAAAACACTCATTGGGTAACTACTGCAAGCACACTTGCTTGGTACCAACTAGGGAATTAATAATAAACTTTGGGCAGTAGGCCGGCATTTGCTATTTTTCGTCATTCTTCTGAGAAGAGTGGTATCTGCTAAACTCTTGCAAGAAATTCTGTTCCAACCGTTCATGCAGTGGCTGACAAAGATGAGGAATTATGGCTGAAGTGGGTATGCGCCACAGTTAATAGGGGAACAAGAACAAGCTTTTGTTATGCATTGGAGCATTGGACGGCACACTCGTTACGCTCTTCGCATTGTGCGACAACTGGTTGTTCTATCGCTGTTTTAAAACTCTTTACAAGTCATATTAATGCAATTGTTTTCCCGACATCATGTCTGCCTAAGGCAAGTTTGACAAGTCGCAAGCACCGGCGTAACTCGGTGGCAGAATGTTGGGCTGGCACCCAGCAGACCCGTGTTCGAACCCCACTGTGTCATTAACCCTAGGTGTTTTTTTTTTTTTTTAGTTTTGTGCGATGTGGTTACGGACACCGGCAGTGGCAGTGGTGAACATCTGCACATGACCAGAGTTGTGATCTCATAACAGCTTTCGTTGTAAAAATGTACGCAGCTGGGTTACTGTGAAGTAGTCCGTAGCACCTAGCGATTCCCGTTTGAAGAGTTCCCTGTTTACAAAAGTGCTGTGACGCCAATGTGTGAAGTAAGCATGTAGGGTTTTTTTGGCATGAATAAAATCTTGTTAGAAAGATTTGCAAACCCAGTTTGGACATGTGCACTACTTTTTGCTGCCCTTTATTGACTCCATGCTTGTAGCAGCAGTTGAGATTCGAATCGTCTGCGGCAAGTATATTTAGGTTGTTTCCGCCATCAGATGTAGTGACGCAGAGGGAGGGCTCTTTCGCTCGACTAAGCATTGTCGTCCTATTTTGCAGGACTCTCTTGTCAGCCACATCTTTCCCTAATATTTTGGGGATTTGACGTGAAATATTGCCATTATTTCTTGGTAATTTCTACTAATTATTTCAGTTTTTTTTATCTTGTTTGTTCGTATCGACCCAGTTTTGATCACTGCTAACCTTGTATCTTGTATTGAGGGTTTTGCTGTGGGCATGATCAGGCCGCTTGAGATGAATTAACAACAAGCTGAGCCCGCAAAGTGCCCCGCACTTAGAATGATATTTGTTGTACTGCTGAGCTCCTTTTTCACAATAATAAGAGCACAAATGTGGCTGCGAGAAGATTCCTGGTAAGCGAGAAAATAAGAAAAAAAAAGGTAATGCAAGTGGTGATGCAAACTTAAAGTTCCCGCTCCGCCTTCATGTGATGTAGATTTTGTTGGCATCTACTGGGGCTTGCGTTAAACAATGTAAATGTAGAACATTGTTTTCTGAGGTTCCTAGAGGCTTAGTGCACAAGGTTTTAGAAATTTTTGTTGACCTGATGTGGCTAGGAAAAAACAATTAGGACTCTTTGATATTCTTTCGATGTCAGTGTAAAAACCTTTTTTGCAAAATTTCAAAATAGTAATTTTACCTTCATTATCTTTTATATTGGTCAACTTATATTGGTGCAATTAAAGGCAGTGTTCAAAGAATTATTTATTTGTGTTAATTTGATACAATGCTTCACTTTGTTGTTCCTTCAGAGAGAAACCTGTGGGCAGTAATGCCCAAGGCTTGTTTACTTAGATTTAGGTGAATGTTAAAGAACACTAGGTGGTGGAAATTTTTAAATCCCTACACTATGGCATCTCTCATAATCATGTGCTAGTTTTGTAATGTTAAACCCCACAAAAATTATTATTATTATTATTATTATTATTATTATTATTACTATTATTATTATTATTATTATTATTATTATTATTATTATTATTATTGTTATTATTATTATTATTATTATTATTATTATTATTATTATTATTATTATAGAAACCTCTTACTGTAAAATTTGGATGCTGTCTTCATCGTTAATTTGCGAATGTGCCCTGGCTAGCTTACTTGTGCTCTGGCTAAGGCAGGGAACTGGCACCGTGAAATGAAGGTTCATTATAAGCAAAGTTTAACTGCAGTACCCTTAATCTTATTACCTTTGTAATGGTTAGTGGTTTGCATTACTGTGTATGTGAAAAAATTAAGCATTTATTGGTTTGTGTAATCAAAGTTTTATTGTGCCTACTCTCTTCTCTAATGCTTTCTTTACTATTCCCAGATTCCTTTAGCGAACGAAGTTTCTGTCGCCACCATGAGCATCCTTCCTGATGGAAGCTACATGGATGTCACGGAAAAGTTTAGGCCCGACCAGAATGCAGTGCGCTCAAACCCTGCAAGTCGTGAATTCAAAATAGACAGCCAAGTGAAAACATCGGAGGCACCTGTCCACTACTATTGGAGCCTTCCTGCAGAATTTCTTGGAAACCAGGCAAGTGAATAGATCAAAGGTTGTGAGGCAAAAAAATCAAAATAGACCTGTATTATGCTTCTTCCAGGAATAACCTAAGGCAGTTGAATAGAGGCACAGATGAGTCAATTTATAAAGAGAACAATTACATGCATGGCATGTGCAGATTTTGCTTTCTTTGCAAAAGCATACTGGCTTAGGTTTGCATCATGAGATTGTTGACAGTTTTTGGCAGGAAATCTCCAAAAATCTGCGATAACTCTAGGGTAGCTCTCTGTTTGAGGCCAGGTCAGGAGTGTGGAGGAGAAGAGGGAACGCCCAATACTTTTTGGTAAAAGACTTCACTATACATTCTAGGGCAGTGGGGCTGAACTTTTCAAAGCATTTTGAGGTTTAGGGAAAGTGGGAGCAAAACAGACTTTAACCAGGTAGAAATAACCACAAAGAGTTTGTCTGTTGGTGACTAAAATCAAGGCATCTGGAGCGAAATTTATCTTCTACCACACAAGTTAACACTTCATTGCGAGTTTTGATCTGGTCACGTGCGCTTCCAGCTGATAAAAAAGGTACAGCACCATCGATTCTTCGAGCCCCATTTTTTGCTTGACAGCTACTATGCCACCAATACTAGTGTCTTGCTGTTAAGCCAGCCTGCAGAATGCATTGGTGCTATGCGGAAAAAGCAATGTAGAGAGTGTGCAACCGCACTCGTGTTTTCATTGTCTGTTTACTTTTTTATGATTATAATTAGCAGATATTGAACTCCTTGGTTTCTATTTTTCTAATTTAGAAAGTCAATAAGGGTACAACACTGCTAATTGCAATTAAGCTTGACCAAGATCTAATTGCTCTGAAGCGATTGTCTTCCTTATAAAACTTGTGTAAAGAAACGAGTGATCATAAAAAAAAAAAAAAAAACGCCAAGCCTGCACAAAAGGCGCAGCACAGTCACAGCGAAAGCTAGAACAGCGGCCTGTCAGAGCCTTTTCAAAACACTTATTGGGTAACTACTGCAAGCATATTTGCTTGGTACCCAAAAGGGCATTAATAATAAACTTTTGGGTAGTAGGCCCGCATTTGCAATGCTATTTTTCGTCATTCTCCTGAAGAATGTGGTATCTGCTGAACACTTGCAAGAAACTTTGTGCCAATTGTTCATGCAGTGGCTGACAATGGTGAGGAATTATTCCTGAAGTGGGTATGTGCAACAGTTAATGGGTGAACAAGAACAGGCTTTTGTAATGGGTTGTAGTATTGGACGGCCCACTCGTTACGCTATTCACATTGTACAACAACTGGTTGTTCTTTCACTGTTTTAAAATGCTTTATAAGTCATATTAATGCGATTGCTTTCCCAATATCAAGCCTGCCTAAGGCAAGTTTGCCAATAAGTCCCAAGCACCGGTGTGGCTCAGCCGTAGAATACTGGGCTGGCACCCTGTGGACCTGGGTTTGAGCTCCACTGTGTCATTTACGCTAGTTTTTTTTTTTTTTTTTTTTCAAATTTCGTGTGATGTGGTTACGGGCACCGGTGGCGACGGGCAACTACAGTGGCGTGGGACAAAAGCTCCCACTGTTGTTAATTATGTTAATTTGTTTTAAAATTTACTATAGGTATAGCATATAAGCCAGTATACCAAGCTTTTAAACTTAAAGAACTGAAGCAGGAGAGATAGTAGGGCTAGTTGGTGATACATTATGGGCGGTAACAGCGCACAAACTCACGGGACAAAGAGAAGGGACACAAGCAAGTGCTGACTTTACACTGAAGAATTTATTTAAATATACAACTTATCTGTGGTGTGTTGCCTTCACAATCCTGAAGTCGTGCAGGAACAAAGCTTCTACGAACAGTTGTGTTGCCTTCAGGCAGCCGGCTTCTCGACGCCTGTTATCACTTGTTGTGAAGGTCTGATACGTCAGATCAAGAAGGGAGAAAAAGGTGCTAAACAAGAGATGTCAAAGAAATATGCCACCATGCCCTACATGCATAGCCCATACACGTTTATCCCATAGACTAAACAAATTTGGCATCACATTACGATATACAGGTTCTATTCTCAGCAAAAACCAAATTAAGAAAATTGTGCCCTATGGTGAATAAAAAGCACGATAAAAAAAGCTCTATCCAAAATAAATGTGGTGTAAAATACAGGGACGCTTCACTACTCTGTGTACTAGGGGTGGTGTACAGAATTCCCTTAACATGCGGAAGGGTTTGTATCGGGCAAACAGGGTGTTGTCCCTATGTACGGCTAAAAGAACATTCCGGAACCTTCAAGACAAGCGCGTACGTGAATCTGCCTTCGCACTGCCACAGGTGTGGGTGCAGGCTCTTGTTCAATAAAACGACAGTGCTCAAACGTAGCGATCAGATCACAAGAGAACTTGTGGAAGCATTCTATATCAAAAAAGAAGGGGAGTCCTGCGCTGGTCAAACATCAATATCTTTACATAAAAAAGAAGAAATTCTAATCAGTAGCATGTTTGTATGAATTGGATCTGTCACGCCTGCACAGTTACCTGTTGCGTAAAATTGTTAGTGACGTCGACACGGTCCCTCGCTGGCCCCTCTGCGCATGTTCTGTGTGTTTTTATTTTATGATTTCAGATAATTTGTATGTTTCAATAAATTCTTCAGTTGAGAGTCAGCGCTTGTATATGTCCTTTCTCTTCGTCCCGTGAGTTTGTGCGCTGTTACCGCCCATAACTTAAAAAAAAACAAGAATCGATCTGAGGATAATATCTTCATTAACTTTGAAGTGGGAGTCATAGCAATGTGTATTTCTTTTTTGTAAAAGTTTATTCACGGTCACAGAGCAAGAACATTTAGGACGTGCAACTTCATTCCTTGAGGTGACCGGGTAACGTCACATTGCCAAAGATCCACTTAATGCTGGTAATGTCATGTAGCAGGAAAGATAATTGCTGCCATTTCAGTCTTTGAGAGAACCGGTCGGGCACGTTGCTCACGTTCCGTTTCAGTCACCGAGTGCATCGACGTACACCGCGTTCGGCTGCGAAATTTTCTTGATGTCAGCTGTAACTCGGGCTGTTTATGAGAAGGCAATCTCATGACACGCATGCACTGCATCGCACTGCACTGTCGTCTGCTCCAAACGCTGCTAAAGAAAACGCGCACGCATACTCGGCTGCGCCTGGTCGGTATAGCTTTTTTTCTTCTTTGTTTATGTGGCTTTGCATTGCAAGGCGCTGCCTACTGAAATACCTCTGTCGCGGAGTTTTTCTTTTTTTTTTAATTTTATGTGACGTTATCTGGGCACCTGCGGACGGCTGTTCCAACGGGAGCTTTTACCTCCTAAATATTTCTTCCACCGGGTTCATGGTATAGCACTGCTCTACTGCAGTCAAACCACCTTTACAGGGGGCTACACAGGGACTAATATACACCTGTTTGTTCATTCGGACTACAAAATTTCCAATCACTTGAATTCAAATATGTTATGGCCCACTGAAGAGCCTTTGCCCTGCATTGGGGGTTGTCAGGCTGATGATGACAATGTTATTATTTGTTCGAATATTTGAAGTGTTCAAATATACGCACAAGCCTAGTTCAATTAAATTATTGTGGGCGGCTACATTCTCTTAGACTACCCAATAAGTAAAAGTACACATAAATGTTAACTCTATTCTCAGCTTTTCAAAGGCAAGATCCGAGTCGGGAAACATGTTTTTTTCCTAAATTACCTACTTTTCATTTTCATTTGCTTTCACAAGTTTGGTTTCTCTACCTTCACAACAAAAAAAAACTGCAAATTGTAATTTAATTCGAAGTAGGTTAAAATCGCTTTTATAGAGCACAAGCTGGCTACCAAAATAGAAGAGAACTCATTGTCTAGAGTTCTCTGGAAATTGTCACCTGGCTGCTTGCCACTGCATTTCGCATGAGGGGTTCACTAAAGTCACATGCTAAAAATTACCATGATTGCCAAGCTTTTATAATCGAAGAAACAGCTTGAAAACATATATTTGCCCCATAGGTGAGCTTTGACTTATACCTTTAAAATGTGTATTTCTCAAGATCCATTTTTAGGCACCTTCTTGAGTTTAGACATCATATTTTTGGTGTTTCTGATTGCCAGGTCACGATGAAATAATATTGCCTGTATAATTATTAAAAAGCTAGAGCAAGCAATTTGTATCGGCTGAGGATTCTAGGAATTTTTAGAATCTTTTTGTCCATTAAAATGTCTTACGTGCACTTTCTTGATAGTTGTTCGCATTCTACAGTTAATGAGGAGCAATGTGAGCCATTGATGGCTCAGAGCCATAAAAGCTTAATGGCATAAAAAGTTTGTCCAAAACAAACTATTCCTTACACATTGTTATGAAGCAAAATGAAAACTGTGCACCTTACTACAAAACCTACTACATATACTATAAATCGGAACAAAAGCCTATATACAGCAAAAAATTTCATTGCCCCAGCCTATAGATTTGTGAAAGTTGTTTTCAAATTGCATCTCCCCTTATTGCTGAATATTGCCGCATGCATAGCTGTGTCTAGCTGCACGCTGGCGACGACAATGAAGATCAGCGATTTGCTTGAGAGGCGCAGCGCAAGAGAGCGAAAAATACGACGATATTGGTGGCCCTCTTTTTAAAATGTCTCTACAACTGTAAACCGTGTTCCTGAATAAACCCCGTGTATTTTACAACCCCACGACACTGGTGGAAGTGCTGAGTACTATCGCCTCATGATCGGCACCCCTTGGAGTAGCCTTGAGTCCAGCTCTACGAGACAGCCATGCGTGGAGATGCCTGTGCACCACTCAAGCTGTCACATTCAAGGTCTTGGATCAGAATTTGACCTTTTAGAAGGACCAACACTTCCGACAGCCACTACTGCTCAAGAAATGGCATTTTCAAGAAGTCCTGCACAGGTGACGGTACAAAATATGCGCATTCCTGAACCATTTTTTGGGCACCCAAACAAAGATGCGCAAGACTGGCTTAAGCAGTTTGAACGGGTAGCTATATTGAACAACTGGAGTCTCGATGGGAAGCTCTTCTACGTATACTTTATCTTTAAAGATGGCACAAGGACGTGGTTTATCAACCGCTAGGCAAGAGTGATGACATGGGAGGAGTTTTGCCTTCGGTTATTTCACACCTTTGGTAACGCGAAAACGCACAACGCCTTCTTGAGGCGTGCACCCAACATCTGCATCAAAGCGTCGCCATGTGTGCCGAGTATATGGTGCGTTTGTGCCACCGCACAGACACCAACATACTGGAGGCTCGAAAGCTAAGCCATCTCATGAGGAGCGTCAAAGAGCAACTGTTTGTTGGTCTTGTGTGCAATCCGCTAACAACAGCGGACGAGTTCATCAAGGATGTCACCGCAATAGAGCGTGCGCTGCAGCAACGGTACCATCAGTCTGATCACCTGGCCACCGGCGCAGCTGCAGGCGCTGCCGCACCTACCGCAAACGATGAGTGTTATCTACACCACCTGATTCGACAGACCATGTGTAAGGAGATTGCGAAGGAGAAGACAAGGTACACATTGCAGTCACAGGCGCCCCCGCAGCAGGAGTCCATGGTTGCCCCCGTCGCTGAAGTTGTTTGCCATGAGCTTAGACAAGCGTTTGCCTCTCCTGAGCAGTATTCTGCTCCGCGGTATCATCCGAACTCGTATACCTACGCAGATGCTGTGCGTTGTCTATTGGCTCCAGGAGTATCCTATCAGCTGAAAGAATACAGCTATGCAGATGCTGTTCGTTGACCCAAGCCCATGCCAGCGCCGCAGTACCTCGAACCGTACCTTGTGGCAGCCTGGACCCAGCAGGATTTCGTCAGGAGACTCTATATTCAGAATACTGACATGTGGCCCATTGCGGACTGTCGACCAATATGCTACAACTGTGGAGAGCCAGGGCACAATTGGCGTTTTTGGCCACATCGTCGAGCTGAATCACTGGCTGCAGAGGATAACGAATACACTGGTTTTTTATGAGTTGGTGATGTGGCTGTCATTTCTCAGCAACAATAAGATGATGGGGAGCTCAACTCACTTATAGAATTCTTGAATGGACCAGCTGCCAATGCACCAAGAGTGTTTTTGAAGAACTTATCGCCAATCTGTTTACAAGACCGAATTCTCTACAAAAAAGAATTTCTCATCAACAGAGAGAAGCTATCTGCTTGTAGTTCCTAAAACTCAGCAAAGCGAAATTTTGCAAACCTGTCATAATGAAGCCACTGCGGGTTACCTTGGTTTCACAAGAACATTGACACGTGTAAAAAAAACAATACTACTGGCCAAGAATCGCAGCAGAGGTGAAACATTACGTCCGAACATGCATTGACTGTCAGCAGCGTAAGGTACCACCTGTCAAACCCGCTGGGCTATAGCATCCTGCGTCAGTGCCAGAAACTTCATTTGCTCAAATCGGAATGAATCTGCTAGGCCCATTTCCAACATCGAACAGAGGCAATAAATTGTTTATAGTGGCAACGGACTACCTCACCCGATACGCAAAGGCCAAAGCGATTCTTAGTGGCACTGCAGCTGAAGTGGCCCGGTTCTTCACCGAGAACATTTTTCTGAAACATGGTGCTCCTGTGGTCATCATAACAAAGGTATCACATTTACATCCAAACTTTCACGCACTGTGCTTATGCTCAGTGGCATAGCGCATAAGAAGGTGACAGCTTACCACCCACAAACGAATGGGTTTACAAAACGACTCAACAAGACAAGCGCTGTCATTCTTTGCATGTATGTCAACATGGAGCACAAAAATAGGGACCGAATCTCACCGTACATCACATTCGGGTGTGATACGACATGCCAGAAAACAACGAAAATGATGCCGTTCGCAATAATTCATGGCAGAGAAGTTGCTACAATGCTTGATGCCATGCTGTCTTATGATTGCAATGATTCAGAGGCAGACGCCACAGATTTTATTGAGCGCACTGAGGAAGCAAAGCAGCTTGCCCGCATCAAAATAATTAACCAGCCGCAAATCGACGCCCAATGGTGCAACCTTCGCCATTGATTCGTCGCTTATAAATCGGGGGGAAAAATTTTGGGTTTGGTTACCTGTTCGAAAGCAAGGCCTCTCGGAGAAACTCTTATGCCGATACTTTGGGCCCTTCAAGGTTTTGCGTCGTCTTAGCAACATGACCTATAAAGTCGTGATCGACGCCTCCTCCAGTTTGAAAAGTCACCAGCATTCGCCTGAGACAGTGCACGTGGTCCACGTAAAACCTTACCATTCTGAGTGATGTAAACACCCGCTAGCTCACCAACGTATTTCTACTTGGTAAGCATAAAGCTGACGCTCACTCTGCTGAGAGGGTAATGCGGCGTGCATAGCTGTGTCTAGCTGTACGCTAGTGACGACGATGAAGATTACAATTTGCTCAAGAGGCAAGTGAATGAAGAAGACGATGATTTTGGCGGCCGTCATTTAGAGTGTCGCTACGAGTATGACTGTAAACTGTGTTTCAGAATAAACCCCCTGTGTTTTATAATAACCCATGGCAATATCTTCGAAAACTTGTCATATTTTGTGATTTAGTAGGAAGTTCAATTGGTACAATTTGTACATGTGATTAAAGGCTTTTTCTTTGCTTCTCCAGATCAACAGCTATGGAGGTCATCTGAAGTATGCCTTCAGGTATCAAGCATCATCAAGACCTGTGCAAGCTGCAGACATAATCATCAGAGGAAATGGCATCACTTTGTACCACACTCTGAAGCAATCATATGGTCCTCTCAGAGACAACTCCATCGAAGTACCATTTGTAGAGGTAGGAGGTGGTATCTTCAAAAAATTATTTCATATTTTGAGGTCAAGTAGGAATTTCTGTTAGGTTTTATGCTTTAGCAGAGTTAACAAGTCTTCTAGAATCTTATAAGGTAATATTTTATGCGTTTTTATTTTTTTTGATTGTACAAATCAAAATTGGCAGATTTAATATATACCACTTGCATGAGCTAATGTGGCATAGTCAATGCAGTGCTGTTGTGTGGGACTACTACAATGTTTTTTTTTTGTTTTTAACAGTGGAGATGTTTGTGTTGTAAACCCTTTAGTGTCCAGAAAACCATAGGCTGGTATGCACCATAGGAATTGGCCAATTAATGCCCAGTATAGACCGCAGCAGGCACGAGTGTTGAACTAAAACTCCACTTGATGAAGTGGAGCTTGGGAGACGCATGAAAGGGATAGACAGGAATAGATAAAATTAAAAAAAGGACGGAGATAAAAAGAGAAAAACAGAGCAATAAAAAAAAAGAGAAAAATACAGAGAAATAAATAAAATGAATACATAAATAAATAGAAAGACAAAGAAAGTTGGAGAAAGAGAAACAAAAAAGAAAGAGAGAGAAGGGCAAAAACAGAAGTAAAGGTTGAACGAGCAAGGACAAAAAAACAATATAGAATCAAATAAAATAGTAATTATTATGTAGAAAAGAAACAACAAAACATTTTTTTTAAGACAAAGAAAATTACAGAGCAGTGTTACTTTTTCAGGCTTGGCACCACTGTTGTGAATTTGCCATATCTTATTTAAGACTGAGCTTGCTCACTTAGTATAAAGCAAGCTACTATTGCTTTGAATTTCACAGAGTACTCTTTGCACATAAAAACACACTGCTTGCACATGTATGCATATGCTGACATGAGTTGCATGCTAAGAGAACGACAACCCTGTGAGCTTACAAGGCTTTTCCAAAATTCTGCATGAAATTTGCAAACAGAACACTCTGTAATATTTTTCATTTTTCTTCTTCCTCGCGTTATTCAAAATCAATACTCACAATGGCAAACCAACAAATATTTATGTTTTGTCACCTTCTGCGAAAGTAAGTCAATAGACTAAAATAATGAGCTTACTTTGAATATTTTGAAGTATTGTGGTCAACACTTGCGTTACATTGTACTGTTAACACAGTAAGCTTGAAGAAGTGATTTTGCAGCACCATCAGTCTTAGTGCCCATCTTGTGGGGTTTCACACATTTCAGGTTTTTTTTGTATGGAGGGTCACGTCTGTGATGGCACTTCTAATTACTGACTGGTTGCCTGCCTTATTTCCAGGGTGAATGGCACAAGGATGCTCGGCACAGTGCTATTGGCAGTCCTGATACAGCCACAAGAGAAGACATCATGCTGGTTCTGCAAAATGTCGAAGGCATCTTTGTTAGAGCCAGCTTTGACAGCGAATTAGCAGAGTCAAGGCATGTCATCATATGTTATTATAAATAATTTTGTGCAAATCTGTCAGTTTGCATCAGTTAAAATTCAACAAGATGCATTGTTTTGACTGACAAACATTAATTACTCTAATCTCAAATGGCTTTGCTCGCGTTCATTCAGCTAAATGCTACTATGCTCATAGGTTTGGTTCTTACACGTGTGCATGGTCACTAGTATAGGTCACTGATAAGTCGGCTCACTCGATCTCAGATCGAGCCGTGAGTCCAAGTGAGTAATATTTTGATGATTCCAAGTCCGAATGAGTCCAGTTGAGAAAACTCTTAGTGAGTCGGAGTCCATGTGAGCCCTACACATGAAATGTATTTCTTGAGCGAGTCCGAGTGAGCTCTGCACCTTCTTGTCGATCCATGGTCGCTAGAAATGCAGACGTATATAACCTAGATTCATCTTGCATCAGTATGTCTTCTCAGAACATGAGCCCTTGCATGGGTTGCTTTGCAGTTCACGTCGTGTGCTCTTTTTTTTTTTTTCAGCATTCATGGCCTTGAGATGGATTCAGCTTCTTATTCCAGTCCCAAAAATCCTCCTGCTTCTTCTGTGGAGCAGTGCGCTTGTCCAACAGGCTACACTGGAAATTCTTGTGAGGTAATGCTTCACAGAAATGAGTGAGATTTCAATCATTCTTTATGAGTACTCAAAACCATCTTGTCCCACATTTACAATTGAAGTACAATGCTCTAGAGTATCATAAAAGAGCAAAAATTACTTGTTAAGTTTCCACATGTTGCATGACAAATTAGAGGTATTTTACTATGTGGTAACATAAAGTTTAATTGGGCTGAAGGGCGTTTTATTTAATCAGAAGCCAAATTGCTTTGTAATACTTTCTAGTCTACTTCTTTTTCTGACATTTTATCCTGTAAACTGCCCCAAGAAGTCTCTCTAGTATCATAAGTTCAGTGTGAATGTGAATATTGTATTTCATTCTATAGAACTGTGCACCTGGCTACATCAGACGGCGGTCTGGGCCCTACCTGGGAGAGTGTGTTCAAGGTGTGCTTCCTTGCAACTGCAATGGCCACTCAAATTCCTGTGACCAACAGACTGGCCGCTGTCTGGTAAAGCATTCAACTTAGTTTCCTGCTATCCCTACCTGCGATACTTCCACAGTTCCGTGGTAGCTCTTGATTTTTTTAATTGTACATTACAGTTTTTGCCATCAAGCTATTAATCGTAGTGACAAGTAACTTTTGTTCTGCACTCATGACAACATGAGACTAAAAACATGCTCAGATTGCAATAGCAGCTAATAGCAGGCTTTAGTGCAGGCACAAGAAGACAAGAGGTCTTCATAATTGGAAATTTTGTTCAAGCGCACTAAAAAACAGACAGACAGAAGAGGCTGACAAGGACAGCGCTTGCTCTCACAACTGAAGGTTTATTAGTCAGAAAGGTTATTTAAAATGGATACATGATGTTCTTTCGTGCATGTGCATCAGAACAGGGCGCAACAGAAACCACTCATGTCAGGATTACAAAAATTGTCCATATTTTGTGTCATTTATCATATTTTACAAGTACTACGTGTTGAGATACGCATATTCTTTATAATGCAGCACAATCGTAGCTTCGCCAACACAGGCATGTCCCCTCTTTCGGATGTGGTAAGATTCCACTATCTCACGTGTTAGCTGATCTTTGTGTCGAAATATTTGTTTCTTTAAACACAGGGTAACATCTGCAGTTTTTAGAGTGATCTGCAAGATGACTGTTGCCTGATGCCTTAACAGACGCAGGATGTTCTCTAAAGCGGTCGTTCACGCATCTTCCTGACTGGCCTATGTAGACTTTCCCACAAGGAAAAGGTGTCATATATACTAATTTCTTTATGCACTTCATGAACATGTTTCTGTGTTTTACGAAGCAAGCTTTCGGACCTATGGGCCTATCAACGTGTGGACACAAGCTTGCTAGTTTGGTTTTTACAAAAAACTTCACGTCTATGCTGTATCTATTTCCAACGTGCTTTAAGTTGTGTGCCAACTTGTGCACGTATGAATGACAGCCATTTTCCCTCGCTTCTTTGTCTCCGAACTGGATCTTTGTTTTTGCCCTTTATTTCTCGGGCTAGGACCGTGCACACTAAAAAAATTAACTGTTTCGAGTAATACCTGCTTTCTGCAATTTTTTCACCTGACTCCCAAAAATTTCACTGATTAGATGCCCACACGATTTCTTCAAAGCTGACATAATACAAGACTTCACTATCCCCCTCTTTACCAACTTAGAGTGCCCAGACGTGTAATATTGCACTGGCTTTGCACTTCTTAGTTGATAACACCAGCAAATGTGTTCCCTACCAAGTTCCAATTTTAAATCCAAGAATTGTAACTCGTTATTTTTAGGCTACTTGGTAGTGAACTCAAGGTTCATGCTACTTTCCTTAGACACCTTTAGCACATTCACTACCTCTCGGGAAAGATCAATGCCATGTGTGAATATCGGGAAGTCATCCACATACCTAAAGATATGTTTAACAATTCCAAAAATGTGCTGCTCGATTCCCCTGTCAAATTTACTCAAAAATATTTCGCAAAGAATGGGTGCTACTAATGAGCCTATACATATTCCAGATTGCTGAATGAAAGACTTATTTTCCCATGAAACAAAAGTAGACCTTAAATAAAATGACAGCAGCTTCAGGAATGATTCTGCGTTGACACGGGATTTTTCGCACAATTTCATTTCGTCATTTTGGATAGTAATGCAGTCCTTTACCGCCACCATCATTTTGTTGTCAGTTATGGAGTAGAACAAATCTTATATGTCAATGCTGAAGGCAAAGCTATGACATTGATTACATTCTGAAAAAAACTTTGCCAAGTACATTGAATTTTTTAGACGATAAGGATCATCCACAGTAAGACCTTCCAAGTTTCTCTGTAAATAACAGTACACCACTTTTTGCTAGGCATCCCTCTCAAAAACAATAGCCCTAAACGTTAAACTAGGCTTGTGTGTCTTGATTGAAAAGAACACCTGCAATTTGAGTTTTTTCGCCCTTTTCACCTGAGATGCTAGATCATGTAAATTCTTATAATTTAGGAGAGACAGCGCTGTTTTTATGGCATTCTTGCTTTCTTCCCGGGCTGGTATAAAATTCTTTTTCATCGCAGTAGCAACCTTTTCACGAAACGCCCCTCTATCCAGAATTACAAAAAAGCCTTCTTTGTCTGCCACAGATAAGCGCAACTAATTCTGAACTCGAAATTGACAGACGGGTTTATCTTGAGTCTTAAGAATGTCTCTAGTTGAAGCGATAACATCCACGCACTCGGCAACGCACCTTGCTTTCTCGTTGTCGGGAGCTTGCCTGGATACGGTCCTGGCGGTGGTGAGCTTCTCTGCGCGATTGAGCACGGGTTCAATGCAATTTTTTGGCCCAAAGGCCAGACGCTGCGCATAGGCTTGGGGAACCTGAGTGTTGCTCAAGTTCAGAACTTGTCCTTGCTTTTCCGGTTCTTTTTTCTTTTCAATTAATGAGGCATCACCACTAGCCACAGTCTCTCCACTTGTGTCCACGCGTTAATGGGCTCATAGGTTCGAAAGCTTGCTTCGTAAAAACACAGAAACATGTTCGTGAAGTGCGTAAAGTGAGTAGTATATATGACACCTTTTTCTCATGGAAAAGTCCACATAGGCCAGTCAGGAAGATGCGTGAATGACCGCCTTAGAGAACATCACACATCGGTTAAGGCATCAGGCAACAGTCATCTTGCAGATCACTGTAAAAACTGCAGATGTTACCCTGTGTTAAAAGAAACAGCAATATTATTTCGACACAAAGATCAGCTAACATGCGAGAGTGTGGAATCTTACCACATCTGAAAGAGGGGACGTGACTGTGTTAGCCAAGCTGCAATTGTGCTGCATGATAAAGAATACGCTTTCTGTTGCACCCTGTTCTGATGCACATGCATGAAAGACCATGTATCAACTTTAAATAACTTTTCTGACTAATAAACCTTCAGTTGTGAGAGCAAGCGCTATTCTTGTCAGCCTCTTCTGCCTGTCTGTTTTTTAGTGCACCTAAACAAAATTTTCAATTATGAACGTAATCCAACTGGTCCAACTTGCCATTTTGCTGCAATAGGACATGGCCAGTTTGCTATTGTCTTTCTTATCTTGTGTGCTGAATACAAATTTTTAAAAATTAGTGATGTTCAAAATGGTTTAACTGTCTGTTTTAACTGGGCTACTTCTTATCAGGCTCATGTGTATTCATTATCAGGCTCATGTGTATTCATTTCTCTGCAGAATTGTCAGCACAACACGGATGGTCCAAGCTGTGAAATGTGCAAGCGAGGTTTCTACGGTGATGCAAGGCGAGGTACTCCAAGTGATTGCCAGCCTTGTCCGTGCCCTATGGTTGATGTGCCTGGACAGTAAGTACATAACTCTGTTGCACGAATCAGCATTGCTTGATTTTGATAGCTGCTTTACCTATTTGAGTTGCTGACCTTACATAACTGTTTGAGAAAAATGATCTAGCTAAATGTTCAACACTTTTCAGTCTTAGGCAGCTCAAGAACGTATGAAACACATGAAAAGAACAACAAAAACTGTACAAGTGCTGCTACAACGATCACCCACATTCAAAAAGAAAGCAGGAGATCACTGTGGCTTATCACATTGCTAAGAGCAAAACATCTGCATAATTCAGCCATTGATTTTAATAACTAATGAACAGAGTGTGTTCATAGATTGCTCCTATTTGCATGTATTGCACTCCCACACTTACTGCTAACATTGGTTTTCTGCAAGTTAAGAAATACTTCAGTAGTTATGGTGGCACACGTTCCTGGCTTGTTTTCTCATGTATTGTCTGTTTGGGCACTGCCCAAGAAGGGATAATAGTCGATGCACCTGTCTTTCAGTTTAGTGCAGCGCACATTTAAATCTTCTTTATTGCGGTACACATGCTTTCAATCATTTAGAAGCCAGAGAGCACCAACTCCTAAACGGCAGTGCACTTGCCACTTTTGCGCTGAGCAGTTAAATACATGTTAAATACATTCTGTAATTTATTAATAATGAGCACCTAAGCCTCATGTAACAATTGGCCAAAATGGGAAAAGGGCACAAGCCTGCAAAAGGCTGCTTTGTGAGATAGATTGAACTCATCACGTTCCTTCACTTATTTTGTTTTTAAAGTTAAACTGGTACTTTATTGATTAAAGCTCTTTTTTTTCTCATGGACAAACATAAAAATTATTCAGCGCTGGAAACTTTGGCGTACTTGCTCAATAAAAACTTGTCTTGCAAGCTGTACACCAGTTTAAGCAGAATACCATTTGGGCATGTGCTGAGCAAGTAGCACAAGAAGACAAATAGAGGAATATTTAGGCAGCAGTGCTTCTTGGCTATTGTCAGTGGTCACAAAGGGCAAATCCTAAATACTTTTGCACCAGTCTATGGAAATACTTGCAGAGACTCGACAGGGCACTACGAAAGTAAATTGTAGCGTGTTTAACGCCTTATAAGCAAGGATTGCTTTTGCATAAAATAGTAGTCACATTGAGAGAACTTAGAGTCGCTCAGAAGTTTCAAGGCAGGGTTGAATTGGTGCAAATTCCAAGAGCATGACAAATGTTTTGTAGGGTAACCTAGTCAATCTTGCTGCTGCCATTTATGTGAGCTTTGTGCATGTGCTCTGAATATCACAAGTTTGACTGCCTCACCTCATGTAGATGCAATGGTGTGGTTTAAATCGCAGCACGAAAACAGGTTCGCTAGCTGTATATCTTCTGTAAGTTTTACATTCATCATGCATTTAGCATATGAAAAGTTTTTTTTTCAATTGCTTACAAATAAAATTTTTTGCTTTTACTTTTAAAGTAACTTATTGTTTATTTTCTGCACACTGGAATGAAAATATCTACAAATTTCTCATTTGGCTAAAAGCGTTTTACATTGTGAAATGCTTAAAGCCATCTTGCTACTGAGGTCTCTGTTCAATAAACACCCTTATACTTGCCCCTCATTTTCTTTATCATTTCTGTGCACAAAAACTGTTGGGTTTTTTATTAATGGTTGAGACTGTTTATGAGGCACATTGCAAAAATTATAATGAAAAGGAGAAATAAGGTGTATTTGTGGATAAGGGTGTAATAGGGGCAAGCCTCTGCCTCTGAAGTGGACCTGTATGATGAAGTCAACCTACTGAAGCTTACTTATGAAAAAAGAATTCTGCTGTTCACTTGTATGAGGCGCTTTCATAGAAATGAACTGTGAATTGTCTCATTACAACTTTGAGCGTTCTCAGAAATAGCTTTGTGCTGTTGATGAAATACCAGCAATAACAGTCACAGTATTGCCATATGTGCAGTATGTGTGTGGTTTAATTCCACACTCAATTCTTATAGTGTCCTGTTCTTCTATTAGGCCGCATGATGCATGCAGGTGCAATTAAACCATGTTAAATAAATATCTGGCTTCCAATATTGATGAATTAGGAATTTATGACAATATCATATTTATAGCATATGATATAATTTTCATATATTAGGATGTGTACCTGTACTAAAAAAAATGTTGGTACACTTGTGAAATTATTTTTTCAATCAAGTGAAGGGCTCCCAGTGGTTTTTGTGGTTTTAAAAAAAATAAACCGCAAGTTGGCACAAACTTTTTTTGTTGTTTCTTTTTAATATTACTAGCAATCTTGTTTCAGTTTGAATTAGCAAAGCCTCGCCTGGTCTATTATGCATTTATATAAGATGACTTGAAGGCAGAGGCCATCATTTTTTTTTCTTTTTCAACTTAGGCTTTGTTTGCATGATTTATGTTAATTCCACCACCAAACAGGGTCTTGTGATGTTCATTAGGTATTGCCAAATCAAACATTTCTTGACTCGGTAAGACATAAGTATTTTGCCTTAGTAACATTTCTTTGACTTGCATGATCTGTTGGCTTAATTGGGCTGTCAAAAGAGACTGTCCTCTTGATCCGCTCTCCTTTTGTTGCCTTCATATTTCCATAACTCATTGAGCTCATGTCTTGCATCAACAGTTAAGTAGCTCATCTTTAATGAATTTCTTACCTAGATGACTAGAAATGGATTAAATGCATTTTTGCTTGACATTGCAATAACTTCGCAGAAAACTAAAAGCCAGATCTGTTTCGTTTGTATTAACATGGTTGGAGTTGCACATAGTCAGGAAGCTTGTGAATTCTTGTAACAAAGCTGTGTGTTGTACTTGAACAGTGTGTTGTCGTGTTAGCCTAGCTCCTTTCCAGCATGCTTGCATAGCGTTCCTTGCTCTCTTTCTCTCTTCTGCCCTGCCTTGTTCAGCCTTATGACCTCCTGGATTGCTGGTTTCCCCTCAGAATGGTAACCTCCTCCTTTCCTACTACTCTCCCCTCTTTTTTAATGGCCATCGTCTCTTCCACCCGCCTGCACAATGGGGCCCCGATGTGACTTTTTTTTTTGTTAAGCTTGAACACCATATTCTTACAGTAGGTTCTTAAAATAAAATATGACTCTTCAACTTCGGGGCGACTGTAGGAAAGATGCAGATGTTATTTTAGATGTAAACGGAGAAAGTTTTAGCAGTTCTTCATTTTAGGATGCAAATCAAGCAGTAATGAAGTAATAATTATTTACAAATCCTGAGATACTACTCTTCTTTTTTTATAGGTTGTGAGGGCCATTTTCTGTAGCCATATAAAGTGTGCAATCAATATATACTGCCACATCATCTGGGGGCAAATGCCTAAAAATTATATTTTTATAATTGCTATTGCAACAAGGGGACATGACTTTATATTCAGTTCTGCAGCTACATTAACTGCTCTGAAGTAGCTTGATAAATAATTGAGTAAGACACTCAGCATTGTAAATTACCTAAATAGTTGGTGTGATTTCTATAATGTCTGCGTATTCGGAAAATTCAACTGAAGTTACATAATTGCACAGCCTGGCTATAAAATGAAAAATTACCTAAATAGTTGGTGTGATTTCTATAATGTCTGCGTATTCGGAAAATTCAACTGAAGTTACATAATTGCACAGCCTGGCTATAAAATGAAAAAGAAATGAAAGACAGGTTATATCTATAAGACTTGCATTCAGACGTAAGCATCATCAATGGGTCAAAAGAAGCAAGTTCTCTACATTATTTGAAATTCTGATTTACAAAATTATTTTTCCTTCATTATTGTGTATTGTGCACAGTGCAGAAACAGTTTTCTTTTCTTATTTCCAGTAAAGTAGCAGTTGAAAATGTTTCAATAGTTATTTTTCATTCTATGAGATATAAAGACTATAGGCATCTTAGCTTCATTTCTTTTTGTGGACATTCAAAGATATGGAGGCACAAGTATCTGCTTGTGTCCTGATGTGGTCATATATTTGGCAAGCAAAAATTCAGAAGCCACTACAGGGTTCCATGAAACTCCTCAACACCTTTGTAGACAAATGTACTTGCTTGCCACAAACCTTGACCTCTTCTAGCCTGCTGTCACAATTTCATGACACGTTAAATCTGAGCTCATAAATCCGGAGAAGTTCTCATTATGACATCTGTGATTACCCAACAGAAGCTAGCCGGTGTATTACAATCTCTGCTTAGTGAATAGTGCTCCCAGCCAGGCTGCTGCATTCAGATGCACAAATGAGAGTTGGCATCCCTGAAATACAATCTGTTATGTAGACTGTTGGAAAATGGGAGAAGGCCCACCTGCTATGCCTTTTTTTTTTACTGTGGAAACGTGCATAAAGGCATTACATGGTGCTAAATGCCCATTTCAGCTTTTGTTTATTAATGCATGTGCAAATCTTGCATCAGTGTAGAAAATTGCATCAGAATAATTTTTATATGAGTACATTCTCCTATCTGCAGTATTAATGCATTTTTCTAAGCAATAAAAATTCAGGCTATAGGAGGTTAAAATTCTCATTGTGTTCTAAACTTCTGATTTGCTGAAATGAGATAATAAAGTGAGACCTATGATGGGCAACCATATGTAGCCAAGAAAAGTACTGGGTAGAATAATTGGAGGTTTTGGTGTAAGTACTGTAGTGAAACATGATAAAGGGAAAGTGAATTAATCTTTACGAAAAAAAAATTCTGCCTGTGAGGACTGTGTCCGTAACGTCCATGGTAGGTTTACTAGTGCACATTGGAGTAATTAACTGGAGCATTTAAGCACTGAACTTAAAGGGCCCCTGATAGCAGAATTTTCATTCGGGACTTCTTTACTGTAATTCGTAGTTCCGGGTCTGGTAATGCTAAAATGGAATTGTAAATTGTCTAACGTATTGTATAGTTAATGCTAGCATCACTAATTCTGACTAATTATAGCTTCGCTTCAGAATGCCAGCCTAAAATTGTAAGAAACTAGTGCTTCAAGTGGGAGAACATCTAAGACCACGTGTGCTCAATCTTTGGTGACATTGACAGTGCAGTTTCCAAACAAAGGCCTTGGGCATAATAAAGAATGGAACTATGTGTTTGCTTCAGTATAGGTTAAGCTGTGAAGACTGTGTTCCTTCGGGAAGAAGAAAAACATTCCTGGCGTAAGCAGCCAGAACCACCTTGAGAACAGCTTGACAACAGAGCAAGAGGTCTGACATACAATAGTCGTCGCTGGGTACCAGTCGTGGTATTGTGTGTGCTCCACAAATGTTCTCTTACATCGACAATACCCTCCTTATTCATTGAACGTCATGTGGGGCCTCTATGTCAAACGAGAGTTGTCGATTGGTGCTGATAGCTCAAATGACAACTCAATCGTACTTCAAGTCCAAATTGAAATATTGTCACGTGACAGTGCAGAAGACTTCAGCAGAACTCAGAAATACATAACATTTTATTTGGCCAAACTTCTGGTGAGAAAACAAACTTAAGCTGCAAGCGAGCAATTCACGTTGTACACTGATATTGGCGAAAAGAGTATTGGCCATCAAAAAACTGAGCCAAGCGCATCAGCTTTTGTATATCTATCATTGAAGATTTCTGCATTATCGCTAGTGGACTGTGTAAGTTCCAGAACTGTAATATTTGTGTTTTGCCCATAAATTCATCGGAAAATTTTAACAATATCTAGAAAGTTCCTGTCATTTGCACGTGCTTTGCACACGGCAACAGTTTGATTTTAATGGAGTCGTAACATGAAAATAGAAAGAAAGAAGCACGTGTGGCATGAGCACGTGAGGGCTGGAGATGTCTGAAAGGGTTTCAGCATTCACCCACTGAAACTCTGAGTACAAACTGTGCCATGTGTACCTGGAATAAGCAAAAAGAACATGGCTCAAAAACCACCCTTTAAACATGGTATTTATTTCGCAGCACTTTCTTGGACATGTTCACTAGTGTCGCTAGGAAGGAAAGGGCCGCTGCCCTGCTGGAGACGAGGGTGCCCACTGAAAACATGACCATCTTTGTTCACGAAATCACTCGGCTGTTTCATGTTGACCTGAACATGCCTTAGGAGAAAAAAGTTTGTTTCCTCATGCGAGAGGTCAAACAGGAGCTCTTCGTGGGATTGATGAGAAACCCACCTAAGACCATTCAAGAATTCCCCTGGAAAGCGATTGTGATTGAAAAGATGCTAGGAATGTGCACACAATTCAATTGCCGCTCGGCACCAGGCTACGCAGACATTCAATCACTATGCTCAGACGATCTGCGCAAGACTATAAAAGTCGCGGTGCGAAAAGAACTTTGCTGAGTGATCCCATCATGCCAGCCCCAAGTTGCCTCAACCACCGACATCGTTCCAGAGGAAATCAAGCATTTGCTGGGATCTACTGAACTAGTGCAACCCGATCCAAGTCATGAGCTACACGACATCGCCGACTACTTGGCCAGCACTGAATGGACATCTCGACATTCATCACAGTTGCCATCGTCTGGGCTCTACCAGTAGTCCCCTCGGAGACATCAGTACAGCGGCCCCAACCAGGGCCATTCTGTGAGCCCATATTCTGAAAACTAAAAGCAGCAACCAATGGAGGTGTAGTTGCTGTATGACAAACTAACGAAGGCTCTCCACCACTGCCGCCGTTAACAATGCTGCAATGAAACCTGCAAATATGATGAGGAGCAGACAAAGCCCTGCGAATGGAACCTTGTGGACCGATCAAGACCTGACAATGCAACATGGAAGTAGCTCAACGAACAGAGGCAGCTATGATCTCACTCTGAAACCTAACAGAAACACAATGTGATGAACTAGCAACCTCAAAGTTTTTATTAACAGCCACAACATCACCACTCTTGCCAAACTGTAGCCAAATATTTAGTCGTTAGTAGATCGTTCGCTACCAAGCTGAAAAAGTAAAGACCGCTTAGAGTGAACCTGAAATCCGAACAGCTGGAGGCCACCTGATAACGCCGATTGGAGTCTGCACAGCGAGAGTTACCATCAATAACCGGACTTATCCTGCGAGCTTTGCAATCCTACAACATTGCTCCAAGGATGCGGCACCGTGGTCACTCAAAACATTCCCGAGTGACTACAATGCCATCATCGACCTGAGTCAATGACACTAACCTCAGAAAAAGTCCTCTCGTACCAGACAATATCGGGGAATCATACCTTGAATGTGATAGAAGAGCAGGTCACTGTTCCATCACTCTGAAGCGTCATAACTTCCATTAGCAACAAAAAAAACCTGAAAACCTTGAAGGCATCACTGAAGACAATCCGCACCTGCTTGTGAACCATCAGATTAGCATTGCAAGAGGCATCACCAAGTTGTGTGATGGGAAAGCAAAGATGCAGCTGACAAACTTCAGCCACGAATATAGGCACCTCAACATTGGTGCAATGGTCGCCTACTTCGAGAAGTTTGTGAACACCAGCAATGCTTTGCCCTCTTTAATGCCACTGAGCCTGCTTTGATGAATCGAGGTCCCGAAACAGATTTCAATGTCAAGCAGAGCCTTCCGAAGTACAAGCAAAACCAGGTCAGAACTGTGCTCTTTTAATTCGAGGACTGCTTCTCACCGTCAAGAATTGAACAGATCCCAGTCGCTGAACATTGTATCATAACCGAAGAAAGTGCCTGACTAACATGTCAGAGCCCGTATTAAGGTTCATTGCGAGAACGCGAAGCTGTAAAGAAATAAGTCGACAAAGTGCTATGCGAATTCAGCTGTCCAAGAGTCCCTGGGCGTCTCTCGGGGGGTTGGTGAAAAAAAGAAGAGTATGTGTGGCATTATCATATAGGCAACACTTGGCACTACTAATCAGCCATGTATAAAGGGCAATGAAAAAACACTAACATTTCGAGGTTTTTTTGTTGTCAGGGGTCCTTTAATATAAAGAGAATAAATATGTTTTTGAAGCGTACCAATTTCAAGATAATCCGATGAGTGGCTGTTTTACATAAATGACGTACACCTCTAGTTGATACATTGACATTTGATTTGTTACATGTGCTGCCCTCCTAGGTTTTCTCCAACCTGTGTGTTGGAGGCTGATGGGCAGGTGACCTGCAACTCGTGTCCAATTGGCTTTGAAGGCAGGCGTTGCGAACGTTGTGCTCCTGGATACGAGCGTTACCCACCTGGCTCTGTGGATGGATCTTGTCATCTAAAAGGTATGTCCAGTTCAGATATTCTTGTTAGGCTAATGACATTTGCTTTTTCTAACAATATTTTGTGCATAAAAGTAGAAAGATGACCTATGGGTTGATTTCTTCCAACTCCTTGTTGTACTTGCAAGTGGGCCGTCCACTCCGCGTAACACATGGTTAGAGACAAAAAGGACATAAAATTAAAAAATTTTAATACTGGTCCTTGTCGAAGCTACTAGTGCAATAACTTGAACAGGGCTGCCTGGAGTGTTAACATGTTGAAGATAGTAGTTTAGTGTACTAAGCCAGTTAGTGTACGGGTTTACTGTGGCGAATTTGTTCATAAAGTGTTACATATTTTCATTTCTCCATATGTAAAGTGAATCAGAGGACATGGAATGCATTGAGCCCAAACCTGAACAGAACCTTCATATTTTTTGAGTTTGACACCCTGTCTTCAGCAACACTTTTATAGAGTGTGACATCTTAAACCTGTAAGGCATGTTGAAAAAGGCAACACCCTTCTTCTTTGTGAGCAAAGTACAAAAATGGAAAAGCCTTTCGTGAATGCAACTGAGAAAGGTTGCTGTAAAGCATTGCATGTTCTTGTATACGGTATAAGCTGCTCCTGCATGCCTAACTTTAACTCTACAAAAAGAAAGAAAGAGAAAACAAGCATTTAAATCCTGCATTTATCCGCAACCACTTCTTAAGCAGATTTTTTCTTTTTGTGTGTTAGTCATGTGAGAAAATGTGTTATTTAAATCGTGGTCTTCTTTATGAGCACCACCTAACTTAATGTGCTGTTTATACTGCAATTCCTAGTTCAATAATTACATTTAATAGATTGTACTCGGCTTTCTGGGCTTGTGTATTATTTCAATCAGGTCTTTTCTTGTATGTAGAATTATCTTTATACACTAGCGCCAGCCTAAAGCCAAATTTTTTTAGTTGCCTTTCTTGTCTACATTCTGAGGTGTGTGTGTGTGTGTGTGTGTGTGTGTGTGTGTGTGTGTGTGTGTGTGTGTGTGTGTGTGTGTGTGTGTGTGTGTGTGTGTGTGTGTGTGTGTGTGTGTGTGTGTGTGTGTGTGTGTGTGTGTGTGTGTGTGTGTGTGTGTGTGTGTGTGTGTGTGTGTGTGTATATATATATATATATATATATATATATATATATATATATATAAAATATAGCATCGAACGCGTAATTCGAAGGTCGTAGGTTCGATTCCTGCTTACAGTTGGTAATTTTTTCATCCACTTTTCTTTCTTCTTATTTACATTCCATTAATGTTAATAACTTCCCCTGTACATTCCTTGGCATTACTGTCTGTTATATCTCATATATATATATATATATATATATATATATATATATATAAGGAAAAATAGAGTACGACGCACGTTGGTTTTGCACGGTATATTCTGACTGACGTTTCAGCTAGTGGACCAGCCTTTATCAAAGCCTTTACTTCTTTGCTGCAACTATATATATATATATATATATATATATATATATATATATATATATATATATATATATATATATATAAATGCACACACACACAATTAATTTTATTTCTGGACCGGTCGAAACCGTTGGAAATATATATATATTTTTTGAGTCGCTATTCAGCCGGTTTCTATACCCAGCAAAATACTTGCTATGGGTTGTAATTCATTGTGTTTGTAGTCTTATTTCAGCTGTGCAGTGCATTATGTTTGAGACTGTTACAGCTTTTGGCTATGTTTCACATGTCACTGACTGTACTGCCCATTAAACAAGACAACTGTAGGCTAAAGCAAGTGTGAAGCACCTCTTCCACTGGACCAGGGGTTGGGACCTGTGGCCCCATGTGGCCTGCAGGGCAGTGTTACGCAGCCCCCAGAATGCCAGAGCAGCCCCCCTTTTCCTAACTCATAAATGCCTCCCGACTAACCGATGAACACTTCTACAACATTCTGTGCTTTTCATTGAGCGAGGGAGCAACCTTGATCTTTGTTGTAGATATTTGCAAGTTGGTTATGAATGTTAAGTACCTTGATAGTTTTTTTTTTCACTTGTAATTCATTTTATGTATTGCGACCATGTGACATACGTTGTGTGGACACTGAACATGATTTTTATTTCAGTTCTGTACATTATCAATTCACCGAATTTTCTCCTTGTTTGCTAAGTCCCATTAGCTGTGCGGCTTCATGCAATTCGGCCCTCTGCCTTTTAAGATTGTCGACTCCTGCTCTGGGCAGTTGATATCTACAGATAAGAAAAGTAGTCGTATGTTAGGTGTGGGCTCTTGGAACTCTGCATGAAAAAGGAATGTGACATAGACCTTGCTATGAAAAGAAAATGCAATGGAATGAGCTGGTGCCTTTATTTTCTCACCAAAAGCAAATTCTTAGTTGTTGCCTCTCTCATTACATATCGGGATACTGTAGACAGCAACCTTACATCACATGCACTTTATGCAAATTTATTCTTGCCTGCCTGCATTATTAGACAAGAGATTGTATAACAAAATAGCCAAGTGCTATTGCCCGATACTCTGCACGTCACTTGATACATCCTTGTGATGTTAAAAATGACAAAAAATTTTGTGAAAAATATAGTCATCTTTAATGGTTTTTTTTTTTTCAGAATGTGATCCTGGACAGTTCCAGTGTGGTGATGGGTCATGCATAAATTACAGGAGAAGGTGTGATGGTCATTATGACTGTAATGATTACACTGATGAGCAAAACTGTGGTAAGTATTTTTAGTCTGCATGAACTAATTATTTCTCAAGTCAAGATGGTTGTAATTACAGATTAATTTGTTCATTTACTCACCCAATACAGTGTCTGGCAGAATAATTAAAAAATATAATTTAGGGGCATGATAGTTATGTTAAACCATATCTTCATGTGGTCTTAGTCTATACGCATATCAATTTCAGGGTATCAGCATTAAAAATATACCAACTTGGTCATGTCTTATTGCACATCTTGCAATGGACAATCATTATGTCTAGCAGCCATAGTCTGGCCTCACCTAAAATTGATTCTGGATGTGAGCCTAGGCAGAGAACAAATTAGACGTTATAATGGTGACCACATTTTCAATTCATGTGCTTGCACACATTAAATAAATCACTGAGTAGTCAGGGGCGCAAACTTAATTAACACACTTCCATAAATCATAGGTCTAGAAAATGCACACTTTGCACTTTTTTTCAACACAGGTTGTTTATTTTATTTACAAGTATAAAGCAAAAGTGCGTCTTGTTTACTGACCGAGGTTCAATCGAACAGCTTTTTTTTTTTTGGCTGACGTTTACTGGTGTAAAAGTAAATGCAGAAACATATGAAGCTAGAAGGTGGGTAACATGGTGTTGGTCTGCAAGTAATGTTTTTTTGCGTTACTAACAACAGAAGGGCTACACTAATGTAAAAAGGCATTTAAAGGGAAACAATGACTTGGTTTATATTGTGCCCAGAACTCTATTGCCATATATGTTTCACTATCATAAGTTCAATATTAGCGTAGAAAATCAAGGTTGAAGTTTCACTTTTAAATTTCACACTGAAATCTCCATGCATGACATCATAAATTTGAAAATATATATTTTTGCGACAACGAAACTTTCTGCAACTTTGGAATCTAGGTCTATGGCACCCACAGATGACAATATATTTCATTTTTATCGATTAAAAACTATGTAGGGCTTAGTAGACTCTTCAAAAATTTGACGTTGTGGTGTTTGGTACGGGCATCTCCTCTCATTTTCTTTTCACACGTTTTCTCGCATACCAAGCATCATCTCATGGCAAGAGTAATTCTTTCGGGATTGTTATGTTGTACTTTACTAGTATGCAAGAAATTGTCTTGCTTTTTAGTCTCTCTTTAATGAAGAAACTTTATATTAGTATATGTACCTGGTTGAGCCATACAGCTAAAATTTTAAAGACTATAGTCTTTCTTGGGGACCTTCGACGAAAAAAATTTTGGTCTGTCTGTACATTTGTCTGTTTGTCCGTCCTAAGGATACCTCGTACGACACCAAGCGGCCAACCCCACCCGTAGCGCCCTCCAATATTGCTCAAGGTTTAACGTTCATAGTTGTGCAATTGTCAATTTAAAAAACAAATATTGCACATATCTGAGGTGCCATAACGTGTCTATGTTTTGCATGTCTGCCTTTATACTAGAAGAGACACACACAAGTAACTCTAAGGACTGTAGCGTTTATCGCGCGGTGCTTACAGTGCAACGCGATGCTCAGGAAGGTGTTTTCAACGCATTCCTATGACGACATGGTGGTGGCACCTGCCCGTCGCTCTGCATTCTAAACCTTATCACCTCAGACACCGCGTGAATCTTTCTCCACGGTCGCGCACGCCTTCGTTTTCGTTTTCGAAAATAACTGCCAGATGGCGCTCGTGTCTAACGTGCCTAGATGCGCTTGTTCGCTTCCGCTACATGCTCGAGGCACTCTAACGCAGCGCCTTCAAAGTACCATTCACCGATTTTCTTGCGCAGAACATCAAATAAACGTTTTGTTCACTCTCTCCAGACGCAAGACTTTCGTCTTTCGATGACATTTACAGTGTGACATGTAGATTCGGGCAAATTTTTTTACATAGTTCCAAAATTTTTACATTGTCAGAGGGCCTGACTGAAGGTGCCTTAATGCATGCTGTCTTAGTTATTTTGTACACATTGCAGATTTCATGCACCATTTGCTTTTTATATACCTTCGTGATATGGGCGAACAAACGAGGAATATTTACAAATGCTCATTTCTCAGTTCAGCTAAATTAACCCAAAAGGCAAGTAGGCCAAGAAGAGCATGGGGTATGATAATTGCTGTTTTAACTGTAGTGAAGTTATTATGATGTATATTACAGTGATTAAAAGCATATGAAAAAAAAATGGGAACCCTATTCATCCACTTTCTCAATAGAAACATGCCCTTCCTGTGAGGTTAAAGAACAATCTCTGTTGTTTTACTTTGGTTTGATGTTTCATAACTGGTATGATGTTTTTTAAGGTAATAATTTCATGCAAAAATGTTCTAAATAGATTTTCTGTTTTAAGAATGGATGAGGGCTTTGTGTCAAGTTCAACAACCTGCATCACGCTTAGAAATGGCATAGAGCAATGGCTTGTGCTTTACAGCATACTACTGTAGAATCTCGATAATACGGTTATGGCTGACGCGAGTTTCGCAATGATAGAAATTTTGAGGTTGCTTTAGATGGACTGCGTTATAAAAGATATCCTGTGTCATACTACAGGTTTCCCCAGTAACCTTGCAATGATAGGAACGCGTGATTGACTGCTGCACGTGAGCTGTGCAACACGGCTTGTCTGTGGGAGATAGGCCCGTTCACACTTGGCCTAGAAAGGAGCGCATGCAGCAAAACTCGCCGGAATTTTCCTCGCTTCACCACCGGAAAAGTGGCCCAAAAACCATGCCACAAGTTCTACATAATAGCGGATTGGCTTTCTGCTATGGCTTTGGCTACACTGACTGCACTAGCTCTCAAACCACGCGACATGAAAAACCAGCCGTACAGCCGTACATTCAACATGGCAGTAGTAATGGCAGCAAAGGCATTGGTGGAGGCTTGCGTCGACGCAATCGCGAACTACCTGCGCCTCACGACTAAGTTCACGGCTTTAAAAAATACCCGTTCATTGAGAACCTGGATCGAATTACGATCGCTGCATACACCGGAAGCAGAAGGTGCAGCTACAGCGAGTTCGCATGCCCTAACATGTCTCGCTTTTGCACTGCTGGCTGAATCCATTTTCGCCACTTCTGGTGCGTCCGCTCGTGTCATTTCTTCCGACATAATTCGCGAAGCAACATTTGTAAAGACGTAAACTGTCTTTTTTCAGTACATTGCATGCATAACCATAACTCGTTACAGATTTAATGCTCAGAAAGAAATTCTCAAGCGGTGACAGCGGCAGCGGCATGTAAGCGAGAGGCAGAACGAATGAGAACATTTTTGGCGGACATCATTTTGCGGCCACCCTGGCGTTTTTTGATAAGACAGATGCTTATGCTAGTTGGTGATTGGGAATCGACATATTTGCACAGCGCAAGACTACGAGTAGTTACGTCGTAACTACTCATAGCCTTGTGCTGTGCAAATATGCTGGCATTTTTGCTTCAATTCTCCAGTTAAAATACTCCAGGACAGATTTTTTTTCCGTTTCAAAATCGAGGCGCGTTTTTCCAGCCGCTTAAGTGGCGAAGCAAGTGAACTTTCAGTAAGTTTTGCCGCTTTCGCTCCCTTTGATGCTAAGTGTGAACACATCTTATAGTGCCAGCAGCATGAGTGAGAAAATCGCTGCACTTAATTGAGAGGCGGCGAAAGCAGGAAAGTTCGAAAAAACTTCATGAACGTTATTTCAGCAAGTAGTAGTTCATGATCAGTTTTATGATCTTCATGATCAGATCTTCAGATCTTCATGATCAGCTCTAACGTGTTTTGGTTCATACTAATTTGGAATGATACAAATGTTTTGCGTGCTCCCTTCGAATTCATGTCATTGACATTCTACTGTATAAGCATCCTCGATGGGTACTGTGGGATGTGCATTTCTCTGTTGGTTGTGGTTAATTAGCTAACCAGGCCTTAAACAGAGAAGTAGCTTGCATTTCTCTGTTGGTTGTGGTTAATTAGCTAACCAGGCCTTAAATAGAGAAGTAGCTGTTTGTCATATCTTGGAAACTACTTATCGTAGAAAAAAAGAACTGCATATTTGAAGTCGGCACGCATACAAATACTCGGCAATTTCTATCACGGTCAATTAAAAACATAAAAAAATTAAGTACCATAGCTGGGGCTTGTGGCATCAGCTCTGACACTTTTCGAATAATTAGCAAGCTATTCGGTTAGATGATTAGGTTGTTTATGATGTTGTTCTCCATAAATATAACGTTAAAGTTGCAAACAGGGATGTATTACTAAATGGCTATTTTGTTCATTGCTTGTGAATAACTTTACCTCAATCATCATGCATTGATTTTTTTTCTCTACAGTGCTTCATCAGACTTCATTGTGCAAACATTTTTAATGAAACCTTATAAAGCTGCGTTTTCCCACTTGCACTAATATTTTGGTACAATATAACACCTGTGTGCCAATTTCATGTTGTGTACTGTTTCTTCTTATTAAAAAGCTCAGGGATGCTATGGTAAACATTCTTTGTCACAATACCAGCACCTCAGTGGCTCATTGTTATCTCAGGCTCTCATGACCTGTGTGTTCTCTTCTTGTCCATCTCACTGACTTTTGCTGTTCTCACTCCCAGCATGTGGTTATAACCAATTCAGATGTCCCGATGGAACTTGCCTCAGTGTTCACAAAAGGTGTGATGGCAAGGCAGACTGCATAGACATGTCTGATGAAAGCAATTGTGGTGTGTGGAATCCCGCTTACTAACCTTGAGCATGTGAGGATGCTGTGTACCTAATGGCATGCTTGTCCGCACACCTCTCTGCTTGATGTCATACGCCTGCCTCCCACTTTTTCTTTATTTTCTGCATCTATGTAAGATTAGTGACCGTGATAAACTGCTTTTACTGTATGCTGTCATTGTGACTCTGCCCTAGAGGAAGGAAAGTTTAATAGCATTCTAAGTCTGCAAAATAAACCTATAACTGACAGGTATTTTCACCTCAATTCACATTGTAATTGCATCACAATAAAAAATTTAGGAAAATTATAACTGCGTTAAAAACGAGACAC